TATTTCTATTTGTAGTGAAATCCGGTGACTTGAAGAGTGCAATCGGTTTGTTTAACTCAATTCAGGTGAAGACGAATCCACTTTATACCACGTTGTTCAAAGGTAGATATTCCTATTACTTCGTTCATCATCAAGAAATAAATGTATTGTGATGAGTAGGGCTGATATCAATGAAAAAGTCGAAAGAAGTGTTGAACTTGTATGAACAGAACAAAATGAAGTTAGACGAAGGTGTTTTTGTGATGGTGTCAAAGGCATGTTCGGAAATATGTGACGATCGAGCGAAGAGAATAGGAAAATTATTAATTGACGATTTACCCGAAGATTTGAAAGGTTCTCAAAAAGTGATGAATTCGACGATGTTTATGTTGATGAAATTCGGAAACGTTGATGAGGCTGAGAAACTCTTTCGCCAAATGAAACACAAATCAATTTATACTTATGGTGCTATGATGAAAGGTGAGTAAACCTTTTCGATTGATGAAAAACACCCATTCGATTCAACTTTATCAAATTTGTTAAGGTTATAACGATAATAAAATGTTTGAGAAAACATTGGACCTGTTTGAGACATTACCATTCGTCGCAGACGAAGCGATCTACGCGATGGTTTTAAGCTCTTGCTCTCACCTTACAAATGATCGTGCGAGAAGAATTGGAAAGCAGTTAAGAGCGGGTCCATGAGAATACCGACCTAACTTATATAGGGTCGGCTGTAGAAAAATTTTTTTTTCGGGTTTTTTCTATCTTAAATTGAAGGTCATCTTTAGTTATTTTAAAACCCAAAATATTAGCCTTTCCTGATGAATCGAACAAAAATGTGAGTAGTCATAATCTTACGATTTTTTTAGTCAAATCACAGAAATTGGGAAAAGCGACAGTTTTCGTATTTCGAGATTTGCCGAGCCATTTTTGCTCGCTTATTGCTGAGAAAGGTCTTAAAAGATGCAGAAATATCTGCTCTACAAGATGGTTACTGTCAATAATCCTTAAAAAAGATTTTGTCGAGAGATTAAGCCTCTACAGTGGCCGAAATCGACGACTTTTTAGAATTATTTTACCCATAAATTCCCTATAATCTCTCTGAATATTGTGGATCCCAAAGAAATGAATGAAGATCCTGAAAGCCCTTGAAATTCTGCATCTTTTGGTACATTTTTCAAGATCAAAGAATACAGCCAGGATACTAAAGTAGGGTCGACAATAGGTTTTCTCGATGGTACCAAATGACTGTTTGGGTCGATAAAATGTGACTGCTGAGGAATGATTTGTTCGGAAACAGAATCTGACCCTACAGTCGTGATCAGCGTGAAAAACTGAGTACAGAAGTGTATTTTTTTTTCATAAGAAATGTGTAGATTGGAAAATAGGCTATCAACCAAACATACCATTTCCGCGTCAAATGGTTATGTTCATAGGGATCAACATGCACCAACTTAGACGACATGTAATCAAATATTTTGCATAATGTAGAACAGTTCGATTGCATTCTTTCAAATTTAGTGAGAAATTTTCAAGAATAGTGTTTTTGGGTGAGAAAATATACTATGTCCTGATAATCCAATGGAACGATAAAATAATGACTTCTCCCACCATTCATATCATGCTCAGAACTGCATGTTGAACGGAAACCACTATCATATTTGAAATCAGCGTAAAAAACTGCACTTGTCTACAGTTTTATCTTAAAAAATATTTTTCCGTGAAACATGACCCGTGGGGTACCACGGCGAATTCCTCTGATGAAAACCATTGAGGGGGACCACAGGGCGAAATTTCGATGCAAAAAGATTCTTATAAAAACTCTATATTTTGGTACAGTTTTTCACGCTGATTACGGCTGTAGAGTCAGATTTTCTTTGCGAATGAATCATTCCTCAGTAGTCGCATTTTTTCGACTGAAATAGTCGTTTGGTACCATCGAAGACACCTATTGTCGACCCTACTTTAGTATCCTGGCTGTATTCTTTGATCTTGAAAAATGTACCAAACGATGCAGAATTTCAAGGGCTTTCAGGATCTTCATTCATTTCTTTGGAATTCACAATATTCAGAGAGATTATAGGGAATTTATGGGTAAAATAATTCTAAAAAGTCGTCGATTTCGGCCACTGTAGAGGCTTAATCTCTCGACAAAATCTTTTTTAAGAATTATTGACAGTAACCATCTTGTAGAGCAGATATTTCTGCATCTTTTAAGACCTTTCTCAGCAATAAGCGAGCAAAAATGGCTCGGCAAATCTCGAAATACGAAAACTGTCGGTTTTTCCAATTTTGTGATTTGACTAAAAAAATCGTAAGATTGTGACTACTCCCATTTTTGATTGATTCATCAGAAGAGGCTAATATTTTGGGTTTTAAAATAACTAAATATGACCTTCAAATTCAGACAGAAAAAACCCGAAAAAAAAATTTTTCTACAGCCAGCTACCCAGGTCGAACAATCCGGCCCGGAACCGACCAGTTCCAGGACCTTCCGCGGATTTCATGGAAGCAGTATTCCGGCGATCGGATCCTTTCATCAGATTTAAAAGGTTTTATCCGGAACCAGCAAGAACCCGCCATAAACGATAGTCGGATACGATTACCGGTTCCTTCGGTAGGATTCCGAGTACTTTCTCGTGGTTTCCAACGCGGAAACTATGAATATCCTGCGGGTTTTCGCCGGAAATAAGCGGAATACTGCTTCCAGGAACGATCGTCCTGGGTAGGTCGGTATTCTCATGGACCCGCTCTTAATCAATAATTTCCCTGAAGATTTGAAAGGTTCTGAAAACGTAATGAGTTCAACGATCTTTATGTTGATGAAATTTGGAAACGTTGATGAGGCTGAGCAACTCTTTCACCAAACGAAATACAAATCAATTTATACTTATGGTGCCTTGATGAAAGGTGAGTAAAACTTTTCGATTGATAAAAAACAGCCATTCGATTCAACTTTATCAAATTTGTTTAGGTTATAACGATAATAAAATGTTTGAGAAAACATTGGATCTGTTTGAGACATTACCATTCGTCGCAGACGAAGCGATCTACGTGATGGCTTTAAGCTCTTGCTCTCACCTTACAAATGATCGTGCGAGAAGAATTGGAAAGCAGTTAATCGATAATTTACCTGAAGATTTCAAACGTTCTGAAAACGTAATGAATTCAACGATCTTTATGTTGATGAAATTTGGAAACGTCGATGAAGCTGAGAAACTCTTGCATCAGATGAAACACAAATCTATCTACACTTATGGTGCCATGATGAAAGGTGAGTAAAACTTTTCGATTGATGAAAAACACCCATTCGATTCAACTTTATCAAATTTGTTAAGGTTATCACGATAATGAAATGTTTGAAAAAGTGTTGGATTTGCATGTTAATATGCCCATAGCTGTGGATGAAGTTATGCATACAATTCTGTTCAGCACATGCACACGTCTATCCAATGATCGGGCATTACAAACAGGAAAAGAACTTTTGCGCAAGATGAACAAGTCCTATTATAACGATGATATCGTCATCACATCAGCCATTCACATGTTGATGAAATTCGATCTGGTCAATGATGCTGAACGTTTGTTTCGTCAAGTCAAAGCAAGAAATGCACTGGCTTATCATGCAATGATCAATGGATACAGTCAACTGGACGATTTGGACAAGTGTTTTCAGCTGTTTGATCAAATGAAAAGTGATCGAATTGTTCCAAACGAAGTTGTATTTCTTTCAATGATCGGTGTTTGTGCAAAAATCGCCATACGCTCATTATCTCAGTCAATTGTTGATCAGTTAGCTAGTGATACGAAAAGTAGTCGAAATATTCAAACGGCATTGATTTCCATGTGGGTGAGTGCGGTCAGCCAGAACTTGCGAAACGAAATGCTCGAGTGATACTTTTCGCTCGTCCTTCTAAATTATCTGATGCAGTCAATTACGTGAAAAAATTTGCTTCCAAACCAAATAACGTTGCTGGTTATGGCTTAGATCTAGCTGATTTACAATCAATAAAAGATTGTGTAGGTACATTCCTAGCCAACGAAGATCAGTAAGAAGCCCTTATCCTAATTTGAATCTTCGACAAGTGATCCATTTAGGAGAATGAAAATTACTGCATTAATCAATAATGCCGGAATTATGGCATGTCCTTATGGGAAAACTAAGGACGGATTTGAATTACAAATGGGTACAAATCATTTCGGTCATTTCTATTTCACCCAAATACTTATTCCTCGTCTTCACTCAGCACGTATTGTTAATGTTGCATCAGCAGCGCATTTCTTCTGGCGTGTTCCATGTGACGCTACTCATTACAATCAAATGTGCAATCCGAATACATATCATTCGTTTTCGGCGTATTTATTAAGTAAAACAGCGAATATTTTATTCACGCGCGAACTCCAACGACGTTATTGTTCTACTGATAGTATCCGTGCCTATTCCTTACATCCTGGTACCGTCAATACTGAATTAGATCGACATATGGGGATGAATGATATAGCGAAACAATTATTAAGGCCAATCAGATATCTAATCTTCAAATCACCGTTAGAAGGCATACAAACAATTCTCTATTGTGCTTTGTCAAACGATGCTCAGCCGGGCGAATATCACTCAGACTGCCGCGTGACACCACCTTATCATAAGTACGCCAGAGATGATAAATTAGCACAAGAGTGGTGGGATTTCTCAAAGAAGAGCATCGATGAAAAACTTAAAGACATCGAACAAAGATAAGCTGCGTTTTTTAAAATTTTTTTTTGCCAATAAACATGATATATAATTTACTATAAACGATTGAAAATTCACTCGTGGGTATTGGAACTCTACAACCATCCTAAATAAGTTCCACAAACGACACCGGGTTCGTTCAAATTTCATGGAGATTGATTTGAATCATGTTTATGTAGCTGCTAATATAAATCAAAGATAACAGAGTCCTATCTTTCCAAAAAGAAACAAGAAGCGTCTACTTTTTTTATCGGTGCTAAAATTTTTCGTTCAAACTCGATTGCATTCGTTGAAGGTGTCAACTGTATTCGAGAATTACACACTTTCGATACTAACAATTGATTAAATGTACATGTTCTAATCGATCAGCACCAACGTCATCTCTTTTAACAAGAACCAGCACACTCTCATTGAAAAATACAAGGTTTATTAGACATAGAAGTGCTTGTCATGTCCTATAAAGCACAGTATGAGACAGCTGGTTTGTTCGGTATGTGAATTCTTGGTACTATAATGAATGTCCTTGTTTGAAGTTGGAAAGAACGAGAGGACGTTAGTAGTCATCGATCATCTTTTTTTAAAGCAACATTGACTCTTTCGTTCGTTTATTAGTCATCCGACCACGTCCTCCAGAGGAGTTATTCACTGATCTATACTGGTACCTACGTTCTACATACCCATATAAATATACAGATCGTCTTCTTCTCCCTTTGAATACGATGGAGTTATTCGAAAGCGTCATGCCGAATTTACACGAACATTCGTTTCGATCCATCACTTCGACGATCAAATTCAAATTATCTCGTTTTCCAACCACAGTACGATTCTTTTCGTAGAATCTGGATACCAAGATGTGTTATGTTCATTTGTCTCCTTCTTCTCAGGTTTCGCGTATGACAAATCGTATTGTTTATCAACTACTTCGCCGAAATACACGTCATTCAATGAGAGGTAAATATAATTCTTCTCGTTATCGTATAGTTTATATGAACATGTAGCAAAACGAAAATCATCGGAATTAACAGCCAATATGGATTCATATCAATCAACTCCATCAGATAATGAACTTCAGCAATTACTTTATATTTAATATGTTTTCTTCGGTTTTTCTTTTGTATGGATTCTAGTCAGGATTTTTTCAGAAAATAACAGTATTTAACTTAAATCGAAATGAATGCTAAATCTAGCCAGTGTAACTTTTTCTCTCGCATAGAGTTTCTCAAATACGTTTAGTGATACTTACCGTACTCTCTGACTAGATGGCTAACCGGAACTTCGCAATAATTTATCGTGCGCCTGGGTTACGCATATCCTAGATATGTGATTTCGAAAGAGCAAATTAAGGTTGAATAATATTAGAAACGAGGTATTTACATGACTTGTAGTGACAATATGCTTTGATATTGATGAAAAGCTATGTGAACAAAGACTAAACCTGACTACCTTTATGTTTTACTTAAATAAATCCGTCATTCATAGAGCGTGTGAAACAGTCGTAAATCATATATTGTCAAGTAAAAGCTTGTGTACTTTCGCAGGTAGATAAAAAACATGATAGTTATAGTCGAGATAAATATAAAAAAATTTACCTATAGCCTTTCTATTGCTCACAAGACTGACGTCCGATTAAATTGCTTCCTTTCGATAATGATATGATTTCGTCGTCAACGTATATATTTTCATATTAATTAGTAATCAAGCGAAAAGTATATATGTACTCATATAAAATCATATATTCTGTCAGGTTGTTTTTGTATAACTATTACGTTACGATTCTAAATCAACCGATTCAAACGACCGAGAAATCATCATGTTTGATCCAACGCTTGTGTTACGGTTTGTTTTGATGGCAGTAACGGCTGCTACAGGAGTGGGTGTGATAAGTGCTGGTATCACCGTCGGTGTAATCGTTGCACAACAACAAGGATTTTTACGCGAATCTACTGTAGTCTTCAAGTCATCAGCAGCAATTGCCATCAATCGGTACATTGAACCTTCCGAAGTACCATTGTTTTATGATGCGGTTGAAACAATGCTCGAATTAGCTGATAATGTAAAAGAAGTTTTGCGAGACAAATATGGCGACAAGTTTGTGAACGTAGAAATTGAAACATTTTCCGCAACACCGAATGTCACACTGAACGATTCTCAAACTAGCCCACCGGATACGAAAAGCGCAGCTTCTGACGTGGAAAGCAGTGACATTAATCTCAGAACACACAATGCTGCAAAAATAGAAGGCCAGCCGAGTAATCTCGACTGCAAAATAGGCGTTGATATAAAACATTGTACGACTGAACTCTATATCTTCTTAGATTGTTCGCACAAACGCTTCGAAATTGATAATTGCACAGATTTCCCAGGCAGTATATTAGAATGCGTCAATCAGACAATACCAGTGTACCAATGCACGAATGAAACAATGGACACTATCAAGTGTGATGGCAATATTACACTAAGAATACCACATCACTGCTATTCTGGATCCAATCAAACATTACCAACGAATCCAACATTTCCAACTACTACAAGAATTAGTAGCACTTCTACTCAAACTACTACAACCGCTCTCTCTGAGGAGAGCACGACAACGACTACCGCTGAGCATAAATGTGAAGCTCCAGCAAATGCTACTGGTCAGCGATCAATTGTGTTCTCAAAAATGTATTTGTATTTCAATGCAAAACAAAGTGATGCTCCTCTAGTTGATGATATCGTCGCTGCATTAAAAAATATAAAACCACCGATTGTTCTCTACAATGTCTGTCGAGCACCGAGTCCAGCTGCAGGATCTTATAATAGCACATTGTCTCATGTCGCCAAACCTGAAAAGACCAATATTGAGTTATCGGAAGTACAAAGTAAACCAAGCGTGTCAGACAATTTGAAAGATACCGTCAATGCAGAAGCAGACGCCGCCAAAGAAAACATCCTTCCACATGACTCTACTGCAGCAATCAAATAAATAGATCTATAGATTTGTGTTTGATTATTGACTGCCTTAGTGCAGTCTCTGACGTATTGCTGTTTTTTTTTCTTACACTAAAGTATCGATATGTAAATAAATTATTTCGGAAGAAAATACAACATACGTGATAGACATATCATGTTTTATCTATGGTGATTATTCACCTCGTTACGAAAGAAAAATTTTTTTTCAAACGACTATAACGATACTACGATAGGCATACAGAAACAAAACGTTTTCCATGTAAATCCTCACAGTCTATGCCGAAATATTGAACACTGTAGCTCCTGATTTTTTGAAGAAAATTTCATTTTATTGAATAAATTGAACATCTACAGACAACAGAGAAAAAAGTTAATTAACACACCATCAAATCTGAATAAACGATCTAAAACATGCAATCAAAGTGTGACATGAGTTGATTTTATTTAATGCTTTTTTGTTGATCAGCATTTGCATCTTTATATTCAAGTGTTCCTGGATGACCTTTATCAGAAAATGAGGCTGCATGAGATTCAGTCACTACTGGTTTACCATGCTATAAATAAAAATAAAGAAAATGAATCGTACAGAGATAAATTATTTGTCGTACATCGAACGTTCCTTGTGCCGAAGCTTCTTTGCCAACGGTAACCGCCGGACTGTCTCCAACTTGTGTTGTTCGAGAAGCATAGGAATGTGACTCCCAATGTCCTTCAGTTTGTCCTTTGTCCGACATATTGTAAAATTTTTGTTAGAGTAGAAAGAAAAATTGAGTGTATGTATTCGAGTAATGTAGAAGAATGGGATGAGGTCAGAAATTGGCGCTATATATAGTCAGTTCTTTTTTTTTCTTATCTCTCTCTTTCTTTCCAACTACTGCTATGCCGACTCGCGCGGTGCATCCCGTAGCAGAGCTACAACGAGTCGAAAGAACATAGAAACGGAGAGAACGAATGGAATTTTTTTCTCTTTTGCGCAGTTCTCATCCTTCTCGATAAAAGTAACTATAGAACCATGTGTTTATAATGTCATTGAGTACGCAACTATGCCTTTGGATCGATATAGGAAAAGAACAAATTTTAAGTGCGTACTCGTAAAATTATCGAAAAACTGCGTCTCTCGAATATTCCACTGCAAAAAACGTGCTGTCTTGAAATGATTTTACAGAGTCTAATTGACATATATGTTTATTAATTTTATGACAAGAAACAACATGTATCAGATGGTGTTTAGCAAAATTTGTACATCGAAGTGTGTCCACATGACTATCGTCGATTCGTTGTTATTCGCTCACTGCTATCACTATTGGAAGTGATGGTTCTCTTGATATACTGTCGAGGACGACGACGTTCGTTTTTAATTTTCATAATTCGTTCAATCCGTTCGTAAAGGTCACGATAATTCTTTCTCCACGGATCACATAGAACCAGTTCATAGCAGAGTGTTTTCGCTTCTGACCACGCTTTTCGTTCAATAGCGTTGAATAGTTGATACATAAGAGCATCGGGTGGGACATATGGTAATAGTTTTGGTGCAACTTTCGGAGTTTTTATTGCATTGACAGTTTTCTTATTTGGAGATGCTCCTGGCTGAAACAAAAACGAATAACTAAAACAATGAACAACAAATGTTTCCTATTCACCTGTTTGAACGTTTTTTTGTTGACAACAGTGCTTTCTTGTTTCTCCTTCGTGGCCATCATTAAAATGAACTAAGTATGTGCAATCGCACAATTTATATAATTATCAAGTTTTGCATGAGAATTAAATCTCAGATAATAGGTTATTTTTCCCTAATAAGTTCCAGAAACAGGAAAGCTAAAAATGAATATTTGTTTGACTACCCGGAACCAATCCAATATACAACTTAACGTTCTCATATTAACAAACTTCTTCGTGCATTAAATTCAACATCTGAAAGTGAATCATACATAAATACAATTGAATAATTCTGCACTATGTTCAGTATCATATTCACAGACAGGACATACATGGAAAGTAAATATGTATAAGATTACATCGGCATGATAATTTTATTGGCTTCCTTTCAATAAAAGACGAGAAATGTAATCCAAATCTGAGTTGACATTCGTTTTTTTGTAAGTAAATATTTTTTGAATATAATACAGAGATGAAATATTCATGTGACTCTCGTTTGTTCATATTTATTGTTTGCATTTATTTAACCATTGGGAGAAGTTACTATATGTTTTTGGTTCTGTATCTTCATATAATTTTTGGCAAAGATTACAGAAAAGATCGTCGATGAAATAGTTTGATGGCCATGTAATTAAACGATAATCCTGACGCCACTGATGATAAAATGCGAATCGTTGTAGATTCTCGCTGATCAGTATGAGTTCATTAGCAAGTTCGGCGACATTTTGGAAATCATCGATGTGAATGAAAGAATTCGGTGGTAAAATTTGCTGATAATTCTTTTTTTCCGGCCCGAGCACAATCGGTATACTTCCATGTGTTAATGCATTAAAAAAAGCTTTCTCTGTGATATAATCTTGACAATGGGCGTTTTCGAAAGCTAAATAAAATTTATATCGAAAAAGTGTCTTATGAAACTCGTCCTTTGATAAGTATTCGTTCTTTTTCAAACATTGACCATATTGATCAGTTGGAAAGTATTTCGATAAGTTCTGCGCGATGTTATATCGTTGCGATCGGGCATGACAGTTTGATACAAACCATAGAGTCTTATTTTTCCTTTGTTGAAATTCGTTTTCAATATTATAGATAGACTGATTGTCGTTCGGAGATAGATAAAAGTCGATTGCTTGCATGTCGTGAATAGTATAGGACATATTACGTGCGATGTACCAACCATAGGAATGAACGATATCCGAGTCCTGCCGGTAGGTCATTGTCCTAAATGAAAAGAGATATGTTTTGAACGAGTCGAACTGGTTTCATACCAGTTGAATATTAAACCCGATCGAGTATACTCGGGATGGTGAATCGGTGCTTCCCATGACCAAAAGATCCATCGTTGATCGAACGATGTTCGATTTCGATTAGTTATCTGAAATGGCCAAGCAAAGTCCTCGCCAAAGAAGAGAACAGCATGTGGTGAACGTTGCTTAAAATCGTCTATTCGACACGAAAATTCACATTTCACTGGACAGGAATGAAAATTAACGACATATCCGCCGTTGCGAGTACCTTGACAGATATTTGCACGAGTTTTCATCGAATAATTACGTGTAAATAGTAAAATTAACGGGACGGATTGGCTGTTGTTCGTCTGATCAAATATCGTTGAACGATAGGAATATAAATAAATTGCGATCAGAATTGCGATAATGAGCCATTTCTTTTTCAGAACATGTGATAAAAGCGCCTTCGGCGAATAAATCATCGTGTAATATATGAACTTAAAATAGAACTATATCAAGCGATCAAAGTGTATTTTGGGATTGAATATAGTGTTTCATATCTTTAGAGACGAGTTTCGCGAAGAATTTTCGTTGACAGGCACATCTAAAATTTCAGTATACATTTAAATATTGACCAAGGTTGCAATGTTTCGGAGTAAGCGAGATAAAATTCCTTGATAAACCGTTCTCTTGGGAGCATATCTCACCTGTTGTTGACCTCACCCGCTTTATATTACAACTAAAGAAAAAAATATGATCTCATCACCATAAAGTGACAGATATAAAATGCATACAGATTTTGAAAGTTTCAATTTTTGAGAAATTAAAATTTTCTAAATTCTCATCGTTTATAAAATACGTTTAAAAAATTCGAAATCAGAAATCTAGTCGTATACGAAATTTTTGGAGATTTTTTTTTGTACTGTCCACAGACATTGTCATCGTTTATTCAATAACTTCAATGCATAGGAGAAAGTAAAAGTCGTGAAGAAACAGAATTGACGTATAAATGGAACGATGCTCTAGCTTCTAAATGATCGAATATTTCGCTATTGGTCAGTCTGATTTCGCTCAGAAACGAAATTCTTTCCTTTCTCGTTTATATACTCTGTCTGTTGTTCGTTATAACCATTGCATAAATGAAAAATTCTTTTGAAAGTACAGAAGAATTCAAAGTTTTCAGCATGAAAAAAAATCTATGATTTCTACTTCTCTTCTAAACTATGAGGTTTCAGTATATTTGTAAAAGACTCTCTTATTGTAACGGAAAAAAGTCAAAATTTTAGACATTAAAAGCAGACTGCTGATTTCAGCGAATTTCTTCGTTTTTTAGTGTGCCTAGGTAAATTTCTGATTGAAAAGGAGAGATCTTATCAGCAATTTTTTCAAAACTGCTTACAATTTGAGATTTACCACGTCCTCCTCATCACTAAATTCAGACACGCCAATTTGCTCAGTTCATATAATGTCTAAAGTTGCTAAATTATTTAAAAGAAATCATACAGAACAAAAAGGATCTACGATGGGACGTTCTTTTTCATTGGCTATACTTTGCAATAAAGCTCGCAATACCATCAATAGTTCGAACTTACACATTCAAATATATCGATTTACAGAACAAATCGAATACGTGCGATTGTGAGTTGATCTATACATTTTTTTTGTAATAAGTCATTCTCTTATCAAATATCACAGTTTTATGCATTTATTGACTTTTCTTTTTGTGTTCTATCTCGATAACGTTTTTTGTCAGAATCGGCGACAACGATAGCGCGATAGATTTTACTTTACGCGGCGTGTGTTACTGATTGTTCGCCAGTAATGATGAATTCCAACGTTTTGTATTTATTTATAGAGTATTATCCATCACATTAATCTTTTGATTCCCGGCGACGTATAAATACATCTTATATTATGATTACTCGAAGGTATTTTCGGCACATTTTGACTTGTCTGAAAGAACTCTTTATATTTTGTCAGGTGAGTCACATAAGATAGTCGGTTGATACCACCTGAGAAAGAATAAAAAGACTTTTAAACAATTAAAAAATATACTAAAAATGCCATTGAACAATCATTACATCGAAACGTATTAAACGTCATCGGAAGCCAAAGGGTTAAAACAAAATTAACTTATACTTCGCAGATGGAGAGGAAGTTAGAATGATTTTCTTCTATTTACATCTCATTCGTAAGCAAATCAATATGTTGTCTCGTACAAATTTAAAAGAAATTCATCCGTCCATTAACAATGAAACGTTGAAAACAACTATGCTTATGATCTGTTAACATGAACATAGTTTCCACCGACAAGAAGAGTGTGACATGCTTTTCAATTGCAGACTGCCTCTCAAATGAACTTACATTTTATTGCAAATCTTTTAGACAGTAAAAGGCACTCTCAAATATTTGTTTCTTATATTGACACGACATGCGTGTTGCTATGTAACTACTTATTTTATCTTTTATATCCAGACGTGAAAAGTCTGAAGGTATGAGTTGTTAAATCAACAAGTACATGACGTTCTATTAGTTCGATAGGAATTCAACAAACAACATCAAACATTAACTAGGTGTTCGGATTTTTTAATGTCCAAACATTAGACTTGATTCATGTAACAGTTGAACGTGTGCTTGTTCTCGAACGTATGTGTATCATTGATAGTAGACCTTCGTTGGACTGAAATCGAAAGAAATTGATGAGTTTATCGAAGAGTTCTCTGGTTGTTTCGCGAAAATTTTGACAACAAAGTATGTAAATGATTAGGTTGCCATTGGAATTGATCGTTTGCATGAAGTTCGCAAATGTGTTGAATGCCAACCATATTCGGCATTGAAAGTACAGATTGTCTTCAGTTAATCGATTGTTCTTGGTCGAATTGTGAACTTCGTACAGATTGTTCATCAGCATCGGAAGGCGGCAAAGGAGGAATAACACAACAACAGCAATAAGCATGATCGAAACATGAAAGTGTCGTCGAGAATAAAGGACTTTTGTTTGCATCATCGTCATCTGTCGAATCGATTGACATAGTAAACGACGGTGTTCATCATGATACTGGATCAATCGGCGAACAGTTAAAATATTGATGAGCAACAGCGTTATCAATGGAATAACATGAACAACAGGAACATAGATGTAGATATTGATTATTTGTTGAAAGATTTTTTGTTGACCGAGTTTTGTATCTAGAAATTTGTTGATCAGATTTCAAAAAGAAAAACATATGATGAAGACTTACGAGATACTTCATAATGTGTTCGATTTTGATAGTCCAAATAGGTTACAGCACGATATTTAAACCAATACGGTAAGATAAAGAGAATAGCGAATACAGTTAACGAGAAAATAATTCGTAACGCATTCCGGATCGTACAGTACTGACTCGCATTTAAACCCATTGAAATATATAAGTATCGATCGACCGATACAGCAACAGTATAGTAAATAATGCATAACTGTAAAGTATTCATCGATGGGATGATGTATGGTGATAATCTATTGAGAGAAGTACAGAAAATCAAAATTCTTAGTAGTCGAATCTTACTGATGGAATATTTGATTGTATACACTGAAAATGTGTTGATCATTTGCCGAAATGAATGACGGGAGAATGATAGTTAATCGAAGTGCGTAAAAAATAAGAAAGAAAACTAACCATAGGAAATTAACGATAGCTAAAGCGATCAGATATATATTCGTTGACAAGGATCTCATGCGTTGTTGAGCAAGGATGATAATTGAAAATGTATTCGCTAATAGACCTAAGACACATGTGACGATGGATGACCATCCACCGAGGATTAATGCAAATGTTAAAACAAAACGAATGTCCTCGTCCGAACAGGAAAGATTTGTTGCATTGTTCATGGGCATGTTTTCCTATGGATAGGTGTTGTGAAAAACAAAACTGAAGAGAAAATGATACACACATAGATAATAATCCATACGCAGAAGCACAGATGAAGTATGTCATAAAATTAATAAAATCATCTTTTATGTTTTATTAATATTTTATAACCTTATTATTATTGACATCGACGTACCTATGTATTTGGGATCTATGTCAACAATGGCAAATATGAATCTGAATGTCATCTAGTGCGTAAGCCAGCAATTATATAACAGATTTGAGAAGCATTATAAGTCGAATTAGAAAAACAGTCCGTGGATCGTTCAGTCTGTCCATGGGATTTCATCAACCCGCGATAGCTCAGTTGGTAGAGCGGAAGACTGTAGATGAATAACAACTGTAATCTTTAGGTCACTGGTTCGACTCCGGTTCGCGGGACTTTTCTTTTTTTCTTTTTCTTTGACAAAAAAGCGCGATTACAAGGTTGAATGCGTTTAGTTGCTGATTTATTTAAAATCTTCAAGAAAAATTCCAAAAGTTATCATTTAGCAGCTGAAGCAGTGTTGATACGACGAACAGTATCAACCATGTTCTTAACACCAACCATTTGTGGACCTAATTTGTTAGCATAATTAGCAGATCCATAACCCCACCAATCGAAGCAGCCATTTGGATTTTGAGGGTTGAGTGTTGATTGAAGAATTTGTGGGAACAAAACAATGATGTCGTTAAGTTCAGCAACTTCCAAGTAACCAGCCTTTTTAGCGAAGACATCACCAATGAATGATTTACCTAAGTACAAATATGAATCACGTAAATCTTAGGAAAGAAAACGAACAAAGCTATTCTACCTTGTTTGCAGCCGTGAAGAGCAACGTGAATTGGACACTTCTTTCCTTTGTTACAAGCTGCTGGGAAGTAAACATAACCTTGAGAGTCAAAGCCGAATGCAGCATTGGATGATGCCCCAGTCACACCGGTTGTACCAGGAAGATTGATGCTTGGCAATGTTAATGATGGCAAGCTTAACGATGGTAAATAATTCAATGGATTGTATAAAGCCATGGTTGTTTGCATCCAGCTTGACCATAATGAAAAGATGTCTGTAGCTCGAGATTCAGATCTAACCACAGCTTGCGGATTCATAAAAGCTGCTTGATCGAATGTGATGAGTTGTCCAGTGAGAGGAACCGTTGTGCCACTTGGTGGTTGAACAAGACTACCGCCAAATATGTGATTTAACATATCATAAGCCAAATTGAAATTGCTATTGAAAAAATTAAAAGATTTTTAAGTTTTTGTCAATTGCTGATACAAATGTACAACTCACCAGTTATTGATGTAATTAGCTGAATAGAGTACGTCACATTTTCCGCCAAAGTTCTCTGTTGGAAAGCCGTGATTAGCCGCTAGATCGTACTTTGTTTTGATATTAGCACCCAATGCTGAATAGATCTGTTCGTTCACTTTAACAACACCAGGAATGACTGTTCCATCTTTTTGACCGGTAAAGATATAGACAGGATCATTTTTCACATTGGCGATTGGATCAGCACTACCAGATGAGACATAAGATTTCAATTTGTTCTGAAGAGTGTTGGAAGACACTGAAGTAGCTGGACCTTTCATACATGCACCAATGGCTGTCATCATAGTGCCTTGGGCACAGTAGTACGGTGGACCGGCAACGACACCACATCCACTAATTTCCGACGAAAAAGCCAAATGTAATTGTGTGGCCATTGAACCACCGGCAGATATGCCTGAAACAGTCACATCTGTTCGTGGCTTGCCTTGCACGATGGAAGCAATAAGAACGATGGCGCAAATTCCTGTCCACATTTGATGAAATATTCGGTTTTTGAAATAATGAAAGATATCATTGATTATTATATAGGAATGGAACAGGTAGAGGGTAAGGCAGGGGTTAGGTAGGGGTTAGGCGTATTAGCATAAAGATAAGTAACGCGATATAGAGCAAAATATTTGTGAAATTGAAGAAATTAAATATTAATTTAGAAAACTGAATCGAAATTACTGTAAGTATTACACTTTTCATTTTGTAAGACAGTTAATTGTTCTGGCTATTTCATTCGCTGGAATAATCTTCCGACCTTGATGATCATTGGTTCGAAAAAAGAATATTCGATTTCGAGAATATTATTTTCGCACTTGTTTCGATAATTAAAACGTTCTTTTCATCTGCTAGCGATATATTTAGATACTTTATAGATAGAATCGTCGAAAAAAAAATGTTATCAAATTACAACAATATTGACATTGTCATAGTGAGACTTCATACTTTTCTCCTTTGTCAAGTAATGAAATAATGAGACTTGCCTTGTCACGAGGAGTACAAAGCGATTAAGACAAAAAAAACTGAATCTCAGAAAATGATTAAGTCTTTCTCTACATTGATAAATTTCGATTACGAAATAAGTACACATGACCTGTTTAAAATCATAAGAATACAAAACTTAACCTCCATTGGCAAAAAACTCCTTCTGAGAGTATAGAATGAACGGTATGTGTGATACATATCCATCCCGTTCCTCAAAATAGTACGGTGGCGATAACGTCACGGATATTATGCTAACTACGTCGACGTAGGAGTTGGATTCAAGGATAATTTGAGAAAAGTGCATTCGTATCACTGTCATTCATTTCTGTTGACATTCGGATTTAAGAAAAAGTCGAAAAACGATTGATTTATTGTTTTTGTAATTTCGTCGCAAAGAATCCATCGGACAGAAGATGTCAGAGAGTAAGTTGAGATTTATTCGAATTTCTATATAAGATTAACAAAGAAAAATCACCAAAATTCCATAGAATACAATTTATTTTGTTTATACCATGTACATAAAGAAAAGAAGGTGTATAGCTTTATACTGTTATTCAACTTTAACTAACATACACACATAAAATACATATATAAATATTCAAATTCACTTTTTCGCAGAATTCTCTCTCAGTGCCATGATCGAAATTCTTCTTCATTATCAGTGAGATCATGTTCCTCAGCAAATTGAAAATCATCTTCATTGGTCAAATACGATCCATACGATTCCATGTCATCATCATCATCATCATCATCGTTGAATAAATAATCAAGTCTGAAAAGAAAGAAGCATGACAAGATTCAATCAAATCATTCGTGCAGTTTGCCAGTAAGCTTACTCATCGAAGAATCGTCCAACGTCCATCGATGAAAAGATCGAAACCATTAGAATATCAGATAAACTTTCGAATTCCCCTTGAGTATTCATTCGTCGTCGACGACGTGGTGGACCTAATTGAACATACTGCCCACGTTTATCCACATGTAAATAGAAACATTTCGAGCCGAATGGGCACACGCCATCACCACGTTTAAAGAATTTACAATGTATTTGCCTAAAACAATCAGCAGAATCATCTTGACTTACAGATCTGAGTCTTTCTTACTGAAGATTTTCCTTGTACGCTTGAATAGCGTTATTCTTCGCTTGATCATTTTCTGGCCAATACTTCGTTGGAGTAACGAAATCCGATTTTGTTCGACATTCCGGACTAAAGTTTGGAAATGTCAAAGATAAGCGTCATCATGAATGTTATTGACTTCATATCTAACCAGGCTTTTACAACTTTATGTTCATAGTTCGATGATGATCGCCATTTTCGTATACATTCCAAACAAAATATATGATCACAATTTTCCAACAAACCAAATCGTTTATCACCGTCACGATCCCAGACTTTCTCCAAGCAAATACCACATTTCTTCTCTTGACTACGTTGAATAGCAAACGCTTCTTCACACTCAGCTTCATGTTTTTTCAAACATTCCTATTCGAAAGAAATAGACAATGATTGCATTTGATTTTTTAAAAATCTTCTTACGAAACGATGTTCTTCTCGTTGTTTGTCGTCCGTTGGATCTAAGACAGGCAAATTACAAAAATCACATGTATCACCATGAAGATACGGACAAAAGCGTCCTGCGTCTAATGCTTCGCATAAACCATTTTTTTCAGCATATGGACAAAATGTGGAAATAGTAAAGTTAGGAGCATCACTGTTTTGTTGTTCTTCATTAGAATTCGACGGTTGATATAGAACTAAATCACATAGACGAAGCCTAGTACGTAGGTAGGGAATGTTATGATCAATGGTAGGTTAGTATGCGCTGTGAATACCAACGAAGATACTTTTACATATGTTTTCTTCACTGTAGTAATAAATAGAACGCATTCATCTTGAACATTTACCTTCATTGCTCGCATCACAAAAAGATTGAGATTTACCATCGAAAAGTTCGGATATCGGATCGATAGAACGAAGCGCCAGTTGTGGTTTAGGTCGTACATGATCATACCTAAGAAAATAAAGAATATCTTACTATAGAATACAAATGAAGTTATGTTCGTACCTGCATCGATCTCCGTACATACATTTGCCCCTCAGATAATATCGGCAGGCATTATTTGATTGATTATTTGATCGATCATGTGAATAGAAGCATTTATCGCCATAACGACATTGATTTGAAAGAAAATATCTAAATAAACAGAACAGAGTACTCGAAACGAAATGAGTGAAACGAGTAATGTTTGTACCGGCACAGGTCCGTTGATCGTTGAATAGCACCAGTTGGAATAGATGAAGCCATTAGTGAAGATCGAATACTAATAATAAGAAAAATGAAAATCAATGAAAAAAGAAAGGAACATCAGTTGTTTTTTATCGAAAACACATATGTCGAATCGAAATCTAACGTGCGTCAGATTTCATTGGATGATTGTGTTACAAATAGAATAGAATCGTTTGTTACCGTCAAGATGAACGAGAGATTCTTGTAAGTTATAGTCAGATCTTTTTTTTGTGGAAAACGATATCAATATAGCTGGTAATCGTATTGTTGCATTCGTAACTACTGTCATCTACAGTCAACATATTCAGAACGTCAAAAGTGAATGATGAAGTTTAATGTGAATTGTCACTCCATTGTGCGATCCGTTGAATAATATCAATTCGAATCCATTGAATCCAATCGTAGTAGTTAATTAAGATATTATTTTCAGCCGTTTTTGCTTTTAATTGTTTCATCAATTGACAAAGATTTCTTCGTAAGACATTCAAACTAGCAAAATCATCTCGACGCATTTCGCATGTGTAATATCTCAAATAATTGAAATATTCCTGTTGAATTGCAACGAGAACGAAATTACAAAGAATCTCGCGACAGATAATTTTAACATAACGAGTTTTTAACATGTAAAACTTCGTTTTCAGAAATGTTAGATCTTCGGATGGTAGACGATCGACTAAATGAAAGGAAAATCTACAACGATCGGCAACGGTCGAATGGCGACTAACGCGAACGTTTTGTATAGACACGTCGTTGAAAGATTTGTTTTGTCAGTGTTTGTTGCTTTGTATACGACTGATCGAGTAGTTTTTCCATATGAACTTTAACAGTCTACATGGAAATTTTGTTGCAAGCTTATGTAAAGCTGGAATTGTTTTACTTCGAGTTGCATGTGATCTTTCTTCTCGAGAAATTTTTGATTGTTACGTCGCAGCTGATGAATTTCGCTTTTCAGAGAGTAGATACATTTGGTGATGATTTGAATATATCGATCCTGTTGATGAATATGCTGATCGTATCGAGCTAATTTCTTGTAAAGTAATTGACACAAATCAATACGACGAATAATCATTCGGCCGAGACTCGATCGGATATGCAAACAGTTTTTCACATCCTCTCGTATTTTTTCAAGAGATTCAACTGAATTTTTGTATTGATTACGAAGGCTTGTGACATGTGTATGAATAGTAAAGAGTTTTCTGGAATTCATTTCAAGTTGCTCTTGAAGAGCGGTATGAAATTCACGCAGTTTATTCAACGAGACTTGTTGAACTAGTAAATCATTCTTACAAATAGATAATTGTTCTGCAAATGTTTGTCGATAATGCTGAGAATGTCTGAAATACGAAAATAATGATAAATAGGTAAGAATATCGTGTGAATTACTTGATACTATTGATTGCAATTTGGATTTGCATTTGTATGGAATGCTGTTTCGTTCGATATACTTCTGAACGATTTTTCATTCGAGTTAATAGATATTTCGATTGTAAATAGTAATTCTGCTCTTGTTTAAGCTGATTTTCTAGAAAAAGATGCGTTGAATGATCATTTTACGCGAATGGCATTCACCTAATGTATGAATGTGTTCTTTGTTTGCTTTAAAAACGATGTCATTTTCTTTGACACGATTGAGAATCTGTCGAATTCGATTGACAATTCTATTGTTTTTGATTTGCAATTGTTCATCTTGAGTTTTATACTTCGTAGACATTTGCCGGTCACGAATCTTGTGTTGGATCAAAGTCTGACGCGTTTGCTTCAAATGCTCAATTTCTATTTGTAGGTTCGATAAATTATTTGGGTTAGTCTGCGTATATTGTTGATAGAGTTGATTGACGAATGTTTCTAGATAATTATTTTCATCGAGCAGTGAATGCAATTGTTCAGTTGATGTGTTAATGCGTATTTGCTCTAATTTCTTTCGAGCTATGAATGAATCGTGTTGCTGAGCGAGTGTATGATGAAGACGATCATCAGCGGAATATTGTTTTAGTTTGGTTGCCAGCTGATGTTCGAGTGAACGACGCTCAGTCTAAAGGAAAAGGAAGGACAACACGATGAGATGTATGAAAATGAAAAGGAAAAACTTTGAGTTGAATGTAGATTTCTCGATGGATCTATAAAGAAATCTGATTAGGGATGTATAGATGAGACATTTATCAGTTCTACTTTGATATCTTCATTGAATTGCTGTTCATTGTGTAACATGGTTTGATAATCATTATCTTTCTTGACAAAGGTTTGTTTTAATTTATAGATTTTCTCTTGAAGACTTTCGATTGTTCGCTCTAATTGTCGGTTGAGCGATTTCTTCTCGTCAATTTTATTCTCGAATATGTAGATCAACTGTTGAGTATCATTTGTTGTTGTTTGCCGTTGGAATGAACTGAAGATTTGCATAGAGCTAAATTCTCGATCAGTTTGTTGTTTCAATTGCTGTTCGAGTTCACTCAATGTCGAACGAAACGTGTCTAAACTTGCACGATAATCATGCAGTAGAGAATGGTATTGCTGCATCTGCTCGAAGAGATTATATTTGAGCAATTCGGTTTGGGTGATTATTGAATCTCGTTCGAGTTGAAGGTTATTCAATTCGATAGTGTGCGAGCGATGAGTGTTGGTTTGAAGATAATTTAAATGAATTAGATAATGAGAACAACGAGCACGAGTTTCATGCAACTCCATTTCTAGTTGATCTATGAAAATATTGGTTTTGGAATTGAGAAGACTTTTCATTCGTACGTACATTTCACATCGTGTAATTGTTGAATTTCTAGAGAGAAAGAAGTTAGTTGTTAAGAAGAGAACGTTCATTTGAATAGAAAGAACCTTTTCTTAGGTAGATTAACTCGATACTCATTTCTTGCAATTCCAAAGCGAATTTCTGATGTTGTTCTTGTTTGATTTTCATTTGTAGTAAACTTTCATGTTCTTGTTTACATTGCTTTAATTGATATTGCATGTAAATTTCACTCTGGATACATTCATCGAACTTCTGCCAGGTTTTCGTTGTTAAATTATATAAGATTCGTTTCTCTCGTTTTGCTAGTTTATGATTATGATTGAGAATAGGCAAAAGTTCGCTGTTATACAATAATGCATGTTTTATTCTAAGAATTTCGTCATCGAAATCAACACTTCTCAGAATTGATAAAAGCAAATTTTCATACAAACGCCGATAATTACTCTTAAAGTGACGAGCTCGATATTCATCAATATTTCCCAAGATCTCATCGAACTCATTCTCGTCCATATGCCGATAACGTGCGTAAAAATCTTGTTCGATTTGATGTTTGTAATCTAGCGTTTGCTGAGGTTTCGCTAGTTGTAAACGCAGTTCCGGTAATGGAAGATACGTTATTCCGGTATTGATTAGATGTGCAGAAAACATCGATTTTGAATGTAAGTCATTGTCATCTTGTTGATTCATTGTGCTGATTTATAATTAATCGCCAAGTCTAATTAACCAAGTACTTCGTCTTTTGTATATAGCTTCACAATGCGAGTGTTGCAGAACTAGTGACCTCTATCCGGTTCAATCGAAATGAAGTATCCCTTGTTCTTTCTCATTTAACCCTCGCTCAAATTCAAAATCTGTTTTCAAACCGTTCAGACATGTCAGAATCGTGCGAGCATCCATTTTGTACTCGTACTGCCTTGCAAAAATGCTCGAATCATTGCCAATTGGATCTGTGTGAAGAACATTTTACTGAACATAGGAATCTGTTTCTTGTTCAATATGAAAAGTCGTTTAGTCAAATAGGAAAATCATTCACTGAATTGATTAAGTTGATCGACGAACAAAAGGCCAACTTGAATTCAAATTATCAAAAACAACGTGACTCAATCCATGAAAATTACCGAAAAAAACGACTTGAAACCGACGAAAAATCTCGACTGGTACAGTCCGTACAAAAACTAATCGAAACTAAAGTTCAATTATTAACCGATATGAAACATGATAAGGCCATGATAAATCAACATGATATCGAACAAATGAAGTTGTATTTACGTAAACTTCAACAATATCCTCTAGAAGAAGAAGTTATTGTTAAAAAGTAACACGGTCGATTTAATTTCTCACAAAAGAATGTTCTCTTATAGAATTGAAAGAGTGTCAACCAATTTGAATGTCGACCAAGGACAACGCATGGAAGATGAAGATGATGACGAGGAGAGCGATGATGACAACGACAACGATGAGGATGATGATTTTGGCCCTTCGCAAAAAAAGCCAAGAAACCAATCGCTTAAAATCATATTGTACCATGATTTTTGCCCTTTGACTCAGCTTGGTGTATTTGGGTTTGAAGAAAAGCACGGCGTTCGTCTATGTTCAACAGAAAAGAACCGTGGTGATCGACAATTACTTGCACATTTACAGAACTATCATCATCTAACAGCATCGATAGCCTATCGATTAACAAAAGCCGTTCGTCATGGATTAAACCCACGAACAACACGCATTTTCTCATCCGAGCACAAGTTATCCGATATACGCTGTGAATTAATGGAATGCCCATTGAAAACGATGAAAATCGCCAACTGTAAAAGTAAACTTTATCAAACGGGATTGAAACAACATCTAATCAGCGTTCATCAATTAACATTGAAAACAACGAGTAAAATTCTTCAGGCAGTCAAAGTCGATGAAGGTCTAACCCATCTTGAACTGGATGAAGATGAATTGAAATGAAAAACATTCAACCTAATCGATTTTTTCATGTTTATTTCACAGATCATCAAGACACAGCAATGTGTTGGTTTTAATTGATCTGATTGCCTTTGTTTTGTGTCCTTTTATTCTATGAATAAACTTTCCTTGTTTTAGATGACATGTCAACATCCCCGTTGTTCCCTTCCGATACATTCGATATGCTCAAACCATTGCTTCTGGTCACTTTGTTCACACCACCTGGACGAACACCGAACAATTCTCATCAATGAATTTGAACAAATCGTACAGGATCTAATCAAACCGACTAATGTGTTGTCGAAATCTGTTGAACAAACCAAGGAAAATATGACTAAAGATCAACAGCTTGAATTTGATCTTCTTGAACGTTCTCATCAAAATCAAATTCAAAAATTTGATCAGAGATTAATAGCCATCAGTCGATTACAAATTCAACATAATCAAATGTGTGAACATCTTGTTAAAATCAAAAATAACGAAACTAGTTTGACGCAAGACGATTTTCAAAAAGTGGATAAGTTAATTCAAGAAATTAATCAACATAAAACTCTGCCAACAGGTTCTTTTACTTCTAAATTAATGAACTACTCTAATGAATGTTTTAGATTTCGACATTTCTCGACGAGAAAAACAAGTTCAATCAAACGATTGCCCATTAAAGAGTTTAAATGTATACGGTTTACATGCCTCACACAACGTCCGGTTATGTACACATCAGAAGAGAAGCCGTGATCTTTACAATCACTTTCGATACTATCATCAGTTAACGAAAGACTACGCCAATATATTACAGAATGCTGTTCTGGATAATCTCGATCCAAAGAAAACTGTACTCTTTCCAGCAGATGCCGTCATCACTGACGTGCACAAAAAATACCCATGTCCGTTCCAGGATGCTTCAGTCAGTCGTGGAGTTCATAGTACGCCTTGTTCGTTTTTAGTCTCCAAACGATATTTGCCTGTTCATCTTAAAACTATTCATCATCTTCGAGCAGCACAAATCCAAGAAGTAGTGAAATCAACAAAATTTGAAAATTAGAATAAATAAAACAGCGTGCTTGATAGATTGTTTTGCTTTTAGATAAGAGAATCAGTATGACATGTGAACATCCTCGTTGTTCGTCGGATATATTTTCAAGATGTACAAATCATTGTAAAAAGAATGTGTGTTTGGAACATTTGATCGAACATGGAGATGCTTTCTTACATGATTTCACTAATTTAATGGATCGATTAGATAAGGCAGTAACGTGTTTGGCGCAAGTAACGACAGACACGGCAACAGCGGTGAGTGAAAGTAGATTTATTCGATGAAAAACAAAAGTGAAGTCTTCAAATAGATTACTGAACGTCACCAGCGCGATATTAGTCGTATAAATCGTATTTATGACGAACAACAAGAGACTCTTCGAAAGCGATTGGCATTTGCTGAAGAGGCAAATGCGTTTGTAAAAGACAAAGAGAGTCTACTAGCAAAATCGACATTTGCTCAGCATGATGTCGAACAAATCAACATGTATACAGTCGAAATAAAAAATTTCACAATCAATAAACAAGACTCAAAACCTTTCATTCCGTAAGTAATCTCCTGATTTCCTGTTCCGATGATAATTAGCATCTATATTTCAGACAACCATTGGATACGCTCGATTCGAAAATGTTTCAATGTCCTCTAACCAAACCCAACGTGTTCGGTATTACATCTGAACACAAGATTCGTTTCGATTGCGATGGTGCGTACCATCTAAAATACAACATAGTTAAACATTTCGAATACTATCATCGAATGATACCGGAATGTGCGCTTCGATTACGCAATGCGATTGTCGACGATAGATTGCCTCCTGAAACGAAATTATTCTCCAATACAGAAGTTCTATTCGTAAGTAATACACATAAGTCAGTATCCTAAATTCTGTTTTCGTTTCGAGAACCGAGAATATCGTTCTGACTGTCCATTAACTGATCCAACGAATATCTACGGTGCCAACGCAACAGTCTCGACACTACTGCATATACCATGTTCGAAAAAGCAATTGACATTGCCATCGATGCAGAATCATTTTCATTTGTATCACAAGATGCGATATGATGTTGCGAAGAAGATCGTTGATGCCATGAAGAGTAAATCACTTCATCCAGACCTGATTCTTTTTGGAAAAAATGAACGACTCGGAACCATTCCACAGAAAAAATAACAAAAATCCATTCTTGTTCTCTTTATTGTTTTATGTTTGTATTTCATATTGTTCATTGTGAAAAGAAATATAAGCGTGCTGAAACACGATTGACTCATTCTTTGGCGGGTACGTATTTCTCGCCTATTCTGACGACACTTTTGCAACATTCGAGTTTTGACCGATGTGATTCAGTTTCTGTCGAGAATGACTCCGATTTTGTTTATATAGAAGCGACATCTGTTTTCAAATGGAACTGTCGATTGGTTCCTGTGTGCCATATCATCCGAAAGTGAGTCAGAAAAAAATGGAAAAATAACCTTCGTCGTTCGTTGACGTCAGCACTGCATTCAAATAAATTCTTCTGTTAGTTTCTTGAATATACGCTAGAAGTCCAATGTGTACTTAGATATAGCGTGATTTCAGATCTTTGTTACGTTTTTTCGCCGAATTATTCCATATTAAGAAACTCCAAATCTAAGTTCAACGATGAAATTATTGGCAATATTTGTTTTACATAAAGAAGGTGATAAGAAAGTCAAAATACTTCAGGATGAATTCAATCTCGACAGTTTTGGTTATTTTGAACGTCGCAGGTAAGATGCATTGATGAACGAATTCGCTGACAAACTTTTTCTTTTACAGTGTACAACCATTGCTTGTCTTCTCAGCAAGAACTGTCACTGAACGTACAGCCATAAACACCAGACAATCTGTTGAAGCCGATCAAAACGTTAATGGTGAGGAGAATCGATGAAAGAAAACAATATGTGGTTCTAAGCTTTTGTTTAATTTCAGCTATGGTTCATGTTTATGTTCGTTCGGATGGTTTAGCATCAGTTATTGTCTCCGATGGTGAATACCCACAACGAGTTGCACACACTCTGTTGAGTAAAGTTAGTTATTCTTTGCTCTGCACTGTGAGAGAAGGTTCATCTGTCATATTTGCTTCCGTTTAGGTTATGGATGACTTTACCAGTGTTAATCCACCCTCAACCTGGGCAGGCATGGCTGAACAGTAAGTTATTCGATTCTAGAATCATGTGGAAATAACAATTCAGTTGATTTAGATCTGGTAAGATGGCATCGTTGGGTGAAACTTTGAGAAAATACCAGGTACGAGATTCGATCAATGCTTCTCGATATTGGACCGCCTTGTTGCCATTTAGAATCCCCAGGAAGCTGACCCATTGATGCGTTTACAAAAAGACCTTGATGATACGAAAGACATTCTTGTAAGTTTGACTATCCCGATGAAACTCATCTGAATGATTTCGTTTAGAAAAACACCTTGGTCAACGTTCTCGAACGTGGCGAGAAAATCGATGATCTCGTCGCTCGATCAAATGATTTAAGTTTCGAAGCCAAAGCATTTTATAAAACGGTAGGGAGAAAATCACTTTCACACGCGCGAAAATTTCTTCTTCTGTTTAGGCTAGAAAAACGAATCGATGTTGTACATTATTCTAATTATTTATTTTCCATCTTATCTACAATACATTGTAACTTCAGCGTTCTTTTCTTTCGTTCATTATATTTTCTTTCTTCATCGTTTTTTTTTTGTACAAACTACCAGGTGAAAAGTATCGAAAAAGCAACTAAACATTCGGTTCACATATAGATGCTCATCTTTTCGGTTTCGAATATTACATTTGGTCAGTCGTATGAATATACTGATGTATTTATTCTTTATTGTACGTGTGTGTGTGTGTGTGTGCGCATGTGGGTGTCTTTAGAAACCAAAAATTCTTCTCCTGAACAATCCGGAATATGAAAGTTTAAAGAGAAAATAAATCGCGAGATGATGGATTGTTAATCTCAACTTCGGAAAGTTGAATTCTTTGTCTTTATTTTTCTTGTAATTGAAACAACCATTCGCATTGAAATAAATTTCCAGAATTATCATTTAGATAGACGATTGAGAAAACGACAAACATCATGTCGAAATCACCCTTCTACTCCATACTTCTTCCGACTTATAATGAACGAGACAATTTACCTGTTGTTGTTGCTATGATAGAACAATACTTACGTGATATTCCACATGAAATCATTATTATCGATGATAACTCACCTGATGGAACACAGGAAGTCGCTACTGCTTTACAACATCAGTTAGGGCCTGAACGCATCATTCTCAAGCCACGTTCGGGCAAACTAGGCTTAGGCTCTGCTTATATTCATGGCTCGCAATACGCACGCGGTGATTTCCTGATCATAATGGACGTTGATTTATCCCACCATCCACGATACATTCCAACATTTATCGAAAGACAACGCGAAGGTGATTATGACATTGTCATCGGTAGTCGTTATTTGCCAGGTGGTGGCGTTGCCGGATGGAATCTTAAACGTAAGATCATCTCTTGTGGTGCAAACTATGTAACTCAATTACTTCTTCGTCCACCGATATCTGACGTTACTGGTTCGTTTCGTTTATATCGCAAATCTCATTTTGATCGGTTAGTTAGTCAGTGCACTTCGAAAGGATACGTTTTTCAAATGGAAATGATTGTTCGCGCTGTGAATGCGAACTTACGCATTGCTGAAGTTCCGATTATTTTCGTGGATCGAATTTACGGTGAATCGAAGTTGGGTGGACAAGAGATCGCCTTATTTGCTAAAGGTGTCTTGCAATTAACATTTTTGGAATGATTTTAACCTTGTCATTTATTTTCTTGCAAAGAAAATGAAAAACATTTTACTGTTTTACCCTAAATAAAAAAACACGCATATTGGCCAATAAACTTATTTAAATATTGTTCTGTTTCACTTGTCATTAGTCTAACACGATTGACAATCGTTACGCAATTCGTTCATATACTACTGACAGATACTTTCGCTTTTCGTTCTATGAATTGCATGCAAAACAGACGTCATTTCCTTTTCCTTTCTTTCCAATGTGTGTTGTGTAATATCATTAGTCATCATCGTTGTATTTATGTCACATTTTCATATGAAAAGTCAGTCTTAACATTACCTGTTTACATCTGAACTCAAATGGCAGCCAGAAATGCTCAGCGATTTTATGGAAGCGGATCTCGCGCTGGTATGGGAAAAGTTGTTGAATTGTCCAAAGCTTTGTCATGGCTACTTCGCCATGCTGTAGTTAAAGAAGGTTTGCAATTTCAAGCTGACGGTTATGTTTTTGTCGATGATATTCTTCGACACCCGTCATTTACCAAATATACCATCGACGATTTTCATGAATGCGTCGAAAAGAATGAGAAGAAACGTTTTGGACTGAAAACGGATGAAATCACCGGAAAAGAAATGATTCGTGCACATCAAGGACATTCAATACAGGATTTAGATATCGACATGAGAGAAATCACAGACCCTCAAGAATTCCCTACTGTTTTACATGGCACTTACAGAAAGCATTGGTCTTCGATCTGTAATAAGGTAGGACTGACTCGCTTGGTGCTCAGTGATTTTCATCTGATATTCGTAGGGTTTATCAAAAATGGGTCGAAAACATATTCATTTTGCACCAGGATTACCCAAAGGAGCTGGTGTGGTCAGTGGTGAGTAATATCCGTCGTTCGTAAGAGAATTTCTCTAATAAATTGTTTCTTTACAAGGAATGCGAGCTAGTGCAGATTTATACATCTATATTGATATGGAGAAAGCTTTGAATGGTGAGATTTATTCGAATCTTTTTCTTAATTATGCAACAGAAACTTTCTTTTCTAGATGGTTTGAAGTTCTTTGTATCTAGTAACAATGTCATCCTTTCCCCTGGTAACGAAAATGGATGTATTCCCACTCGGTATTTTCGTTTAGTCGAGAGCTGTCGCGGTGAAAGAATTCCGCTACCCGTCGAATCATTTGAAAGAACCACAACTGACACTCGTTAGTTTCATATTTTACTGAATAAAAGATTGAATTTTTCGTATTAAATTGAACAACTTTTATTTCCTTAATCACATGATATTCACAACAACAAAAAAAACTTCATTTATCGTGGTTGACACGTCCGATCGATGAAACTACAACGTAAGGGTGGACAACAATCGTAATGATAATCACATGATCGATGCATTTTTTTGCACGAAGACTCGAAAAGAAATCGTTTTGATCTGAAGACATTCAGATCTTTGTTTGAAACAAGCGATGTACCAAGTAAACAAATAAGAAGTGCTAACACAAATATCCAGCGCATGATTTGATGTGCGAATAAAGACGACGATGTTTACATTCGCGTCTATTTTCTCTCACGTGCATTTTATCATTCTTGCATGTATAGTCATCGAGAAAAGAGAGAAATCTTAATCGAGAATCAAAAGAGATCTAGACATACACTTTAAAATATGATTGATTACTTACTAAATAAATTGTCGGGAAACATGCACATGGAAAAACTCGCTCTTCTCATGTTGTCGGACCGTTCACAAAGAGTATTGACTATGGAGTATGTTAATATTTTTCTCGAGATGACAATTGTTGTTCTCTCCCAACTAAAACACTTTTTTCCAGACGAAGAGAACGAGTTTAGTACTTGCTTCTCGAAATCGATAGACATTAATCAAAAAAAGTCATCCCAATTATCTCGTTCAGCATCGAACGAATAGAAATTCAATGTTATAGAAATGATTTCCGCTGTTGGGAAATGACCATGTTTACGAAGGTAATATCTTTCTATACGTCCATTTGCTTGTCAATGTGACTATAAATAGAGAATCACGAGAGAATAAATAGAAAACTGACATGTTATTTTCCTTGACAATGATGAAAGTTTCAACAGGTCTCGACATGACGGAATAATCTTTCTTAATTTTAGAAGACAAATGACAAAGTTGAACGAAATGAAAAGAAAAAAAACAAGATAGTACCCGAACACGAGTGAGCATTGGGAAAATGTTAAACACGATTCTTGCGTACATGTTGTATTGTTACAATCGAAGAACGGATTGACATTCACAGCAGATCGAAATGTCGGTGTACAATTGAAACTATCATCTAGACAACATTCGCATGTGCATTCTTTACGGTCATTTTCGTATTAAAAGACGTGACAAAGATTCAGGAGGATTAAGACGATCATTTTTGTCCATGTCATAGCCTATTTCTGTCTAATGAGTGTGCGCGCTTTAATAGTTCATCGATAAGAATTAACTTTAACGGAGTAATTATAAAAATAATCTAAGATAAGTGTTGTTGAAAAGACTTCTGTTCTCATCGAATGTCAGTTGAAAAGTAGCATCCCCATTTCGATGAATGTCAAGAATATGAAAACAAGTTCTGATCAATTCGAGCTTTTTCATCAGAGAAAAAGACATTCATTTAGTCTAATTTCTTCTAACAGAGCCTATTTCATTTGTTGTTGTCTGCATCATCGCATGTCAACAGCAGAGGAATTTTTCTCCGTTTATCGTTTTTGTTATTCTTATTAAATACAAACTAACAACACAAGATATATTCGCGTGTATGCGTTTGGTTGATGACAATATACTAACTATCATCATTTGTTTCAATGCCCGCTAAGAGATTATACGCTACGATGGATGACAAAGTGCATGATGTGTATTGACGTACGAACAAGTTGCCAAATATGCGTTTGGTCTGCTTAGTTTAAGAGAAAACGAGAGAAACAAGCCGTCGAGAATAAGATGTGTGTAGGTACAACGTTTAGTTTTTTTTTTCTTCTTCCAGTTCAGCGTTCTTAGTTGTAACAAGAAGAAACAGAACAGAGGAAGAAAAAGGAACTGGTACAACTAAGTGATCGCTATTAATAATAATGTGTCGAAGCCATCATGTCTGCTAGAAAAATAAATGAGAAATCCCAGAGAACAAAAAAAAGAATAACAGTCGCATAAAGGTAGGTGATTCGTTTTACGTACTAATTTTTGGTGAAAGATAGTGAAAGCAGTTGGACTGGCAAAATAGAAATTATACAGTGAATAGAATAATCAACAAAGAGCTTTTCCTTCTTTAGACGTTCGCCGAATGGAAGGATCGAACGATGAACTAATAGCAGAACTATTTTTATTGGATGAAAAACGCATTTTTTTGCTCTAACAATATAATCATAAAATATATATGATGTGAATGATTAATAAGTTAAATGTAGAGAATGGCAAAAAAATGTAAACATATTGACTTATTATGATGAAAATAGCGCTATCAGTTTAAAAGGTGATTCACGAACGAAAAGAGTGCGTCAATGATCTTATGTAGTTCAACTAAGAAGGTATCGATCAGGATTTATTCGTCTACAGAACGACAAGTATCTTATTTCATTTGAAATATTCTTCAACATGATGATCTGTATTGAATATCATGTCTTGAGAAGTTTCTCTTCGTGATAAATGCGGCAAATGAGCATGCGTGTCTATGTACGATCAGACTGTCCCTTTTCTTGCTTCATTACCGTCACTTATATTTTTCTTTTTTCTTTATCACTATTGACTGATCAACGGTGATTACGTTAGTTTTTCGTTTTTCTTCCTTCCCTACGTCGTGTTCGGGTGGTAATGATGCATTTTCCTTCACTTTCTGTTCTGTTCACGAATCGATCACCGCACATGCCGTTTTTTTCTCTCATGTAAGTATGTCTACGGTAAGTAATTCATGCGTATGTTTGTTTTCCTATTGTTTTAGAGTCGTATATTCGACCGAAATGTTGTATACGTGCGCGAAACAACTAACTTGAGAAATTTATGTTGGGTAAATGTTAATTTAGATGAAAACGTTTGAAAATAAGTCAAATGTGGAAGAGCGACATTCTGGGTGAGGGCACTCAGATTCCTTTCATCTTAAAAAGAGAAAAAAGGAGGAAAGAAGGCATACAGACATACATCTAAAACGCATAAAAATATTTTTTTCTCTCTTTACCGCTTTCTCTCCCTTCATCGTTTCTTATTCCTATACGATTATAGCTTGCGGGATAATGTATATTTGCTATATATATATATATATATCATCATCATTTATTAGCATATATCCAGGAAATTTTCAGTTTTATTTAGAGCGAAGAGAAAGGTAAGGAAAGGAAAACCTTTCATATTAATTATCTAATAAAAAATAATTTTCTTTAGTCTTTTTTTTTCTGTAGAAAAAGTTCTTTTATTTACATCATAATGCTTTTTTTGCTAATTATTAGCATGCATTCATACACGTGTAATAGTCACCTTTAGGTGATTCTGTTGACAAATAGATTTACTCGTATATTTGCTAACTAGATTTGTTTCTCTTTATTATCATACAAAAGGTTCTTTGTAGAAATGAAATATGTTTGATTTACGTTGATTTTTGTTCTTCTTTTAGACTTGATTAGAATGTTTATAAAATGACACGAAATCCCAGTGCGAAGACTATGCCCTCACCAACGCGTTCGACGAGAACTGAAACAAGTTCGATTAGTGATGGTTTCGTCAACTTACCTGATCTTTCTGGTTTGAAAGAGGAAGAAAAACGACATATTTTGAGCGTTCTATTACGAGATGAAAACCTACGAAACAAACATTTAGCGCGGTTCATGTATGTATACGCTTGACGTGCAAAAACGCATTTGAATTCAATGGATTTGTTGAACCATCCTAGGCAACTGAGAAAAGAAGTCGCTGATCTCGAACAAAAACCTCAGACAACATCGACGTCAGTGTGTGCGCGATGCCAAACGCCGTTCGGTTATATATTTAATACGGGCGATGCGTGTCCAAAATGTGGTGCAAAAGTTTGTAAACAATGTCGACTTATGTACAATGTTCATGATAATGGTTGGCTTTGCCAATTGTGTTGTAAGCAAATGTAAGTTTGACTGATTTGTAAAGAATTCTGCAGCAAAAAGGATATTCCGACGCCGGGAATCGAACCCGGGCCTCCTGCGTGAAAGGCAGAAATCCTAACCACTAGACCACGTCGGATATGTAGATATGATCTCTATGGAAGTTGTTTGATTTAAAATTCAGAGTTCGTTTCTATTTAGGCAATTGATGAGCTATTCTGGCGAATGGATCTATTCTCTTCGAAGTAATCTTCGGAAAGATTCAACTACGGCATCGGAAGTCATACGCCAATCAATTTCACAGTCGAATTCGATGCAAGGTTTGTTTCATTCCGATAAATCTATGAGTGGTATCCCTTTTCCTCGATATTCTTGCAGATATCAATGAACTATCGAGCTCGGATACGGAAACAGAAAGCACAGCGAATTCAGTGGAAAGTCGAGGTCCGCGACTATTACAGACTCGATTTAGCCAACCGATTCCTGCTAGTACACCTAGCCGTATGGTTGTTCAGTCCTCAACGGACGAGGAGAAACTCAATTCTATAAAACAAAACGTACAAAAGCGCCCTACATATCGACAATCATACGAACTACCTAAAACACATTCGAGTGCATTAAATGTTGGATCAACTGATGATACCGACTCTGTATTTGCTCGTTCACCCAATCTAGCAGCTCGCGTTTCCACATCTAACAGCCATATAGATAACAATGATAAGTCACCACGTGATGTAGACTCAACTAGACGACTTGACTCATCGTCGACAGTGCAAAGCGAGCGTGACTATTTCAATGGTAGAAACAAAGTTAGCATTGATTGTGCATCTGTGACATCCTCCGAATGGGGTGGTGAATCAGAACGAGGAGAACCAAGTATTCGTGAATCGAATACGACAAATAAACGTAAGTTTCTACCAGTGATATTGGTTTCATTCTGACGGATAACTATTTATTCATTAGGCGGATCGAAACATAGTCTAGTATCCCGAGCACATTTAGGCAGTTCCATTCAAAGCATACGAGATGCTATTCATTCGAAAAAAAACACGTCATCTTCACGAACATCGTTGAATAATGAAGGGAAAATTGAACCAACAACAGCGGATACCACATCGATGAAAAGACAAGGTAAAGTAGGCAACGTATAGATGTATCCGACGTGGTCTAGTGGTTAGGATTTCTGCCTTTCACGCAGGAGGCCCGGGTTCGATTCCCGGCGTCGGAATACCTTTTTTTCCTTTCTCGTCTTATTTTTCTCTCAGTATCTATGAAGCGAATCTCGTCCCTGCGTAAATACTTTTACAGACGACTAATCGTAACCTATCCTATTGATTTATAATTATCATCATTCGCGACCAAAAAAAAACATAAATATCATCCTACTCTACCGAATGTGATGGACGCCATGAAATGAGAAATAAGAAGCTTTTTTCTCTTCGATGACGAAAGCAATACTGACTATTAGTAGTTAGGCAAGAAAAGTATCTACACATTAAGTTGCATATAATGTCCTTTATGTGACTAATCGGTCACACTTGGACGACTATTGCTAAGTTAACGACAATTACATTTTCGCATTGTAAAAGCCCACATGTAAAATATACAATATTAGTCTTTTTTTCGTACGAAAAAAACAAGAAGAAGAAAAAACAACGCTTTACGTCAAATATCACATTATATTTCGATCAACCAATGAATAGAACTGATGTGTTCTGATCATGAATGAGTTTCATAAACAAGGACAACAATCTACGATATCCAAGCAATCGTCTCTAGAAATGCCCTCTGTAAATTCATCATCCAGAAATCCTCTAATTAAACAGCAATCCCTAGCCGATAATCATCGCGAACATGAAAACGACGTGTACAAAAATGCACGTATATCTCAAGCTGTCCAGCAGTGGCATTCGCAAACATCGAACATGTATGTTTTACCACCACCAGCCGATTCAATTCCAACGAACGGTCATGCAAATCCTAATCTGTCAAATTCTACTGATAAGACGAGTAATAAAGATGAAATCCAATCCAATCAGACCGAATCAGATAAATCAACAATGACGGTGAAGAAACGAACGACACCCGTACCTGCTTCTTACGCGCGTCGTAGAGCAAATATAAAGAACGAAGCTGCAGCAGCAAACTTGCTTCAACCGAATAATAAAACTAAACCTGCAGGAGCATCAACAAAAAAACCCGTAAAACCATCACCTATATTTATTGCTCCAAAGAAGACGTCACAGCAGCCGCATACTTATTCAACTCCTCTTTTTGATGAATTACAACAACTTCAACGAAAGAATACTCTCGAACGACAAAAGGCATCTATAGATGATCAACAGAACATTTCACCCGTCGCATCGTCCATGTCATCATCGTCACCTGTACGTTTCTTTGCTCATTCATCAGCTAGTTCACTTGATGATGAATACTCCAGTGACGAAAGTGATCATGAGAGTTTGTTAATAAGAAAGAAGATGTCTCATATTAAGGATCATCAACTAAATTTATCATGTCCATCCTATTTTGCTCTACCACCAACAATTTGCATTACTGATCCTCATGGACAATCGTACACGATTGATACTGACGACCATTATGCCGGCTTAAATGATGTGCATGAACAAACAAACGATTCGGATCCCTATTCACCAGTTTTCGCTCATCCAATGGAGATTTCGCCATCACCAACGGATAATTCCATGCCGTCATCGGCGATTCTCGATAAACACCCTCTGCATAGTATTGGCGAAGAAGAAGAGGATGAAGACAATGCTGATGTAAATACATTCTCGAAAGAATTGAACCGTATTGAAGCCTTGACTCGATCGCGGCAGCCGAAAGTCGATGTCACAAGTCAAGAGATAGAACAACCTGATAAGGAACCATTAAGTCGACGATGGAGTGATGGTATTGTCGATCAAGACAAAGAGAAAGGAGCTGGAGCACAGTCGACATTGATAAAAATGCCAAGTGTGGCAAGTGTAACCAAACCAACTACAACCAGTCCACCTGTCAAACTATCGAAAACTAAATACATTTTGATGAAACTACATTTAACATCAGCGAATAAAGATGACGAATCGAATATGTCATCGGCAGCAATAGTAACAAATCCTCCTAAGAAACGCACTGTCCATCGATCTTCGGACAAGAAACGTTATCAAACACAATGAAATAAACTTTCCCTGTCCCTTGTTCTTTCTTTTCCCTTATTAAATAAAATAAATCTCTTAAGTTTACTTTTTCTATTCGATTTGTACATGTTTCAGCTTCTCGTTCATTTAGAATCGACGGCGAAAGGTGATTCTCAATCGGTCGCCAATAGTCAACGCCAAGGATCAACAACCACACTCGTTTCAGTAGCTTCAGCAAAAGCTCCAGCTAAACCAGAAGCATTCGGTAGTGTCGGACATCTCAATGCAGTTGACACCGACGACGATGATGATGGCGACATCGACATCGACAAAACATTTGAAGAAGCAAAACTGGTAAGTGAGAGTAAACTGAACGGCTCGCAATTTATAACTATATGAATATCATACATCCAACCAACTTGTTCAGGAACATTTTTTGAATGTAATTAATACTAAACCTAAAGCGGTGAGCGTTTTCTCTGATTAGAAATTACAAAAGCGTGCTGTTTCGTGCATGGACATGCGTGTAAGTTTGAAAACAATGCTTGATTGAATGATATTTTCTAACACGCTTAGTTATCGAAATACTAAACCCAAATATTTGATTAATACGTTCTTTTTCGAATTTGGTCGATATCGAATATTTGCCTTTTAGGGTTCACAATTAAGTTTGAATAGTGTGGCAAGTGAAACTAAGGCCCGTTATGGTCTTGACATAACTGGGACAATAGAAACAAAATTAACGTATTCATTAGCAACAGGTGCATTAGATATTTACATCCTCAATTGCAAAAACTTGGCCAAGGCAAAAAAGAGCCAATCATCTGATCCGTAAGAATTCTTTCTAATGACTGAAACCAAAATATTTCGAGGTGGAATCATGTTTTTAGATTTGTTAAAGTTTACCTGTTACCCGATCGATCGAAGAATAGCAAACGAAAATCTACCGTGAAGAAAAATACGATTGATCCAGTTTTTGATGAAAAATTTCGTGTAAGTATTCGCAGTTATGAAAGACAAATTGTCCATTCTTCTTTCATATGGTTTATATTTTAGTACCATGTTACGAAGCAAGAATTTGAAACTCGAGTCTTTTGGATATCAGTGTGGAGTGTGTCATCGTTAGGACAAAATGATTTTCTTGGTGAAATACATATTCCATTAGCTAATTGTACACTCGATATTGTTCAAGAGCATCAATTACTCGCTCAAAAGAAAAAGAATGACGTAAGTTCTCATACATGAAGATTTTCATTGAATAAAAAAGGATTTTTTTGGAAAATTCAGTTAGTACGAGATATCGAACCAACAATGGATCCAGCAGAGATTATTTTTGAATTGACATTCATCGAAAATTCGAAAAATAAAGATATTGGAACAATACAAGTACACAATGTTCAAGGTAAAGCGATTTTCTTCGGTAAACATCAAGTCGAGGCGATTTGTAAAGGGTAAGTTCAGTCACATTTCGAAATTGAGATAACCGACTGAATTCACTAAGATTATTAATGCCTGATAAAGTGAAACGCAAAATGCCTAATCTACGAAAAGGTCCGACACCAAAATGGGAGATACCTTTGCGATGGGAAGGTATACGTCGCGATAATCTGAAAAATATCTCCATAGAAATCAGTATCTGGATTCAAGAACGTTTTCGAAAGTTCATGTTCGGCTTCGTTCGACTCAACCTTGCGCAAGGACATTTCGATGGCAAACCAGTGACTTGGTCAGATTCTACAAAAGCAGAAAAAACAGTATGGCAGAAGTTTATTCAAGATCCCACACGAGTACATCATTTTCAACTTCCACTACGACCAGCAATTACTGAAAATAAATGATCTCACTCAATGTCTATGATCGGTGCTCTATTCTTACTCATATTATTACTACTACTATTCTTATCATAGGGTAGAGACATATCAGTTTAAGTTTTTGTAAAAAGAAAAAAATACGGACAGAAGAGAAAAGATCAATTAAATCAACTATTTTGTTTTTATGTGCTTGTATACGAGATGGTGCTCTTATTTCGTAAAAAATTCAATAAAAATTTTTAATAGATCTATAATACTTAACTCTTCTTGATACCATATCATCAAGATTTATAGCTGTAAAGAAAATATTTGCATTAGTTCTGTCAATATTGATCTCCATTTTGAATATGTATGACATTCAAGTGCGGAATAGCTTGGCAGTTAACGCCATCTGTCGAATATAAATGAAAACATCCACTTTTTAAACAAACTTTCCCAAAACAACAATTCATTTTGGTTAAAATACAATTAATTGATGATCATTGAATACTAATGTACGTTATTGGTTCATCGAGTGAAATTGAAATGATTCATATGAGAGACAGGCAGACAGAACATTCTCTTCTCAATGATTGTTCATTCATATTGTTTTCGTTATTGACTCATTTTTCTTCCCACTTACCTGTTTCTCTCGTATATTACTAAAAAGATTTATTTCTGATTGAAAGTTAGTTACCAAGCATTTCAAGTCAATATGGATCGATTGAAAGAACTATTTCATACGAAAACACCAAAAGAAATCATGCAGGAAAACAAACGAGCGATTCGACGTGCACGACGTGAGCTTGAGCGTGAGAAAAATCGTTTGAACAATGAGAAAACACGAAATGAAAATGAAATTCGAAAATTAGCTGCCAAAGGCGAACAGGTAATTGCATCTTTTCAACATTCCCCATTGATCGATTAACTTTTTCTATCTGAAACTATAGAAAGCTCTACGTACTTATGCAAAAAACATTGTCAATCAACGTAATCAAATCAATAAACTAGGTGCTATGGACGCCACATTGTCGACATTAGAATCTGAAGCTTCGTCAATGAATGCCCAAATGACCATGGCTGGTGTTATGGTTAAAACAACCAAAACTTTAGCAAGATTGAATCGAATGGTTTGTTTACAATAATTGTTCTTGTCTTCTTCTTATTCGTTTATCTTCGATCGATTTAGATGCCGTTAGCTGACTTTCAAAAGACCATGCAGATGTTTGAACAAAACATGACTGCAAATAACATCAAACAGGAAATGATGAATGATGCTATGGATGCCGCTTTTGAAGGTGATGATGATGAAGAAGCCACGTATGTCAACTGAATTGAATCGCAGACATTCAGTTGATTAGATTTTCTTTTTTAGTGAAGAACTTGTCGACCAAGTGCTTAATGAACTTAATATAACCATGGCGAATCAAATTCCAAGTAAGTAATCTTTGAATCTAATTCTATCAACGATTTGCGCATGGTCCTTCTTTTTCAGCGGCACAAAATGGCGCTATCGGTGGTCGTGTTGCTAATCCGGGACAAGGCCAACAAGCACAAGCAGTATCGACTGCGGATGCGGATTTGGAGGCTCGTCTGGAAGCATTGCGTCGAAATTAAATTACACCACCAGTTGTATAAAACATTATTAGTACACTGGATAACCAAGTGTATTTGTAATTTATCTTTTCTCTAGCCAGTTTACACTGTTTTTTTTTCTACCCCAAAGCGCTTATCGACATAATTCTACTATTTGAATTCAATATATTTATTTAAAACACGCGAAAATCGAAATTTCATGCAGAGTGATGATAGAAACAACTGAAGATTAGTAAAAGGCATTGTTTGACAAAGTCATACGACTTTTACAAATCTCACTATATTCATGTTTTTTACCATCTGTCTGATAGAGTAGATCCTTGCCGTTACTTCGCAATAGAGTATGATATTTTCAAAGATCCTTCTCGTTTGTATTCTCAATATGTTCGTTTTTGAAATTCATATTGGAAAAAATGACTCTTTATCGAGTATTCAAATACTAGAATTCTCTCAAGTCGATTTAGAATTTGAATCACGGACAAAACTTTGGAACATGATTACGAACATGAACGTCTCGTCATCCTTGAAAAGAAAGAACACATCAATAAGCGTAGGGCCAGTTTGATTGTTTTTTAATGAGTTCTCTTTACTTAGACCCTTGTATGTTTAAAGTAATCGACATGATTCATTGACCCCAACTGTTCATTCTATTGATTTTTCAGCTGTGACAATCTACTGGGGAAAAAGTCATCTATATCATCGAGTTACGTTGCTATTAGAAATCAAGAAAACAATCATGTATGGATTGGTCGTGCGGAAGAAACGGATGAACTTCTATTCTTCGAGGTTTCGACATTGAAGGAAGATTTAGTCTATGATTTACTACGGTTATTTCCGGATACGGACAAACATTTAATTTAATATTGGGACATTCAAGATGTAGCGTGAAAATACCAGAATCAACTTATTCTCGTCTGATAAAAATAAAAAAGATCAGAGTATTCATTACGCTATGTTTCCGTACGAATTATCAACATATTGAATCGATGAAAGAATCGAGTTGTTTGAGGACGTGTTTTTTATTCAAAATAAAAAGTAAAGATAACAGACGAATAAACATAATGTTCTGTTCATATCTTTGGTACAAGCTCTTAGCTGTTAATTTGATTGGGTAAAATAGCGGAAATACAGATTAGTTGTTATTGCTGATTAGTAACGTTGTTTGGAAAAACAATATGTTAGTGAAAATTAAAATACAAGTGTTGTTTTCATCGATTAATACTCGGTTTCGAAGGAAAAGAAGAATAATTGGATGACATAATCTTAAGCAAATGGATTAGTGGATTTTTCTGTTGAAGTCTTCTTTTCTTCGGTTGGCTTCGTTTCTTCGGCCGTTCGTTCGCGTACTGAACCGAACAGCTGCAATCGTCCATTTCCACCATCAGCAACTACAACTGTGCCATCAGCAGTAATATCCAAACCACACGGGCGTTTCAGTTCACCTGGTCCACTACCCTCACTACCAAAATGTGTGATATAACCACCTTCTGGTGTACAAATAACGATACGATGATGTCCCGTATCAGAAATAAAGATCCGATCGTTACAATCGATTGCTATTCCAGACGCACCTTGAAGACCAACACCATTATTATCCACAATATATAGTGGCTCAACATAGACCTCGCTAAGGCAAAAGAAACAGAAAATAATCAAATTTTGGATGACGAGGAAATTTTTACCCATCACTATATTTCGGAATGAAGCATATCGCATCGCCTGATCCAATGAGGCAAACAACGTTCTCGCCAATTTGTTGATGAGCGATTTGATTAGGAGCAATATGAATTATTTCTTCTTCTTCTTGTAAATATAATTCCATCACGCGTTCACAAACGCCTTCGGGTCGAAGAACTTGTATGCGATAGTTTCCTCTATCGCATATGTATAAATAACCATCATTATAGTCGATCGAAAGGCCAGCTGGATGTTGAAATTCATGAAGATTGCTACCAGGTCCACCTAATTTAAATTGTTGATAGTGGTAAATAGACTGAGCCTTGGCATTGGAAGGATTTGATTCATCCTCGGTTGGTTCAAGAGGTGAATACATATGAAAACGATGATTGAAATGACTGCCGACAATAACTGTGCCATCAAATGCAACGGCAATAGCTGTAGGTTGAAATTTGACCATTGTTTGATCGTCAATAACATGTTGTAGTTTGCCGTACATATCAAAAATTTCAATTACACTTCGTCCTACATCACATGAATATATTGTATATGTATCGTGGTGAATAGAAACGTCAACTGGTTGTGTTTGAGGTTTCTTTTGAAGTTCGATGATTTGAGTACGCGCTTTATTGGAATAACGTCCACCTAGAGCTAACTCGTCAGCTGTTAATTCACGTTCTAATGTGTTGCCATCGACTAATTGTGGAGCCTGATCATCGTCAACTTCTTCGACATATTCTTGTCCAGCATATTCAGTCGTATACGATTCTGAGTTGTGAGACGGTTTGTAGAAAAGACCTAAGGTAGGAAAACGTTGTACGATACGATCAATAGTAGCCTAAAATATCAACTATATAGAATATCATAGTATGAAATGATATTTACAGATATCATTCGCCGTTTAGATCCGGACTCTTCTTCATAGTATTCTTCGGGATAATAAGCTGGCGGTGGTCCTGTTTCATAGCCATGTTCTATTCATTTTTTAAGTAGAAATGTGAAAAACATCTACTTCAAACTGACTTACCCTCATAATATTGAGAGTTTTCCCAATAGGACGTGTCAATGTCTTCATTCACTTTCGCCATAGGTGGAGGGATGTTGGGGGAAGGTTTTTGCGTAGCAGCGGACGGTGATGAGGATGACTCCGGAGTATCTTGTGTCGTTGCAGTTCGAACTGGAGCTTTAGCTGCATTACTAGTAAAATCAAGTTTATGATAAATTGGTGACGAAGGAGATTCTTCTGTTGGCTTATCAGTTGCAACCTGCTCCGGTTTCATCACAATTTCATGCTGAGGACGCAGAAGATCATCTTTATTCGCTGTACTCTTCTGTACGGTAGCTATTAATGAAAAAGAGAAAAAGGTGTCGGTGAGTATGAAGTCTAATTCGGAAATTCTTACAATACAAGTTTTCAGTCGCTGGTTTGATAGAATCTTGTTTCAATGGATCGAATTCATCCGCCATATTTCACGTAATGCGTACTCCAATCGAAAATGATAATGATTTCGTATGAAATACAAATGTCACGTCTTTAGTGTGAGTCACATAACATACATTTTCTATTTCTACGTATTTCGCTTTTTTTTTCTTGATACACTTGAACGCACACATCGCTTGGACTTTTTTCTGAAGGTGAAAAAACGAACGTTATTATTTATTACTATTCATTGTAGGCGTTTTTGTCAACAGAGAGAATACGATGTCTGGATTCCCTCCGCCTTCAGCTGTTAATGGCGTATGGCCTAGGATGGCTGGCGCAACACCAGGAACTTCAACGATGTCGGGCGCTGTGCCCATTGGTGGTGGGTCAACAACTCTACCCACTGTCAACAATCCGAATTTACCAGTAAGAAAAGACATGTTTTAATCCAGACCCTTGAGCTTCACTTTATTCTACAGACGATTCGTACGCCTTTCCCTTCGCTTCCACCGACGAGTGTACCGGGCAATCAAGCTGCGAATCAATATACGCAGGCGAACAATCTGATCTCAGCAAATTCTTTGGCATTGAATGCAGTAGGAAATCGATCTTGAGAAGAGAATGCAACTCGACATTGATATCATTCAGGCACAAAATCAAGCACAAGTCGCTCAAAATGAAGCGTACCGACAACGATTAAACCAACTCGAAGACGAAAATGAAGAAAGACGACACGCGGTACTAACCGTATTCGGAATATCTTTGAAATTATTTTCTTAATTCTCTTTTTAGAACATCAACCTTACTCAAATGGGTGCGCAAGTCTTACAAGGCCAAATGGATATTCAAGAACAAGTTCTAGAATATCAATATGTAAATTTCGAACACTTTTCATTGAGAGAAGAGAGAGCAAATCAGAACCTCTTTTCTAGATGTTAGAACACTGCATGGATTATCTCGATCATCAAAATCAAGTTATCAGTGAACAATCCGAAGAATTATCCTTAATTCGAGCAAAAATGAAACATTTCGAATATCTCATGGATGCATTAAAACTTAGCAAAGGTACTAGTTTCTTGCCATCTACTCACTAAAATCAATTACCAAGCTCCTATATTTTTAGAAGGAAATAATATGCTTCGCACGATGTCTGGAGAATCAAACTGTATCGATCAAAATTTATTATGTTGTCGAGATCCTATGTAAACCTGACTTCTTGATCTTTCACAATAGATTTTGCGTGAAATCTTCTTTGTAGAGCATTACCACCGCCTTCGACTTCACCATTTTTTGCTGGTGGTCCAACTCGTGTAACTGGCTCGACTTTTCAGCCGTTCAATCCGCGCTATCGATCACCGAACAGTCGCGCCGCCGCTGCCGCAAACTTAAGCGGACGGCAAAGTACGACACCGTCCGTTACTAATACTAACCGTTCCGCAGCCGTGAATCGTCTGGCACGTCGTCCAGGTACTCTCAATTGAACATCGCCAATTTTATTTCAATTCATAAGAAAAACCAACAAACAAATGCAAAAAATAATCATCGTTCTATACTGTGTACGGTTTTCTCTTTTTCTAGTATATTTTGCTATTAACTCAGGGTATATACAATAAAAAAATAATTCATTTTGCCTGAATGAATTCAGATTAAACCTTAGTTGTTGTCGGAGGCGGAAGGAGTATATCAGGCCGATCATTTGTATGATGATAAATGATATCCATGGTTATTTGATCATTTCCAGTCAATTGTCGTCGATTTAGTAAACGATTCAAGTGTCGATATGCACTTGTCTTCCGTTGTTTACATTGTCGAATGGTACATATGATTAAAATCAGACTTATAACAAACGCAAGTACTCCAATAAGAATTTGTAACCGATGCTCATAGAAGATTGTTAAGTGACGACGTTGTTTGGAGGTTTGCCGTTGATAAAAGTACGAAACATTGTAATGTTTACCAAAGATTGTAATACCTTCATCCGGTAAAACATGACATTGAAGTAGCCGTTGTTCGAAGTAACATAGGCGCTCTTCCTGAGAAAGAATATACAAACTTGAGTTGGAATAGCAATCAGGTGTGAATGACATCCACGATTTGTCCAGATGTCGATATAAGTAACGAATAGTACATGAACATGTATCGAGATGTTGTGGAAACTGAACGAATGTTTTAACACTTGTCAAAGGTGAGAATTGAGCGAAAACACAGAAATGTCGGTCGTCATTTAGTTGAAAGTCCAGACTTTCATTCAGGTACAAAAATTTAGTATTCATATGAAGAAATGCATATGGATCTAGTCTTAGAATATGCTTTCCGAGATATAATTCTTTTAAATGATGTAAATTATAGAAAGCTTCATTTTCAATTGTAGTTATGCCAGTTAATCTTAAATATTCTAGCTGGGTAAAATATTCAAACAGTCGTTTGGTGATGTGTTGTATTGAGCGTGAAAAAATGGTTAAGGTTTGTAGTTGGGGAAAACGTTGAGCTAACTCTCGGCTATTGAAAGTTCGAAATCCGCCATTAGCATGATAATTTTCTAACGTCAATTCTCGAGTAGAACTGAATACGATTGGAAAGTGTTTGCCTTGTAACGAGCGAACACTGACGTCTTTAATTGACATTTTAGAAATTTGAAATGTAAATGTCTGTGAAGATGATGAAAGAAAACCGATAAACGAAGGATTATCTATAATTAAATGGTAAATGGATACTGTATTCGAAAAGAATTCGATTGGTATCTTTGGGTTTGTATTTGAGAGCTTCAATTCGTAACAACTGAGCTTTGAAAGTGCTCCATTCGCGTAGGTTAAGGAAGGTGAGTTCATAAATGAGACAATCAGTTGTTCCGCAGAATCCAATAAGCTTAATTCTTCGAATATACCGGAATGTGTTTGTTCAATATTAACAAATGCGATCACGTTTCGGTTATTTTCTCGATGTGTTTGTTTCACGCTTTGACTTTCGAAATGAACGAATCGAAATGCCTTCGAAGGTATAAACGGATAATTCGCAAATGTCAGCGTACGAAACCGGTAATAAATATATTTCAATTGATCGAACGTCGTTAGTTTCGTTTCATTCATATGTTCACTTGAGTATGTACAGAAAAGATCTTGGTTTAATAAAGACCGTGGTTTCGATAAATAACTTGTATCATAAATAGCAAACAGGGGAAAGTTCGTACATTTACACATATTCAAAAATTCACATTCGTCATTGCTCGCCTGATTGAATTGGATACAGATGTTGAAAACGACAAACAAATAAAAATTGAAAAACATAATCACCATCTATTACTATGAAAGAAGCATATCTAAAATAGAAAAAAGTATATGCATCATAGAACTCATCATCAAACTCAATCAAGTGAAGGACTTTTTTTGCACTATAATGAGAGCTAACAGGAACACTATTATACTCGATTTCTTTGTAAATCAAAACACAGAAAGCTTTTGTTATTCCGATTAGTTACCCATTTTCATTTTGAGAAAAAAAAACGAGAAAAAGCAGTGGTACACGCATCCAAGCCACATTCTCATAGATGTGTATGTTGAGCACATTTTTCTTCTTGTCGTCTGTTTCGTAACCATTCTCGGTTTGCGGCATATATTCTCTTCTAGTTCTTCTTCTCTTCGTTCTTTGTTTCTTTCTTCCGTTCGTCTCTCTCTCTCGCGGTTTTTTTCTCCCTCTCTCATCTAGCACAGCAGTACTGGAACATGTTAATATTGAACATAGCGGTCGTCATCATTGCTGTCGATCAGCTTGTCTGTAGTAAAAGAATGAATTGACTAACTCTCGCTTATTTACTTGTTCAGTTGTCCGATGCTTATCTTTTGCACACGGACGGTTGACAGACACTTGCACTTTTCTCTCACATTCTCCTTGTCTGTTTCGAATGGCAAACGGCTCAAGTAGAATCATCATTATATGTTCAAAAGCTTTTCTTTCTTGCATCACATCTCGACATAAAGAATAAAAATATATTATTTTAACTTCTATTCGTGAATAAAGAGCATCCGGTAGCGAAGATCTGCGCGTGTGTATGTCTATAACGATTAGATTATTTTCTTTTGATTGTCACTTGCACACGTCATTATCATGGGAAATAAACGAGCGAATATAATCTATTTAATAATGACAAAACACGTAAAGCTTCAGCAAGGTCAGAAGGAAAATTTCTTTTGTACGACAAATTTCAATTCAATCACAAGATTATGCTACATTGTATATCTCCAGAAGGAAGAAAAAATAGAGACTGACAAAATCTCTGTTTGCTCATCGAGAACGACTCTCGATGGCTTCTTTATTGAACTACATCATCTATGGTTTCTGTCAATTATGCTCAACGGAAGTGTTCGGCAGATTTTGTATAGAATTCTATAATGCATGATGTAATCCATAGAACCGTTCGCTTACAAATGAACCTTTACATGCAAGATTTCTTATTCGAAACATATGTAACAAATTGATATAGATGATCGATTATTAAGACAATAAACAAGGATCACAAAAGGCAACATGTCAATCATTTCGTATTTGCCTGCCGATATTCATATACTGATCAATTAAGAATGTGAAGATATGATTGATAAGAGCAAATGTCGAAAGATAAGATGTTCAAGCTGTTAGATCATATTTAGAAATACTTCACCGATATTTCCTATCAGAACAATGAGGATTAGGTTACTCTTTGGGCTTTCACTATTGACAAAACATACGGAAATCTCGAATTTCATGTACACAATAGAGATTGTATCAAAAGATAGTTCAACGACTTCAAGTAGTGTTTTCCGTTGGTATCACAGATACGATAATATATGCAAACAAGATTTTCCTCGTACAGACGCTCGTAATGCGTTGTAAAGAATAAACATCGTCAAGGATGTTAGTAACAAACGATTTTCGCGTAGTGTTTGGCTGTTTGTTCCCATCAAGTCAAAATGATTGGCCACAGAGTGCACCACTGGAAACAGTGGAATAACACACTTCTATTATGCAATTATATTGCGAAATGAATTGAAATAAAATAACGTGTGTGAGAAATAATCAAAATATCTTTCAGACATTCTTTATTTGTACAAAGAAACTGTACGGTTTTTCTACGAAAAACAAGATTGTTTCTTATTGCACCATACGCACTAACATTAAATCGTAAGAGCCCAAAATATATTATTTATTCAGTGGAACCGTCAATTTCAAAATGATGATATTTATTGCTACGTTACTAGTCATCGTTATTTTCGTCTGGTTTTTGTATAAAAATGATGTGGCTGATTTGTTTTGTTCAATAATTGTCAGTCGTTCAAAACGATTTCGTTGTCGACGACGAGCAAAACGTATTATTTTAATACGACATGGTGAAAGTCAAGGCAATCAAGATTCTCGAATCTATTCAACCGTTCCCGATCATGCTATTGGTTTAACCGATCAAGGACGAGAGCAAGCACTACATTGTGGTGAAATCCTACGAAAACTTATTGGTATGACTGAAACATTGGTTTGCTTTGTCAGTCCATTTCGTCGATCGAAAGAAACATGTGAATTAATATGTCAAGCATTTCCCAAAGAAAATATTGTAAAAATACGAGAAGATCCGCGCATTCGAGAGCAAGAATGGTGAGCCGTAATGAAGTATTGAATGAACTCGAGTCTATTCCGTTTTGTTTAGGGGAAATTTCCAAGATCTTGCCACGCGTGAGACCACAGTGAGTGAAAGAAAGAAAATTGGTCGATTCTTTTATCGATTCAAGAACGGCGAATCAGGTGCGGACGTTTATGATCGTGTTAGTTCATTCATGGATAGTTTATATCGTGAAATGGACAATTGTTTAATGCCAGAGAATAATATTCTCATTGTTAGTCATGGTTTATTCATGCGATTGTTTCTCATGCGATTTTATCGTTGGTCGGTGGAGAAATTTCATACATTGGAAAATTTTGATAATTGCGGCTATTGTATTTTGGAGCGTGATGATACCGATGGATCGTTTACGTTAAAAACAGATTTATATACGTATCCGGAAGAGAAACTTTCGCACAGCAACAGTCTAAGCAAAACTTTTAATCAACAAAGTTTCGACGAAGAAGTTAACCCCAGTATACATGTCGATGATATTGTGCCAAATGGAAAAAAGTGTGCATAGTCATCCTTTGTCTGCATTTTTTTAATATACGAATGTTAATTCAGAATATTTCGAAATAAAGTTATATATTAACATGAATCAGCGTTGTAATTACAAGTTTGAAAAAGAAAAATCATGGAAGAGTCGGTTTTTATTGCACTAAGGAAAAGAACGAAGAATCACTGAGTAAGAAGAGTATTTGTGTTATTCATTGCCTAATGAAAAACAAAACGAGAAGAAGAAATTACGTAAAAGTGATCATTTAGAAGTTCACTTACTTGTTCTATTGTTGTCATTTCATCAATTAATCGATTTAATTCTTGTTCATCCAATTCTAGTAGAACATTTGTTGATTTCTTCTCATCAGTTAGTCCTAATTCTAGATTCACAAGTGGCAAACGACATTTGAACAAATGTTCGTCGTGAACAGCCATCTAAACAGCAAAATCATCCAGTTTCACTTGCTTTTCAGTTTAAATCTCGTTACTCGAATATTCCAATCGAAGTTCTCTAAACGATACTTGTCCACATGTTGACTGGCATGTTGGATATGATATTGTTCGATATCACGGTGATAGTCGTGAACAAAGTTTGAGTAGAATTTTTGTAAATGTTCAGGTAAATCATCGGTTGGTATCTAAAGATGCGTTATTAATCGAGAGATTTCAACAATTTTTGTTGATTTACCTTGTTCGACGAAGGGTTTGTACTTCGAAGGATCTGTTCGAGTTGAAGACGCAATTGTGAATCGATATCATTGGCTTGTTTTGATGATGGAAGACGATGAAAATATTCGTCAAGAATATCTCGAAGTGTCTAAGAAATAAATATGAGCGAGTATTCTTCTTCATAAAAAGACATTCAATACTTGAAGAAAATTCTCTTCCGATAGCGAAGAAAGATCTTTCAAAGTTCCCATTTCGTGTTAAATGATCTAAAAAAATTTTCAACGAGCAAAATGTAGATTTCATGAAAACTATTCATTGGTTAGTATAGATGTCAGGTCGTCTTTGTTCACATTGGTCAAGATGCACGAGTCATGACTAATTGCTCTTTCGGATGAATATTCACGTCTGATCGGAACGAGCTTAGCATAAATCAAAAGTAGAATCGCACAATGTTATTCTTAATTTTCGTATGTTTATTCTCCTCGATCCATTGTCGTATTCATAATCTCAACATCTTCGTAAGTATAAAACAGACAGAGGACATTACTTTGTAAATGTTCATTGATTGAGTAGGATGACAATCGTCAACAAATTTTATTGAGCACATTCGGTTTTCTTCGCGGTGGATCAATGACTCTTCATGTCACAGATTTTACTTACGATCATCCTGGCATTGCCAAAGATACAATAGTGAGCTGATCAGCAGAAGGTTGTCCATTTGTCATTTGATTGCTTTTAGTTTGGATTTAGTATTGATAAAGCGAAAACGAGTGGAATTGCGAATTATCTGGTATGCTTTTATAAAAAAGATGCAATCTATTGATTTCGTATGAATCGCATTTGTAGCAAACTCGAAAAAGTCAATCATGTGGCTTCAATCAAAATGACCAAGTCAATGAAATTCCTCATGCACATTTCGTAATCGATCATAAAAGCGAAACACCCAAGTATAGTATTGCTTTCCGAATAAAATCCGCATAGATTCCATGGTATTTTACAGAATCATAGTCGAACGTTACACACGGGACTTTGATTATCTGGAAATTCAATATGAAAAACAGGCGACGACGAGTAAATTGTATTTTTCAGTCGAAAGAAGACTGATATTTTGTTTGTAGATCAAACATTAGCATCGAATACAGCTCAAACGGTGAAAGTAAATGAAACTCTGGTGAAAGAAATTCCTATCGAACGCATAGGCGGAAATACAGACCGATTTCGTTTCCAAGTAAAGTCTCTTGTAGTATTTATTACAACTGTTCTGTACATACTTGCTCTTTAGTTTCAAATCTTAATCAAAAAGAAAGGCGAAGAAGGCCTTTATAATTTATATTTTCTTAATTGTTACAATCGGACCGATGTGCCCTTAAGTCAAAGATTACTACACATCAATTTAACCGTAAATAAAAGTGATCAATTTTGATCTGGAGACGATCTTTGTTGATATTTAGGCCACATTAATCGAGAAAAACTTGGAGAATTATCTATCCGCCGGTGAATTACCCTTGCCCGTACTTTATTTTACTTGGGCTGTTATTTATTTTCTCTCCGGATTCTATTGGATATTCGTTTTAAGAACTTCAAAGTAAAAATCATTTGCTACTAGTTCAACAATGAATATTTGTCCTGCGTTTAGGCATCCAGTGTACAAAATACACTATCTAATGTTATTTCTCGTTCTCACAAAAGCTCTCTCATTAGTTTTCCATGGAGTATGCTCAAACCCTCCTTAGGATTTTTGGAGAATCATTATTTATATTTTAGATTAACCATCATTATATAGCGATTAAGGGTCGACATGAAGAAGCATGGGCTATTCTGTTCTATATCACTCATGTGTAAGCATGTCCTTCCGTCCTAACTGAGCAGATTCCATGAGAAATTCTTCTAGTTTACGCGGTTTGTTATTGATTGTCGCGATCCTATTAGTTGGAACAGGATTTACCTTTGTTAAACATGTTCTTTCTGGACGCGAAAGAAAACTATTTATTATCGCAATACCACTCCAAGTAAGTCCGATGGAAGATTAGATTTATTAATTGTTGATTTATTGAAGATTTTAGCGGTTGTCGCGCAGATATTTCTTGAAGAAAAAGAAGAAAGCGATGTTGTTTATGTCACATGGAGACAAATCTGGGTTCTCATTGATCTTCTGTGCTGTGGTGCAATCATATTTCCAATTGTTTGGTATTTTCGATTTGGTCTGTTCAATCCATTTGATATGATGACCTTCTTTTAGGTCTATAAGACATCTTGAACAATCGGCAAAAACCGATGGCAAAGCGATGAGTAGTTTGAGTAAATTGAAAATCTTCCGACAATTCTATTTCATGGTTGGTTGTTCGCTTTCTATTGAACAGTTCATCTCGATGATTTCGTTTAGATTGTCTTATATATCTATTTGACGCGAATTGTTGTTTACATCGTCAAATTAACAGTCCCGTTTCGTTTTGAATGGCTCCAAGTCGTTTGCTTTGAACTGACAACATTTGTGTTCTTCACGTTTACCGCTTATAAATTCCAACCAGCGCCAAACAATCCATACTTAACTTTAGCGCAAGAATCTGATGATGAAGATCCTGAAATGGACCAACCGGTTATTCAAAATCCTGTATTCGATCACGTAACGAAAGTAAATAAAAAACCACGCCGATTTCTACCGAAACTATCCACTCGAAATCCGAATGATGTTCTTACGCCAGATGAAGACGATGAAGATGGTTACCATCACATTCAAATGAGTAGCACCCAAGTTTAGCAATATCATCACTTCTTTTTCATCTTTATCTTTTATGTATTTTGTGTTGTTCTTTTTTCAAATTACAAAAAAAACAATCGAAAAAACACTGCCTATTGGCCTATGCATGCATTCTCATCCATCCCACTGATGCGTGTTTGACTTTGGTTTGCTTCATGCAAACAGAATTCGGTACAAATGTTGAGGGTGGAATTGGTGCGGCAGCTCCTTTTATATAATCGATTCTTTCGCCACTTGGCCGTGAAATACTTGATGGAAAGCAAGCAGATTCTGATAGTGTTTCAAAAAGAAATTCACCATTGCGCCATTGATTACAATTACGTGTTTTTCCATATGGTGATGTACATTTAACATCAGCAGCCACAAAGTCTTCGGTTTGATTGTATTTATTACCGAAACACCAGTCATTCCAGTAATCTAATCCGTAAAGATCACATGAGCCAGTATTACGATTGTAATAGTATTGACGACCTGATGTAAAGTTCATCCACATGTCAAAGGTACTGTCGAATGTTGTGTTACCGCGGCCACCGTTCACTGTAACTATGACACGCATTTGTTGGACTTTTTTATCATAAAAAATGAGTCCTTCGGAATGATAATCAATGGCAGGAATGATATGAAAGAATGCGTTGGTGTAACTTTCTGGCGCACAGCAATCATGAGGATCTTCGTTATGTTGAACAATTGGCTTCTCAGTTTTCTCTTCAGATTTCTTTGGTTTTAATGCATTCGAAGATGATTGAGTTAATTTGACATCTGAACATTGATGAAAAACAGTTCCGTGATCGTCTTCTTCTGGATTGTTAGATAAATAGCGTACACGTAGCACGCATTCATCACACGTCTGACTCGGCAGATCGATTTCGACAGAGAAATTCGTTTGTGTTATTTGATTCATGGCATTATAGTCCGAAAATGAATGAAGGACATGGAAATCACCTTCTGCTGGATTCAAACCAACAGCAAATGAAATATCAAGTGCACCGGGTTTGCCTGTATAATAATGATTTAAGTTCTGTTGAAATTCAACTTTGTATTTGCTTCCAGCCACTAAAGATGTTCGTGGCGATGACGATGATGAATTCACATTTCCACATGGTCCTATTTTACGATAGCATGGATGAGCTCCTGGTGTGGATATATCGAACTGCCCACGTTGCATTGGTGCCCACAGACATATATGCGTGTACACACCATTACCGAGAATAAATAAGACAAAAAGGGGAAAGGCAAGATGCATGTTATTGTTGAATAAAATTTCAAACGAAAGATGGATGATAAAATAGTAATGAGTTTATCAGGATTCTAGAATGCTTTATCATTAACCAAAGAAAGGCAGATATCATTGTCATCTTGACGAAAGAATCTTTCTCATGTTGAATGGCCAAATAGAAACGATAAGAAATTCAGGTCCAAAAGCAAGAAAAATATATATGTAATGCAAAAATATAAAAAAAAGAAACATTTCGTGTTTATTTATTTGTTAGGATACCAGTGTTAGTTTTGTTAGCTTGTTGTGTTATTGATGTTGAACTTATTGTCGCTAATTGTTGATCGGCAATTAACAAATCGAGATAATTCTTTAAACGCTTCCCACGCTGTTTCGTCCACAGTCTCCAATCGTTCATCGCAAGGATCTGTATCACATTTTGTATTGCACTCGGCAATGTAAAAACTACCGAAAACATTGCCGTATCCGATGTTAAGTACGAATTTATATCGAATAGATTATTTGGTTGATCAGCGTTCATTAACGAACAATGAATGACAGGATAAGGAGAGTTCGATGATAAACACATAGCTAAACCATTGTTAACATTTCCAAGTGTAACAAATATTGTGGGACGGCAATGTTCATAAACATAATTCGATAGGAACTTCAAGACACTTTTCGTTGATTTATATATTGAACAAAGACGAATATCACATTGAATGTTATAGAGTTCATTGAGAGTAATTTTGATCTTTTGACCGTGTTCGATATCTGCAGATGATGAGCAAACAACGATACATCGGCTTCTTGTTGATGGAAAATAGGAGGTTTTGTACTGATTGAATGACGTATCTTTTTGAGTGTCGATACGATCGTTTTCTGGAATAATACAATTCATTGGATGTTCTTCCTCATCGGTGTCCGCATCATCTAATGTTGAAATCTGCTTTTGAGCAAAACTGCGTCGTCGTGGATCAAGCTTTGTTGTCAAAGATATTTTATTGTTCAAATCTAGGATATCTCGTAAAGTACTATTGATCCAAATGAGATTTTCTTGAATTAAGTCCACACCGACGGCCGTCGTTCGTTCCATCGGTCGTAAAATATGCCATGTTTCAGTATCAAATGTGCTAGCAACAACGATTTCCTTCGGCATGGTCGTGGTTATGCCGAATTCAATTTTTAAATCGATCAATTGACAACTCTTCTTCACCATCCATATATGTTCAAGAATATCGAATATTGTACAGCACGTTTCGTACATGTATTCTATTTCCGTTTGAGTAATTTTCAAATCTTCAATATCGAAATGTGCATTGAGAAGTTGTTCATACGACCAGATGGACGAAAGACACTCATCCGAGTCGGAATCGGAATCATCAATTAAACTTTCGCGAGACGATTCGAGATTCTCATCGATGTTTGAAATAGTTAAACGTCGATAGACGACCGGATGACGTTTATGATAGATTTCAACAATCGGTGGAACAAAGCGATGGCCATTGACAATGCCTGGATTACGTTTCATATAAGTTTCATTAGCTAGACGACGTACAATCCATAGAATAGGTATCATTGTACATTTTCGCGCGATGAACATATCCGGCTGTGGATGTGGTGCAACATAAAACGTTGGAATTGATGTTTCGCGTAAGATTTCATAGACGCAAGTGGTAATGGACGTTGTCAATGCACCTTTTCCAGGTATTTCAATGAATAGATTTGGATTACTATGAAGACTTTGTAATTGCTGTTGATTGAAACGTATTGAACTATCTATACTCGATCGGCGACTACCAGGTATACTCAAAGTCTTTCCCGCTGATCGATAATTATCTTTCCGATAGATACAAATAAGACCTGGTTGATCGATCATTGAGTAAATTCGTTTTGTTGTGCCATCGAACAATTTTTGTCCAAGAATATCATACGCTGATGAGGCCATCAATATTGAAATTGTTAATCACCGATCTCTTCCGATATTAGTGTCTTAGATATTTGCTGATCTGATCAATTGCATAATAATTATTTTCAGATGATCGACATTTTCTCCTTACATGGTTAATGCCTGTCTACTACTCGCTGAAATGCATCGTTTATTCTAATAAGAATCGCTTAATAATGAGGATAATAATAAACAAACAGCTGTCAGTAGGAGTTTATCCGGATATTCTTCTCTCTTTCTTCTCAGTATGCAACGCTCTCTTCTTTCACTTACTTTATCAACCTTCGCCGTCGTCGTCGATGACGCATCACCAACAGTTACTTAATTGCTTTCATGTCAATCTTTTCAGCTCGTCTTCTCTTTTCATCATCACGATGAATGACGATTTCAAAGTGAATACCAGAACGAAAAATGTGCGATTAGATTTGAAATAAACCTGTTCTGATTTGACTTCGTGCATTTATGTATTCATTCGACGAAGAATACACGCATTAATGATGTAATCAGATCTATAGACAAGGCCAGTTCTCCTTGTGTGATACTTGTCGATTGATAAAGAACATATGGATTTTCTCAATGACATTCTGTGAGTAGCAGAAGCAGACTGTAAACAACAGTCAACATATATCGAGAATTACGAAGACTTTTCGATTTCAAATCTCGTTAGCATCTAATCTCTTCTTACTATTTTTGTTATTCTCCTAGGAGCAAGTCATTTGTCAAGATAACAGGCATATCTGGACTGTAATTGATATGAAAATCTTTCCCGGAGCAGTAAATATCAAGTCTTCTGACAGGAAAATCTTACGAAAAAATTCGAAGAATCAGTTGGCAGCTGACAACCTTCAACAAATCGAATCTAGACGATAACAATGTCGAGAAAAGATAAAGTAATAAGCACTATCACTTCACTTGTCAGACAAACTGATTCATTCGAAAAACTAGATAATTTCAATCAGCTAAACGACTTTGTCATCTTAATTAAGCAAGAAGGTGCAATTTCGCTTTATTGAACTGGAAAATAATGAAAACAGTCAACGCTGTATTGTTTGAACAAATCATATTCATACAAGGAAAGAACATTCTAGTAGATTGATAAATTTTCGCAATGTACAAAATTAAAATCAGATTCTCGATAGTCAAATCAATTCCGTTAGACCAACCGTGGCTTCTATAACAAACATAAAAAGATAAAGAAATCTGCTCGATCAATGAGTACATACAAGGATAAGTGCTGCCATCAATAGCGTTGCTTTGGTTTCTACTTTCATATCATGTGGAACTAAAAATAGAGACCGACATGAGGAGAAACAAGCGATTTGCTATCAGACATACTTTTCACTGCGACGGCTTGTCCGTATTCCGACCGTTCGAGATCAGTTGAGAACGGATAAATCCTTCCGATATTCGTTGTTTCATCATTACTAATTACTTCGAATTCTGGTACACGATGTTGAATTTTACTTCGCAAATGACTTTTACGTAACATTACACTTGCTACATGTTCACGTCCATGATCATATATATCATACCATACCTTTGCAAATGCCACTCTATAATGAAAAAGAGAACGAGTCTGATTGTTCAGATTACATGAAATTCCAATTGGTAACTTTTATCTCTTTCGATCTGATGAAATAAAAATCAATGTGCAAATGGCACTGAGTAGTGAAATGTCAAAGAATGATTTTATTGTTTCTCGTTTGTTGTAATCAGTCGAGATTAATCCATCAGCGAGAATCAAGCAAAAGAAAAGAACGATCTCATGACAGATATACTTTCTTATTTCATTTGGTTTTCAAACTTAATAACATTGCTGCTAGCGCAGTATTCATATTTTCATAATTCATCATGGAACCAGTTCAATCGACAAAGTTTCATGGCACCGAAACATATGTATGATGGAGTACCATTTGCGAAACTCAATCGGCCAACAGCACCACCCATCGAAACTGTTTCTCCAAGAAATCAGCGATCACATACAAATGAGTTTCTCACAACTCGAACGACTCATTTTCCTCATTTGGTATCGACAATCGAACAAAGCTATAAACGTATTCGATATCGACGAAGGAATCGAACAAGATTAGTAACAACTACACCTCATCCACAGCCACAACATGTCGGAATTGTGATCAGTATCTACGATCCAGTCGATCCTGTTTACAGCTATAGTGAATCATCCACACAACGTCCATGGTGGCAAACTGCTCACACTACAACTCAATCATTCTACGACCGGTTTCCAAAACTTCCCCCAAATGTGAATAGACCACCACCACCCACAGTGCCAAGAAGCTTTACAACATCGACTACAATCACTTACCATTCAACAACAACAACATCTACTACAACTACTACCACCACTACAACACCTGCATCAAGCACGTTTAACTGTAATTATTTTTCTAACCGATCCATATTTTCATTTAGTCTCGCCTGCATCTATGAATCCATTCTGGTTAGACACTGTTCCGTCATTTACAGAAATCATTGATCAGTATCCTCGTTATCCCACGATTATCCGTTGGTTTCATGAACTCTCTCATCATCCGAACATCTCACGCTTTTTTGCCTATGAAGTCATCGGTCATACTCATGAAAATCGTTCAATAGTTGTGGCAAAAATTGGTTTAATACCATTTCAAAGCCGTCGTCGTTCCGTTTGGCTCGACGGTGGTATTCATGCAAGAGAATGGATCTCTACAGCGACTGTTCTCTACACCATTGCTCGATTGATAAACGGCACATTAGCACGTGATCCTGATATAAGGATACTAATTGACTCGTACGATTTCTATTTCATGCCTGTCGTTAATCCTGATGGTTATGTTTATACACATGATGATATCGGTAAAGTTTGGGATACTGAAGAACAACAAGATCAACAACGAATGTGGAGAAAAAATCGACGACCACATACTGATTGTCCCGGAGTAGATTTGAATCGAAATTTTCCGTTCGCATGGGACAATCGAGGTGCGTCAAAATTTCCCTGGTATGCGCCATTCTTCACTATCTCGACCTTTGTATACTTTTTTTTAAATCTAAATTTAGCGAAGAAACCTATCGCGGACCGTATCCCGAGTCTGAACCTGAAGTTCGCGCAATAACCTCTTTCATACTTAAACGTCGACGTTATTTTCATTCATTTATCACATTACACGCTTTCGGTAATTTCTGGATGTTACCGTTTTCGTTTACAACTCGTATTCGTCCATATGATTATCATCGTGTGGAGCGTCTGCTCTCTCAAATGAATCGACTGAGTTCGAATACGTTCAAAATCGGCCAATCATCAACTGTACTCTATCCTGCCACGGGTACGAGTGAAGATTGGGCGAAAGCAATCGCACAGATCCCGCATACATTCTCTGTTGAACTTCCTCCTAGTTCCGATGTGTTTGATATGCGTCAAGAAGAATTGAACGGCTTCACCTACTACGCTGATAAAGAAATCGGAACGGTCGCTGAATCAACTTATCGATTACTACATTTATATTTGAAGAATCTAGCTAAACTTCAATCACCTTCGCGAATAACTATTTGAGCTACTCAATTTTTCTCTTGTTTCTTCTTCTCCTTTCATTCCATGCTATAAATAAAGTAGTTTTATTTAAACATACCCTTGCCGAACTGATCCGATCGCAAAACTTTCGTTAGATACCGATGATATACATTGCACTTCTTGTTTACAACAGATTTGACAGAAATGTGGCAAACAATTCTGATAGAATTCCAAGACAGCCTAAACAAGCATTCAATGCTCAATGAGTGAATGGTTTCTGAAAACATCTACTTGTTTCGTTCCTGGAATCGTCAGGATAATTCGTTGAGTGAAGACTGAACTGAATACGGATGTATTCGTTTTATCTCCTAGTACAAAAGATTGATTTCAGTAATTCTAATCACAGGATTACCTATTTGATAATCGAATAGTGTTTTATTTAATCGCGAAACAATTCTTCCACATTCAATTGCTCCGACGTCGTTTCCAGACGCTAAAATCGCCGTAGAATTACTCGAATCTCGATCAAAATTGTCGTCATACCAGATTGAAAAGGTTTGATTATTATTTCTTCTTCATTATTCAAAATATTCAAAACGCTGCCGATGTCCACGTTCTCCATGACGAATCGTCTTGCATTTAAAGCAATGTAAATCTGTTGGTGTATTTTCTTCGAACAATACGTTGATAATCTGCAAAAGCGGCAACAAAGCGTGCGCGTGTCTTTGCTTTTGTACGATGATAATGTAACAAAAAAAAGAGAAAAAAAGCAAGGCATTCGTGCATGACTAGATGCATTCATATAATTGCCTACGTTTACGAAACGTGTTGCATTCGTTAGAAAGAAAAGAAACGTAACATACGAACAAAGTCGATGATGAAATCAAATTAACAAACATTTCATTCTGGTGTGATGCGAAGTTCGTTTCTCTTCACGAAATGCACATATTCTCATGTTTTTCGATTCATTTCCGACAACTGAAACATGTACGTGCAGTGCAGTCGCTTGATAAAACATCGTTCGATGCCTGGGGAAAAATGTCTTCCATAAACTTAGTCATGTTTTTTTTCCTTCTTCTTCTTTTTTACCAATGTGATAAATCGAGAAGATATGTGTTTTATTGCATCATGGACAAATGAGAGAAAAGAAAGAAAGACTTGCAATGAAAAGTGTTGTTCCTTCAGAGAAAGGCAAATGTAGAATGAAGAAGTCTGCTCTTGTTTTTTCTTCGTATTTAGATAAAGTATTGTGTTATGATAAACGAGAGAGCTGGTCTGTTAATATATTTCTCGGTTGCACGACTTTATCTAAACTAGAAGATCAAACATCGGTTCGAAACGATTCAAGTGATTTTCTCCTTCGACCTCTTTCAATCAAATCGAAGTATTCGTAGGAACGAAGATTGAATACATCAATAGAAAATGAAATTCGTTGTCTTGATGCTTCAACTGACCTGAAAAATGATGATTAACAACAGGTTCATGTTTATAATTCTACACCTGGATAGTTAGCTTCCTAAATAAACAATGACACATTTGTTGGTATTGATTCATAAAGGCAACGCTTCCTTCATTTGGTTTGAATAATATAGTCAATCAAAAGATATAACATAAACAAAATAGGTTATACCAGTACCAATCATCCGTGACCGGTCTTGCTGATAAACATGCAGAACGAAGGCACTTTTGTACTACATATCATTTATTTAAAAAACCGATTCTATGAACGAAACAACATTGTGTTTAATTAAAGTGCCCGGGTAACATATAGTTTCTATTTTAAGTGTCACCATACGAATTTGATTTTAGAGCAACGAACACTGTTGGAGATCGAGATCTTGCAAACGTCATGCACGATTGAAATCGTTAGTATAAATTAGAAACAACCAATGACGTAAGTAGAGGAGCTTCATGTTTGACGATTATCTACTTATTTATACTCAATATGCAAATATTGACACACATTTCTTTCAGGAGCTTCCGTTCTACTTTGATGATGATCGTTATCCTACTATTACTTTCTTTCGATTTTTATTCAAAGTCATTCGTTCTCATCGAGATTCAATACCGAAGATGTTCGAGTAGCGATAGTTGGCGCAGGAATCGACGGTTCCAACGAAGCATTAATATTAGTAGATTCCAATAAATTCTCACGGAAAAATATTGTTATTCATGAATCTAACATACGTATTCAGAACTTTGACAACTCGATCAACAAAGATCAGAATGATGTACGGAATTTTTGAATGATGATTAGTCTGTGATGTAAAGTTTATTGAAACGTTTCAATCTTCAACTAGTTGATGTAAATTGTGTGACTAATTCAGATTATCACTTCACGTTCTACTTTTATGATCGTTTCTATATTCGAACACAAGTATAGATATATTACAAAGCTATTGAAAGTACGATTAAGAAACAACACAAACTCATCGATAAAATAAACTAAAGAAAAGCCATGCTTTCCGATGATTTTTCGATAATCTGTCATTGTATAATTGGATTGAACGATACGTACCCAACAGTTATCGTTCGGATTTATGAGAATTTATCGATTCAGCATACAAAAAGAAACTTGAATTAGATACCGAGAAATTGAATAGTCTAATGTTTTTACAAATGATTGATCCATCTGGACAACCGAAAAGTGGACCTTTGTTTATATGCGGTGTGCCGAATCAAAATTATCCAATTGTCAACGGCAATGATCGACTTCAATTAGCAATAGCTGACTATTTAGAAGAGAACGGCATCCAAATCAAATTAAACCATAAATTAACGAAACTTATTCGATTACCGGATGAAAAATACCAATTAACCTTCGATGGCAATCGTGTAAAGATATTTGAACATGCTATCTTAGCAATACCATCAACTAAACTGAAGTACGTTGATTACAATAAAGCACAGTTTGATGCATTGAAACAACTTGTCATCAGCGGACTTGGATATGGTACAAACACGGGACTGAACCTTCAATTTTCTCGACGTTTTCGATATGATATGTCATCTGACGGACAGATCTATACCAATTTGTCATTTCCCAATTCTTGGAAATCTTAACTAGGTCAGAATGGGAACACTAGAATTATAACATTATTCACTGGTACGTAGTAACACTTGTTTTACTACTTAACTCAAGGTTAATTTTAGGTGGTTCAGAAGAACTAGCATTTCATCCTCAAACAAGATTCGAAGCAATATCATCAACTACAGAAAGTTTCCTCGTCGACTGAAATATAATCTGGCTGAACGCATCGAAGTACCTCACTCGTGCAGAGACGATCTCAGCACTAAAGTACAATAGAAACTTTCGCGGTTCATATTCAACGTATCTAGGGAATCAGTATTCGATAATTCATGATTATGAAAGAGAAAGACAAGAAAATGTTCATTTTACCGGCGATTATACTTTGGTAGATCATTTTAGTTTTGTGGGAGGTGGTACGAGCGAGAGAGCAAGAACTACTAACGAAGTTATCACAGATTACAATTGAAAAAACTCTTTTTTTTTGAAAAACAATACGTCCTTTTCGCACGTAAACTAACTTTTTCTTCTCATTAAAAGTATATTTAAACCAATGTAATCTCATTTCACATCGTTCTTTTCGTTCTGTTTACTTCGGATATCCCATTTTTGTTGATTATAATAATCACTCATGTGGAACGAATGACTCATCTTCGTTACAATATATCTATCTAGAAGTAACATTAATTCACGAAAACAAACACATGTATTAGACACTCGTCAACATAAAATGATAGTAAAATGGTATGCACTATTAATTATTTCGCTGATAGATCTACGTCCTTCAGAAAGTACTTTTTCAAGTAAAGGATTCGATTATTTGCGATATTGATTCTATATAATCTCCATATTCTTTAGTTCAACAATCATTGACTATTCTTTGTACTCAATTTCCTTTGATATCAAATGTGAACAATTCCGATTTACAATGTGCTCGTTTACAAAAAGATGAAGATGTTCAAATAAGCTCAGCAGATGTCGATAAACCAACTGAACTCGTACTTTTCATTCTCATTGACCGATTATCAACAACTTCGGTTCCTGCTGACATCGAAATCAACTTCAGTCAATCCGATGATACTCCATCATCCATCCAGAACATATACTTTAGTCTATTAATTACACAATCAAACTTTACAATCAACAATCAAACCAATAATGCATATCTTCCATACAACATCCTAACTTTTCGTTGGAACACTTTCAATGAGACTGATTACGAATTAATCGATCAATTCTCAGTTGCTAATCAATACACTTCACAAGAGACAAGTTTGTGTAGATGGAATGGCGATCAATGGAATCGTTTGTTTTACGAAAACCAATCGACGAACATTTCCTATGTTTATTTTCTCAAAACATATAGTTCTCAATTATCATTTACACTCATCAACGCAAGTAACAAGTCATTAGGGTTAGCAGCACCGACACCTTTCTTGGATGTCCTCTACTGTCTTCGATATCGACTTGGTGTCTTAGAAATCGTTCTGATTACTTGTTTTGGCTTCGCTTTTCTGACTGCTATTGTTGTTCTGGCGGTTTTGCATCTTTTCAAACGTGAACAAGTCGATCGAACTCATCATTTCCAACGTTATCATCAAACAGATGAATTACAAAGGCCAACGAAAGATTCGATACAAAAACGTCGCTATCGTTCCAATGAGACGATGAGTTATTCCGAATTCGACAATCAGCGTGATGAGTGATGAAGAGATTTCTTTCTTTTTTTCTTTCTAAAAATGATTTTATTTGTTTTTCTCGTCATTCCATCTTATTCATTTAAAGATATTGTCGTTAGAGAAAAAAATTAACGAATACACAGACAGTAGTCGAAACAGGACAACACAAAGGAAAAGGTGGATGTTCTTTCGGATTTATTCATGTGAATTTTAATCAACTTCTTCCATGCGTGATGCTTCAGCTGAAACGGCAGCTGTATCGGCATTTTCAAGTGGTGGCATATCTGAACCTGATTCACCAGTTGCACCTTGACCTTCTTCCATTGAATCATCGTCATCGATACCTAAGCCGAGTTTGATCATACGGAATATACGGTCAGCATGTTGTTGAGGTAATTCAAGACCGAAACCACTTGCCAAAAGTGATGTTTCGTATAATAATGTAACCAAGTCTTTGACTGATTTATCATTTTTGTCTTGATCAACCTTTGACTTTAGCGTCTTGATGATTGAATGATCAGGATTGATCTCCAAATGTTTCTTAGCAGCCATATAGCCCATAGTTGATGCATCACGTAGAGCTTGGGCTTTCATGATACGTTCCATGGTAGCTGACCAACCGTATTGGGATGTAACTAAAGCACAACAGTGAAGATTAAGAAAACCGTTTTTGTCAATCAATGATTAGACTTACCAATACAACATGGCGAGGAGACAAGTCGGTTGCTGATGAGAACTTTCTCGACTTTCTTGTCCAAGATGTCTTTCATAACTTTACAAAGTGTTTCGTATTTTTCTTTGTCCTCTTCATGTCTAAACGAGAAAATGAATAGAATTGGAATTTAGGATTCTTTCAAAACATACTTCTTCTTTTCATTTTCGTCTTCAGGTAATTCCAAACCTTCCTTGGTGACTGAAACGAGTTTCTTGCCATCGAATTCTTTCAATTGTTGAACACAATATTCATCAATTGGTTCAATCATGTAAATGATTTCAAAACCACGTTTACGAACACGTTCAACAAAGGCCGATTGTTCAACAACTTGTCGTGATTCACCAGTGATATAATAAATATCCTTTTGATTTTCTTTCATACGTGAAATGTAATCTTTCAACGATGTGAGTTCATCACCTGATGTCGATGAGTGATAACGTAAATATGAAGCTAATTTCGCTCGATTGTTTGAATCTTCGTGGATACCGAGCTTCAAGTTGCGCGAGAATTGTTCGTAGAATTTCTTGAATGATTCTTTGTCTTCAGTTAATTCGTCGATTAATTCAATGCATTTTTTCACGAGATTTTTGCGGATGACTTTGAGAATTTTGTTCTGTTGTAATGTTTCTCGAGAAATGTTCAATGGCAAATCTTCGGAATCGACAACACCTTTGATAAAATTCAAATATTCTGGCATGAGTTCTTCGCAGTTCTCCATGATGAATACTCGGCGAACATATAATTTGATCGAGTTTTTGGTTTTGCGGTTTTCGAATAAGTCGAATGGTGCACGTTTGGGAATGAACAAAAGGGCGCGGAATTCCAATTGACCTTCGACGCTGAAGTGTTTGACAGCAAGATGGTCTTCCCAATCGTTGGTTAATTGTTTGTAGAATTCGGCGTATTCTTCAGTAGAGATATCTTCGGGATTACGAGTCCAGATGGGTTTTTGTTTGTTAAGTTCTTCTTCGTCGGTGTATTTTTCTTTGATTTTCTTCTTCTTCTTGTCTGTTGCTTTTTTCTTATCATCATCGTCTTCATCTTCAACTTCTTCGATTTTAGCTGCATCTTTCTTGCTGTCGTCTTCATCTTTGCTTGGTTTTTTTTCGTCTTCAGCTTCGTCATCGGAAATTTCCTTGTCGCGCTCTTTCTCGACAAGTAATTTGATTGGATAGCCGATGAATTGCGAATGTTTCTTGATCACTTCCTTGATGCGTTTCTCTTCAAGATATTCGGTTTGATCTTCTTTGAGATACATAACAATCTTGGTGCCACGACCAAGTGGTTCACCAGTGGTATCTCGTCGAATGGTAAATGAACCACCAGCACTTGATTCCCAAACATATTGTTCATCATCGTTGTTCTTCGAGGTGACAACTACTCGGTCAGCAACTAAGTAACACGAGTAGAAACCAACACCGAATTGACCAATCATGGAAATATCGGCACCAGCTTGGAGGGCTTCCATGAAAGCACGAGTACCTGATCGAGCAATGGTACCCAAGTTGTTGACAAGATCAGCCTAGCAAGAAATACCAAAGAAATTCGTATTTATCTTCCTTCTGAAGTGCAAGTCGCTTACTTTTGTCATACCGATACCAGTATCGATCATTGTCAAAGTATTGTCGGCTTTGTTGGGTACAATTTTAATGTACAATTCTTTTCCACTGTCGAGTTTGGTTGAATCAGTAAGTGATTCATAACGGATTTTGTCCAATGCATCCGAGGCATTTGAAATCAACTCACGTAAGAAAATTTCTTTGTTCGAGTAGAAAGTATTGATGATTAACGACATCAATTGAGCTATTTCAGCTTGAAAAGCGAAGGTTTCACTATCTTCTGCAGCGTGATCCATTTTGTTTGACTTTATTGTGAATGAGAAGAAATTTGAAGAAAACTTTCAGGTATGTACGATGCCGGCGATGAAAAAAGAAATGTAGTTGTAAAAAGAAATGTGTCTGATTAATATATAAAACCCAGAGAAGAAAGAATAGAACAATCTAGAAAGATCGAGAATGAAGAGAGAAAGTGCTTTGCTGTTTGTCCTTGTCTGCTTTTTTTTTCTTTCGTTCTGTTTCTTCCTTCTTTTTTGTGTATGGTGTGCGTTTCTCCCAATACGGTCACTAGCACTGCATAGGACACGTCACTATGGTGAATCCCGTCCAACGGGAAAAAGCCATTTGCTTGCCTGTTGGAATCTTCCAATGAATACGAACGAATAGTTTTCGAAACTGGGAAGAAACGGACATGTCGTCACTGATAATCAAATGACTGCATTTTTCGTTGATCCAGTTTACCGAGATACATTAAACAGACGGTATAACAAATGTATTGGGAAACAGCGCAATCCCTATACTTAGATACAAAGAATTTTCTCGTTGCTTATGGAAGAATACATTCAGTAAATTATCGATACTCAGTGCAAATCTTTCTCATCTGAAAGTAAATATCTGCACGATGATTCATCATTATTTTTCTCTTTCGAATTAGTTTTTAATGATGCAATGTAATGTCACATAGATACGTTACTCTATCATCGGTAACTTGCATGAAGGTTTCAAAGCGTTACGAATTGAATTACTCAGCGGATATAACAAGGCTATAGGATATATTAAGAGAACCAATAAGACTGAAAAAGCAAGGTCAATGTTGTTTTTCATTTTATTTGTAAACACAAAACAATAAATTATGATGGATTCGATAGTTGTTTCAACATTTTTGAGAGCATTTGGTTGCATGCAGCAGCATAAGGGTTGGACAAGAGAACTTGCTGTTTAGCAAATGCTGAGCCAAGTTCTGCAGCTTCAGTGAAATCATCTAGCGATTCTTTTTCATTTCCTAAATCAAAATTCAATGTTTGCATTAGAGAAAATCTTTTTTGTCTCTACCCAAAAAGCGATGAAGAACTCCACGTTGTGTCAATGCTAACGAACGAGTTTTCTGGTGATGTTGGACATTCGATGACAAATCAATTGCTTTAGTCAAGTCATTCATTGCATCTACAAACAGACAAACTGGGTAATGCGTTGAGCTGAGCGGATTGAAAAAATTGACTGACCATCAGTTTTATTCTGTAATTGGTATGCTTGAGCTCGATTATTGTAAGCTGATGGACTATTTGGGTTTCGTGCAATAGCTTCATTGAAACGTTCGATGGCTTCGTCCAAACGATTTTGTTCAGCTAATCGTACTCCTGTTAAAGAAAGGACAATGTATATCGATCTACAATTCTTGATAACGAACCTTCTTCCTCGATTTGTTTAATTTCTAGCGCTTTTTCTAAAAATATTCATGAAATGATACATTTCGAAAGAAATTCCAGTCTTACGGTCGTTTTCGGTGTCTAGTACATCTACAGGTGATTTTTGATCGAAATCCAAAGGATAGTTTGGATTAAACATGGCATTCAAAACGTATTTATCATTGTCCGTAATGGTCGTCATCGTCATGTTAACAACGAAAATTCAAAGAATGTAGATTGAAGATATGGACCTGTCGTATGAAATGAAATAATATAAATAAATGTTCGCAAAGCGGCATCTTCTCTATCCAGTCACATGACTGGAAAGATAAGATAATGAATCATTCGTACAATCGAGAATGCGAAGAAGGAGAGCAAAAACGCCAGGAGTGTACGAGCATATTCAGCGACGTAAATAAAAGATTAAAATAAGACACATTTTACGAGAGTCAAGAGATAAATTTTGTTACTTCTTATCAAGATATTTAATAGAACGTTTGGTGAATTATAAGTAAATAACTTATGAAATTTATTTCTGATGATTATTGGCGAAACGAAAAAACTACAAGAAAAAACTTTCAGTTTCGTACATCATAAAAGCCTCCTTTTCAAGTCACACTTGCTAGTACAAACTACAAAGTGTAGAAATTCATCATCTAATGTGAAAGTTTCAGTGGTAATTGACATCACATGTCAATTATGGCGTAGCTGCAGCAGCAGGCGGTGGAACCGCACCCACAGTTGCTGGTGCCGCTGCTGCGGGTGCAGGTGGTACAGCGACGGCAGGTGGTCCTCCTGTGAGTGGTGGCAAGGGTAATTTTGGCTGTTGGATAATATATGGACCAAAATATGGATAGACAGGATTGCTTGAAGGTAAGATATACCAAGATCCAGTTGATGGACGATACACTGTTAAATCTGCCTTTCCATCACCATCAGCGTCTACTGCTGCAACTGGAATATCTGTAGGTAACCCCCATTGAGCGATGACGATACTTGCAGGATTTGTTGATGGCAGTATGTACCAAACACCATTTGATGGTCGCCAAACAACAAAATCGTACTTTAAATCACCGTCGAAGTCACCTGGTCTAAATAATTCGTGGACTTGATAAAAAACCTTTCATTTGTAATACGAAAAACTTCTTACACAGCAATATCTTTATAGATTGGTACACCCCATTGCATGAAAATTTGAAGAATAGGATTTCTTTGAAGCATAATATACCAGTAACCAGTCGATTGTCGGTAAATGGTGAAATCAGTTAGAAGATCACCATCCCAGTCACCCGCCACTATATAGTCAAACAAAACTTAGATAATTAAATAGAAAACTCTCATCAATAAATTACGAGCAGAATCATTGACTGTAAATCCCCAATGTTTGATCATTTGGATGCCAGGCTTACCTATGTATAGAATATACCTAGAAAGAAGAAGAAATCTATCTATTCAATTCAGAGACTAATTTCACCAAAATCCATTCGTTGGCCTCCATACAGTAAAGTCAGCTAGATGTCAAATATAAAATGATTGTTAATCTTGTTGAAAAATCTCATAGGACAAAGTTTACTTCTTTTGTCTCCATCGAAATCTCCGACTAAAATAGAAATACAGATTCGAAATACGTCATTGCCGTTCTGGTGGTTGTACGTACCAACAGGTTGGTCACCGGCTATTCCCCAAGCTTTGCGCAGTCTGGTAACCGGCATCAAACTTGGTATAACATCCCATACCCAGGTTTTATTTGCTCTTGGGCGCCAATGCGCGAAATCAGCTAGACAAAGAAAAACATCATCAGTAATAGTACGTATTGGCTTGATCTCTTTACCGAATCCGTCACCATCATAATCACCCATGACTGGAATATCCGTTGGAAAGCCCCACCGAAATGTAATAACGAATGACGAAACACGATATGGTATTACAAACCATTCTCCAGTCCAATTTCGGTACACAGCAAAATCTCGTCGACGATCTCCATCAAAATCACCACACAGAGGAAAATCGTATCGGCTACCCCATTGTTTTTGATAGATTAACCAAGGTCGTTTACTTGGAATCCAAGACCAAATAGCAGTACTTGGCGTCCATACTGTAAAGTCGGTGACACCATCAGCATCAAAATCACAATTGGACACACAAATATCACCCGGTTGACCCCTGAGAATGCCACCAAAAACAAAAAAACATATTTCTATATGACAAACTCGATTTCTTTACCATTGTTTCGTCCACTGAATGGTCGGATCTGAGGATGGATTGATATAATAAGCACCTTTGCGATAAACTACAAAATCTGTTTTACCATCACCATCGAAATCACCAGGACAAGGGGCGTCACCTGGTTTGCCCCTTCGATAGAAAGCAAAACATAAGCATCTTTTTAATAAAATCGCTACTCTTTCATTTACCATTTATGAATATACTGAAAGCCCGGATTACTACTTAGATGAGATATCCATTGAGCAGTTGCTGGACGAAAGACAGTAAAGTCGAAGAATGCATCACCATCGAAATTAGCTCGAACGGGTATATCACCTGGTATTCCCCAAAATTTCGTTATGAGAACATTGGGATTATTACTTGATGAAACGAACCAAGTCATTGTTGTTCTTCGGTAGACAGCAAAATCTGCAAAACCATCACCGTCGTAGTCCGCTGGTACCTAATTAACAAAAACAAACATATTTGTTTTTATACTTCGTTTCATATCACATACCGGTAAATCGAAAATCGATCCCCATTGTGCCACCAAAGGGAAGGTGATATTCTCCCGAAAGATTTGATATGACACTATACGAGGCGGTGGTGGTGTTGGAGGCTTCGATAAAACATATGCCCATATTGGATCGTTGATTAAATTTATATTATCATCGGGACCCAAGGTTCCAGGATGCGGAGCACCATTCACCGACAGATCGAGCACAGTTTGTCCAACTGCATCACCCATTGGCCATAGACCAACAAGACAAGTTTCATTTCCCAACAAAGAACTTGTTTGCATCGATAAACGAATCTGTTCTGGTGTATTTGAGCACCCCCAAAGACGTACGTCTCTTACTGCACCTATGAATTGTTGTCCGATAATAATATCATCTGTTAATTTCTGTGATTTGATTGATAAAATTATGCTTGAAACAAATTCGCCATTGATGTATAGTCGTAATTGATTATCAATCGATACGAAAACGCACGCAATATGCGTCCATTGATCCATTGGTATTGCTTGTAATGTTGTCGTATAAAAATGTGGATGCCGTTTATTTATTATCGAAAACGTAATTTCACCTTTGGGCTGGTAAGTAATCAGGTATTCCCCACGAAAATTAATCAGCTGTACAGGCGTATCACCATCTGGTAATACATGCGGTCTCACCCAAAAGTCAATAGTAAAACCCGTGGTGGTAAAGTCCATACTCACATCTGGTATGCGAACAAATTGGGTATTGACGGTAAAGACCATTGCTGATGAAGTCGATTGACATGAACATGTTCCTGACCAATCCGAACAATCAATCGTTCGATGATAGCTTGCATTGATTCTGTCAATATCATACTGTTTACTGATAACACTCAATTGTAGCGTGTCTAAAATATCTGATACAGCTCGAGCTGATAATGATTTGATTTTCCATAGATTATCAACTGATGACCATTCAACAACGAGTTGATCTTGTTCGAGAAACATTTCTTGAATTTCACTTTTATTGAATGTTTGTCTATCTGGCGATTTCAGCGCCCATGGCGATTCCGTATTCTTCAAGTGAAATGCGATCTTATTCGTTATAGAATAACTCACGTAAAACAACTCTTGATTAATTAGTGTCTCGAGATTGTCTAATGACCAGAAGTCATTCGGATAAGTCAAATCATAGCGTGTCGATGTATTCGTAGCTAGTTGGAATAAACCTTGTAATTCACTTTCTTTTATTGTTTCATCAATTGCTTGTGTCTGAATGAAATATTGCGAGACAAATTGACCCTCTTGTTTCGGATGAATATACTTTCCCGGACGAAATTGCGTTCGTAAACTGTGCAAGTTAAAAATGGTTGCTGTTCGTGGTGGGATGGTAATCGAGTTGGTTTGTGATTGAATGTAATATTCCAATTGAAATTTAATTTTACCACAAAGAAGATTTTGTGCGATGGAACTGGCAATCATCATCGATGGACATATAAATTGACATTCAGAGGTCAAGATGCCAGATAAATGATGTTTTGTACAAGGATACGCAGCAGGTACAGGTATAGCAGTTTGATCGACCAAATAAATCGTTAAAGTATCGACTGGTAATGGTTCAATGATCCAAAAGACAGCGAATTGTCCAACATCCGGATGCATTTTCGTAATGATCGTTTTTCGAGCAATCTGTTCGAATTCTGATGAAGCAATTGAGAATTGAAAACGAACTTGTTCGTTATATTGATAAATATCCTTTGCTGAATCGAACACAACCACCGGATCATACCAGAAGAGCCATGTTTTTGGTTCGCGACTTGGATTACTCGCTGAAGTATAGATAGTGATGTTCCGTTGAGCATAAGGAATTGTGACCAATGGGACTTGATCAGGTGCCGGTTTTTTGCTACCTTGACTGGTAGTGATAAAGACAAATCCAAACAACGAGAGAGACCAGACGAGAATTGATCTCATACTAGTGTGTTGCTGTTGTTGTTGTTTTTCATCGAATAAAATGCTGTTTTGGAGGCAAGTTTTATGTTTGTATTTATATAGACCTATGTACGCATGAATATTTCATATATCATCTAGTTCGTTGAAAACAACTGATTAGTTTCTATTTCCATAGGTCATGTAAAGATGAAATATCAAAGCGAAAGATCATCACGGGTGATTTTGATTAGAAATTTATCCAAGATCGAAGGAATTTGACCTTCATCGACGAAGAAAATCATATGTTATGATATACTAATACCTTTTGGTCTACTCAGTGCATAGGAAAATGCCTTGATAATCTGATTATAATGATCCATTATTATTGTAAATTATTAATTGATTAATTACGAAATGAAGTTACATAAATGAACGAAATATCACACGGAGGAAATGTCGTGGTAATGGCAAATGTTTTTCTAACCCCTTGAAGTAATTGACTGGCGCCACACATTTTTCACGGCACAATTGAAATGTGTAACCTTTTCGACAGCTCTTCTGCTGATGCATTCAGTACTTCCAATGCACTTTTTTCGGTTGATTGATATTTTTTTGTTTAACTCATCAAAAAGCCTATCTGTTTTGTCCGATATATTATACATACCGAAGTGTAACAAGCCCAAAAGTTTTGTTATTAGTTTGTAATCGACGAAGGTATCTGATATAATGGAACTCTAGTAAACTATAATAGAACAGTATGAACATGAAATCTAGGTATGTCTCTTTCCGTTAGGATAGTTTTTGCTGATTTTATTTGAGAAATTTTTCCAGTAACAACTTTCACGCAAAAAATTTGCAGAAAAATTTACAACATAGGGAATGACATTATATCACTTCAATTCTATACAACTCGATTGTATTTAGTTGAGCAACATCACTATTAAAGTTTTGCTTCTATAGCTGATACTTAGTGCGCCAGGTAGACCTCGTATGCTCTATTTATGTTTGTATGAAGAATGAAAATATCATCACATTTGTTTTGCATTGACTTTTTTGTTATCTATCCTTAGAACAAGTGAAATCCATCCTTGGGCTCATTAAAGTCCAATCGTTGAACCGATAACTACAAAAGTAAATATCATTCGCTGTTCCGGATACTATTCGAAAAATATAACTATCGTATAGAGAGATTGACCAGCGTAATTGAAAACGAAGAGTGATCATCATCATTGAAGGAGATTAACTTGAATGTAGAATCAAGCTAACAACTAGTGAACTCTGACGTTTCGAGTAATCTTTGAATAATCGTTTTTACCAATCGAAATTATGCAAAAGAAAATTTATCTCTCGACCCATAATTTATCCAACAATGCATCGAACTCTTCACATTACTACTCATATTCATAGATGTTGTCTAATATTCGTTCATCAGTTTCATATGCACTGTTGTCCGGAGCATATCTTCAGTCTCCAAAGGCAGTTACGTCAAGCAAAACTTGCAATAGCTGCTCGTCTCACTGACTATCTTGTCGTTGACTGTGCATTTGCGGATGAATACGATCAGAACGAACTTTACTACGAACGATTGCAATTGAAAATTCATTCGTGCTTCACTTCACTCTATCGATATCATTCGCCTTCGTTTGTCATCCTATGTAATGTCTATGCAAATGAAAAAGCCAAATCTTTAAGAAATAGTCCTTATTGCCACTCAACGTCGCTCTCCTACACGGATCTATTTCCACGAGAACAACTTGTCTATCTGTCACCTGATTCGCCTAATGTCATGAGTGAATATGAACACAATGTGATCTATATCCTCGGTGGAATTTTTCAAAAAAGTATGGAATTAGTTTGAGTGACACAACATCGAATCTGATTCTTTTCATTTAGCGAAAACGGAACAGTTGACGTTAGAAAAAGCTCAATCAGAACGAATCCGTCATCAGTCATTACCATTACAGCGATATCTCAAGTAAATATTCGGTATTTTTGCGACGAAATGCCAAGTAGTTTACTCTTTAGACTCTCATCCAATGCAAGTTCGGTACTATCGTTGAATCAAGTGTATAACATCCTAATGACTTTGAAACATACGAATAACAATTGGTGCGAAGCTTTGAAATGTATACCAGAACGTTGTCGTTCTCGATAGAACATGAATGTTGTTTCGAATAAATCATTTCATATGCAAAACAGGAGATTGGCCAGTGCTGACAATGGAATCGATGACATTTTTGCATCGAAATATATCTCGCGAGCCAGAACGTAGGATGTAATGACAGACTGCAGTGAGAACATCAAATCTATATTTCATCGAAGATTCTTATCATTGATAAAATAATAATGATAAAGAGAACAGTATATATATGTAGACGGTTTTAAGCTAATACTTCTTTCGTATCTGTTGTCCACATCCGCCTTACATTAACATTGAAAAATGACTTCGTACCTTTCGATTGTCTTGCCATTTCTATGGATTGTAGCTGTAACTCATGTGAATTCAGCATGTTTTCACGAACAAGCCGTGACAAAAGTGACAGGTAAATACACGATTTCGATTGTGACAAGTTTGAAAACGTTCCAGCTGTGCGTTTTAGAGTATGGCACTGTCGATACTCATTGCCAGTACAACAATATCAAAGTACTGCCGGGCTCATCGTTTAGATTACCCATGCCTGACTGCTTAGAATGTAAATGTACTAAAAAATCAATGATTTGTTGTGGATTTGGTTTCGCGGCAGGCAAGGTCGAAGCACCTGCTGGTTGTATAGCGCAAAATGATGCTTGCAAGTTAATCTTCGTTGAAGAAAAGAATACAAAACAATTGTGTAAATTGGCTGGACCGAGCGCGGGCAAAAAGAGAAAACCACGACCTCACGCTAATTAGAAACAAACATTTGCAATTATTCAAAACAATCTCCTATTTAGTTTAGACTTTTTTCATATTCAAAACTAATCATTTTCATTACGTAAATCTGATCAACATTCTTGTATGAGAAATTTAGAGACTGTAGCAAAAGTTTTTATGAAGGTATTATAAAACTATTGTATTCTTTGTATGATGCATACGTATTTCTCTCTATTGTATAGATAACAGTTGTTGACAGGATCTATACGCGAAATTTATTATGAAACTTACATAGAGATTCGATATATATATATATATAGGAGAACCTCTTGCTTGAAAAGAAAAACGGAGGAGAGTCATATTTTGCAATATAGCTTTGAGAGCATAAATGGTTGTTGATTATAAAGTTTGATACAAAGTAGTGAGTGGCTGTAGTCACTACTGATAAAACCTATTTGGTTGCCACAACAAGTTTGAGATATAGCAGGATGATTCTTTTACAATAGACATGAAGTATTATACAATGTTTGTTGCCTATAGAGCCAAGTGGCTTATCAAAGGTATCTTTTATGAATTTATGGATTATAAATACAGTAGAAAAGAAAAGATACATACACAAGTAAAATCTTTCCTTTTACAAGCAAGGTTAAAGTATTTTGCCCGTAGTTTCGAGATCGTATTCTGAATGGCTATCATTCGAAATCTAGTTCTATTCGTACTACTGGTATCGATTCTACCCTGTAGTAGTCTTCGTTGTTTTGAATGTGGATGTGACAGCAGTGCTACGGATCAATGTAATTGTACTACAATAACATCTTCAACTGAAAATGATTATTGCGTTGTTCTGGAACAAAGATATACTGATCGAACATATATTCAATTGAGTCGAGTTCCACGAAATTCCAGTTGGGTATACATTGAAGATCCGTATTTTGTTTTAACACAAGAATCGATTAGATATAATCGAACAACTTCACAATGGTTTTTGTGGACTACTAATATTGTTTTTGGATGTGACTGGGATCTATGCAACGCTCCGAGCCTTATCGAATCACTGCCTAATTCATTCAAGTTAAACATAAGTTCAAGTTGGTTAAACACGAATATCTATGGTACCGGTGCTGTTTCAACTTGTATACGTTGTGATACCGAAGTCTGTGGTAATACATCTAGTCCAGCTGATTTCAGTCAATGTACAACGACAACTTGTAATACAACTTCAGCGGTAGGAAGATATTTTTATCGTCGAAGAAGGTTATTGCTAAATCGTTTCTTTCCTTATATTTTTAGTGTTTAGCTTATGATCTTTGGAATAACGTTGATACTGGTGAACAATGTCTTCAAGCTCAGTGTGCACCCGATTATTTAGAAGGTGAATTCGGTGACAGCTATGGCGGCAAATACCGAGTTGACGTCGAATCGATCGTTTACTTAGCAAAAGATCGCACAGACTACGATATTTGGGAAATTGATGTTTATTGTGCTGTTGCGAATTGTTCTCGTGCGAGTATGTTTCAGGAAATACGACAACAATTGCGTCTTGAACTTGGTGATTTATCCAACTTCCCAGCTGTTCGACCATCAACAACAGAAGCACCAACAACTACGACAACAGCAATCGAAAATCCACTTCGATGCTATAGTTGTGAATGTGACCAGGAAGCAACGTGCGATTGTTCAACAACGGTTGTCAGTTCGCTTGATTACACATATTGCGTTATCGTACGAGAAAATTTCGGTCAAGATGTCTATATATATTCGGATTATTTGGAACTAGATGCCACTTTGATGTACATTGCCGAGTTTCCATATGCACTCGTTGAAGAATCAATCGATTATAATGAAAAACTAGGTGCATGGTATACCACAACAAATTTCGTCGTTTACGGATGCAATTGGAATCTATGTAACAAGCCTAGTCTTATTCCACTTATGCCAAACAGTTATCAAATGCGACTACCAGAAGCATGGTTAAATACTAATATTCTAGGCACTGGTAAGCCTGTACGAGATTGTCATGAATGTCCTGACGAAGCACAATGTGGTACAACTGATTATCTCGATGCTAATACATGTCCAATTCAATCATGCAACACAACTTGTCTAGTTTTAGACACGTATGATGATCCCGAATATGATTATTTATGCTACCAATCATTCTGTCTTCCGCCCGACACGGAAGATTATCAATTAGATCGTCATCGCATTGAAATCGAAGGTGTCATTTATGCTAGCCAACAAGATGTTGTTCATCTGTGGGAAGTCGATATTTACTGCCGTGCTGACAACTGTTCACGTCCAGCGATATTCAAAGAACTTCACGAAAAGTTGACTGTTCAACCAGGTACATTAGCTGCATTGTTCAATGAAACGCATGATCCAACTATTCCACAACGTCGGTGCTATGATTGCTATTGTTACAATAAGATTGATTGTCCATGCAATCGAACAACAATAATGAGAGACGATGAAACATATTGTTTATTGATGCGTGAAAACTATGGTCAAGATTCTTGGATTTCAATGGGACACATCGACGACGACTCGACTCGTATACATATCCGTGATTTTCCTTATCTGCTGGTGGAAGAATCTATCATGTACGACGAACAATTAGACAAATGGAACACGATTACAAATTTCGTTGTTTATGGCTGTGATTGGGATTACTGCAATGATCCTAGTCTTATCCCGTACTTACCCAACAGTTTTGAAATGCGTTTGCCGAATGATTGGTTAAATACTAATGTTCTAGGATCTGGTGCACCTGTCCGAGATTGTCATGAGTGTCCAGATGCACCTCAGTGTGGTCAAGGTGATTTTCTTGATACAAGCCGATGCCCAATTCATTCATGTAACACCACTTGTCTTGTTTTCGATGTATTCGATGATCCATCCGTTGATGAACAGTGTTATCAATCATTCTGTGCGCCACCTGATACTGATGAATATCACATCGACACACATCGTGTTGAAATCGAAGGTATTTTGTATCTTCATAAGCAACCACGTGAAATAGAACTTTGGGAAGTTGATCTCTATTGTCGCGCTGACGATTGTTCTCGGCCCGAGATATTCACTGAAGTAAGCTATCTCACGAAAACTTTCATGAAAGTAGCCTGTAACTGTACACTCCTTCTAGCTCAAAGCACAACTAAGCGTAAACATTGGTAATCTTGGTCCATTCGACAATGTTTCATCCTCATCAACACAACCATCAAGTTCAACTACCAGCGGACAGACAACGACAACCAAATCAAAGGCATCAGTTTTAACAAATCTGAATATTTATTTTCTGCTGTTGGCGTCAATAGTTCTAGCCATTATTCATTGACTAATTGTTCTTTAACAAGACTTTTTTTCGTTCTCTTCGAATTATCGACATAGAATCACAATGAAATTCGAATTAACATGATTTCTTTCATTGATAATTCTTTTTATGCCTACATTTTCTTTTGAACGTTTCTTAAATAAACATTTCATTCTAATTATTCGTCTTAGCAACTTGACGAAGAAAATAGTACTTAATGATCGTTAAATAGAGTCTTATTTTCGGAAAGCACTGCTTAAATTTCAAAGGAGATCAATGACACATGGATCTGCACACAAAATAGATCATAAATCTGGATAGAAATTAACTAGGACACACCGACAGATCTCCTTTTTGATGTCCTTGAAACGGTCTTTTAGAAGTCATGTTTCTCAATTCCTTATCAGATGAAAATATGCTTGAAAAGTACTAACAAAACATATATACGTCTCCATTGAAATTTCATTTATGACATCGGTAAACTCTCATGCATCTCAACCGATATTGACGTATTATGAAGTCAATCGATCTCTGCTGTAGATTATATGACATCGAAATTTCTATCAGTAAAGGATAGATAATAAAAATGCTTTTCTCCATTGTTACTTCAGTTAAACTGTTTCTTTATTGAATCAAACGGTTTATATGATCAGATTATCAGGAACAACAAGCAAGCTTAACGACGCTTTTTTATGAGTTCTATGTTATAAAAAAAAGCGTAGTCATCACATAAGAGATCTATATAATCTTCGTTCATTTAATCAACTTTGCTTTCATTTGAAATCCTACAATTCAAACTGGTTTTGTAGTATTTACTAATGATGAAGAAACACTGTTCGATTCTTTTGCTCTTCTTACTCTCAGTATCATCTAGCACTGGTCTTGATTGCTTCAGCTGTTTTTGTCGACCAACAAATACAACTGCTTGTGATTGTACTAATGTAGTTCCTGTTCAAGCTGGATCTCATTGCACCATCGTTCAAGATCTACATTCATCTGATCCGTACATTGAAATGTCGGCCGCGGATATGAATTCATCATATGCACAAATGAAAGATGCATACTATGTTTTAGTCGATGAAGACATCTATCGCAATGACTCGACAAACACTTGGGAAACAAAGACAAAACGCGTGGTCTATGGTTGCGATTGGGATCTTTGTAATCGTTTTAGTTTGATTGCATCATTACCACAATCGTACAAGTTAACAATCGATAGCGCATGGTTAGAAAGTAATATCTACGGTTCAGGAACAGTATCCAATTGTAACACATGTACAAATGAAATATGTGGAAATAAAACGAACCCGATCGACTATGATCAATGTCCAAGCACTACGTGTACCAATGCCACTACTGTAAGTTGCATAGTTTTACCGCTGTAAATCTAACTATTCGTTTTTAGTGTTCATTGTATAATTTATGGGAAGATTTTGATACAGAAGAAGCGTGTTATCAATCCCAATGCACACCATCAGAAATAATCGATGAATCCAGCGATGCAAATGGAAAATATAATGTTCAAGTTGAGGCCATTGTTTATCTAGCACAAAATCGTTCGAACTTTGTAATCTGGCAGCTGAATGTCAATTGTGCTGCGGATAACTGTACTCGTTCAACTATTTTTCAGGAAATTAAACAAGAATTGGGAGGTGACACTAGCGGTATTGCAACATTTCCAGCTACTCGTCCACCAACAACACCAGTCCCATCATCAACCATATCATCCGCACCGACCAATCCTATTAAATGTTACAACTGCTCATGCATCGGTACAGTTTGCCCATGTACAACTTATGAGGTGATTTCTGCAGATGACAGTTATTGTACAATTATCCGTCAAAACTATGGACAGTTCATATCGGTTGATTATGGACACATAGGAGAAAATACAACGCATGTTTACATTAATGAATATCCATTTGTACTCGTTGAAGAATCAATTATTTATGATGATAAGACAGGTCAATGGAATACTCAATCTGATATCGTGGTTTTCGGTTGTAATACTAGCTTATGCAATTCGCCAGATCTTCTCTATTATCTACCAAGTAGTTTTCAAATGCGTTTACCAGTAACATGGCTAGATGCAAATGTTCGTGGTAATGGTTCAGCTGTTCGTGATTGCCATGAATGTCCAGAAGCACCTCAATGTGGTGCAACTGATTTTCTCGATGCTGGTCGATGTCCAATTCATCCATGCAATACAACTTGTCTCGTTTCGGACTCATTCAATGATCCAGCTCACGGTCTGTTATGTTATCAATCGTTCTGCGCACCAGAAGACTCCGAATTTCTTCAGATTGATACGCATCGTGTTGAAATCGAAGGTGTTATTTATGCTAGTCGACCATCCGATGTTGAAATATGGGAAATTGATCTCTATTGCCGTGCCGATGACTGTTCACGCCCCGAACTTTTTAAAGAACTCCGATCGAATCTCGTTGTCCAACCTGGTGATTTATCAATTCTATTTAATCAAACAACAACGAGAAAAGTACTTCGCTGTTTCGATTGTTATTGTGAAGGTGAGGTCAACTGTGTATGTGATACAATCGCAGTTCAAGATGCAGCTACGAATTATTGTACAATTACTCGTACATACGATGGTAGTGGAGTCTATGTTTATTTTCAACATTTTGAAATTGGTACATCTTATTCCAATGTTCGTGAACTTCCATTTGTCCTCATTGATGAAGCCATTTTATACAACAACGCGACAGGTAAATGGTTTACGAGGACAACTGATGTTACCTACGCCTGTAATGTCGACTATTGTAATAAACCATCACTCTTACAATACCTAGCTACTAGTCTGGAAATGACATTACCCGATGCATGGCTAAATTCAACCTTGATGAGTAGCGGACAATCGACTTTAATGTGCAACGAGTGTTCTGGCAATGCAACATGTAGTAGTGTAGGTTCTGTCGATGATAGTACGTGTCCTGCGCAAGCTTGCAATACAACCTGCTATGTTTCCAATGTTTACGCTGATCCGGATACTAATGAACAATGTTACCAAGCGTTTTGTACTCCTGACAGTTCCGAATTTGCTATCGATTATTATCGTGTCGAAATCGAAGCTATTGTCTACCCAAGCAATCCATCCGACGTCGAACTATGGGAAACGTACATTTACTGTCAAGCTGAAAATTGTTCACGTCCAGGAATATTTCAAGAAATTAAACAACATTTAGATTACAATCGAGGCAACCTTTCTGAATTATTCAACAATACAGCTGTTGGTGATCCTGGTAAACTTCATTGCTATGATTGCTATTGTGAGAATGAAGCGACCTGTACATGTAACAAGACGTTAGCATTGCCGGACAATGCAACTTATTGTACAATTATTCGTGAATATGATGGACAGGATTTTTGGATTATTCTAGAACATATCGATCGAAATAGCTCGCGAATCTATATACAAGAATTACCTTACATGCTCGTTGAAGAATCAATTTTATACGATGATAACTATGGTATATGGGTCACTCGACCAAATATTATCGTTTATGGTTGTAACACAGATTTTTGCAATGATCCTCGACTTATACCACACCTTCCAACAGATTTTCGAATGCGTCTCCCTGAAGATTGGTTGGAAGCAAATGTTCGTGGTAATGGTACACCTGTCCGAGATTGTCATGAATGTCCAGATGCACCTCAGTGTGGTCAAGGTGATTTTCTCGATGCTGGCCGATGCCCAATTCATTCATGTAACACCACTTGTCTTGTTTTCGATGTATTCGATGATCCATCCGTTGATGAACAGTGTTATCAATCATTCTGTGCGCCACCTGATACTGATGAATATCACATCGACACACACCGTGTTGAAATCGAAGGTATTCTATATGGTAATCGTCCAAACGCCGAGCTCGAACTCTGGGAAGTTGATCTCTATTGTCGCGCTGATGACTGTTCCCGACCAACAATCTTCCAAGAACTTGAAGCAAAACTCACCGTCGATCTGGGTGACCTTTCCGAATTCTTTAACATCACTACGATAGCAACAACACCTCTTCCAACCACAACACCAATTACACCTGTCGAACCACCACTTGCATGTTATGAATGCTCATGTGCCGATGTTTCAAATTGCGAGTGTGACAAAATTGGAGTATCAGGAGCATACTCATCTTACTGTACAATCGTACGTGTTAATTATGACATGCATTTTACAATAGATTTAGAACATATCGACCGAAATTCTACGCGTGTTTATATTCGTAAATTCCCTTACATGCTCGCCGAAGAATCGATACTTTATAATGAAACAACGGGAGTATGGTGGACAAGAAGTAACATTCTTGTCTACGGTTGTAATACAAGTTTATGCAATCATCCTAGTCGAGTAGCATTACTTCCAGATAGCTTCAAAATGTTCTTGAGTGATGAATGGCTAAACAAAAATGTTCGTGGTAATGGTTCAGCTGTACGCGATTGTCATGAATGTCCAGATGCGCCTCAGTGTGGCACCACTAGCTTTCTCGATGCTAGTCGATGTCCAGTTCATTCATGCAATACAACTTGCGTCGTCTCTGATACATTCAACGATCCATCTGATGATAAATTATGTTTTCAATCGTATTGTAATCCACCTGATGTGGACGCTGAAGAAGACCGCCATCGCGTCGAACTGGAAGGCATCATCTATAAAGACAATCCAAGCGTCGTCGAACTATGGGAAATTGATATTTACTGTCGAGCCGATGATTGTTCACGTCCTGAGATATTCGATGAACTTCGCGGAAACTTAACGACACAAACAAACAATCTGACCGCACTTTTCAATGATAGTATTTTACCAACAAAACCTCAACTTATCTGCTATGATTGCTACCTTTATGATGAACCAGTTTACGAGTGTAATACGTATTCGATAGCTGATGCTGATTCGAGCTATTGTGTCATAGTTCGAGCAAATTATGGCGATGAGGATTATGATGTTATCTTGGAACACATTGATCGTAACTCCACCCGCGTCTACGTGCGCAAGTTTCCATATCTATTAGTCGAAGAATCAATTTTGTACAATGATTCAACAAAAGCGTGGAGAACAAGAACGAATTTAGTCGTTTACGGATGCAAAGAGGATTATTGCAATCATCCGTCATATATAGAACATCTACCTGGTAGTTTTCAAATGGGCCTACCGGATACATGGCTAAACGATAATGTTCTAGGTACTGGTCAATCTGTCCGTGATTGTCATGAATGTCCCGAAGCACCTCAATGTGGTGCAACTGATTTTCTCGATGCTGGTCGATGTCCAATTCATTCATGTAATACAACATGTCTCGTATCGGACATCTACAGTGATCCAGATAGTGATGAACAATGTTATCAATCCTATTGTGCACCGCCCGATAGTGAATTCTTCACTATTGATCCACATCGTGTTGAAATGGAAGGTATTTTATACGTCGATTGTGTTGGAGCACCAGTCGAAATATGGGAAATTGATCTATTCTGTCGTGCTGATGATTGCTCGCGGCCGGAAATCTTCAAAGAAGTAAGTTTCCCACTCTTTAGAAACTAAAAAAATTACGCTTCGCTATTTTAAAACAATTACTTTTGATTTAGATCCGAGAAAAATTCACAACGAATCTGAATGATATAAGCTTCTTCTACGAGAACAATGTAACCTGTCCAACAACTACTTCGGCGTCTTCATCAACAACAGTGCCAGCTACCACTCGTACCAGTTCTGTTTCAACAACGAGCACTTCGACTGCATCGCCTGGCACTGCTACTACTACTACTTCAACAAGTCGACCTGGTACTACGCCTACTGGCTCAACCCAGTCAACAACCAGTAAATCAGCTGGTACATCACTTCGTATGACATACAACGTGCTTCTTTTCTTTATTTTTGTTATTTTTCGATGTCAACTCAACTAAATATCTATCACTAAATTGAATTTGTCTACACAATTGCAAGAAAAATACTTTTTGTGTAGTTCCTATATTTTTATGATACATTTATTATATATGCGAGAAAAATGTTGATTATTATCTAATTCAATAAACTAAACATGGAACAGAGACTACATTGATCTTTAAAAAAACTTCACTCCAACGGTCCGTCTTTGCTATGGTTTCACACATGATTCTCCTAGAGGGGCAATTATCAACATAACAGTCTGTTGTTTTTACAGACATGTTTTAATTATTCCTTCGTTAAATGATCCGCAAGCACAATCCGATGTCTCTATCATCGATATGTGTATTCCTATTCGTGCAAAAGATGAAAATTTCTGTAAATGTATAGACGTGTATTTGTTCTTTTGTTAGAGAAAACAAACTGGGGATGTACATATACTCATTTCTAATAATAATAAAAAACTGATTGTTGCATAGCCTTATACTAACATATATTCTTAACGATTAACAATAGCAACAGCGAACGAAGTTCAATGTAGAAGAGAAAAATTAAAAAAATACACCCACAGATGAATGAAAGAGGAAATGAAGAGTAGTTGATCGTTGATAATCTTCGTCTTGCTGTGCATTGTGCAAAATAGAAGGCATCTTTGTGTGTATGTAGATGTATATGAAAAAGAAAGAAGAAAGAGGGATGAGATATGATAAGGAATAAACATATATAGAAAGAAAAAAAGGCCAGGCTAAGCGACACAAGTGACAGACAGATTTGATTTTTCTATTGTTTCTTTTTTCTTTCATTGAAAATTTCCAAACTAATTCTTCTAATGATCGTTTAAGTTGATTCATTCGGAAATGGTCCTTGAAGAAGAGCACGAACGAAAGTTTCATAGTTGAACATGCCTTCGGCATCGTCTTTTGTATTGGTTGAACGAAGAATTTCTTCTACCACACGTGGTTCGAGTTTCTCAGCCATAGCAACAAGGACTTGAGTAAGTTCAGCTAAGGACATTAAGCCATTGCTCTCCTTATCGAATAATTTCAAGCCTTCCATGAAATCTTCGTAGGTGCCGAAATTTTTCGCTGGCATTTTGTAGAATTCGGAGTAGATGGGAAGAAATTCTTCTACTTTGATGGTCTTTTCTCCGGTTTTCTTCGTTTGACCACGTTTTTCACATTCGGCTTGTGTTGGATAGAGACCGAGTGAGCGAAGCATGTCTCCGATGTAGAATGCGTCGACTTTGCCCTTTTATTTACAAAGAAAAATTTTCGTTCAATCGTTCGTTTCGACTGGAAATCACAAGTTCGCATCTTACTTCGTATTTTTTATCAAAGACATCGAAGACTTGTTTAGCTTCATCAACTTTATCACTGGGTAAATCGGCCATTGCTATAGCTGTGTTGTTCTTAATGCGTCTGTGAGATGTTAAGATGTAAAAAAGAACGACGACGATAGTTGTGTGGTAAGTAGTGGTAGCAAGAACAGAAGGGAGAAATAGGAAAAATATCTGCGAAGAAAAGCACAAGATATCAATCCATTTGGTTTTTTCTAACAGAAAAGAAGAAGTTATTTCTGTCGAGATGTTATCCAATCGTTGCTTCTGTCGGCTCGCGAACAATCTTTTTCCCTTTTGCGGTAATGCTACTAACCGGTTGATGGTAATCATCTTTAACGATAGGATAGAAATAATCAATATAGGAGAGAGAGAGAGAGAAAGAAAAGGAGGAAAGAACAAAGATATCAAGATCAGATTCGGAGGGATCAGTTCTTTTTTTTCGCAAATTTTGCCTTTTTGTATCTCAACAATTTTAATGTAAACGATTTCAATTCATGAGAATTTCTCATTTCGTCATGATATGTCCATATTGAGGTTTACACTTTTCTTCTTTGTATTGTTTTTTTCCTTCTTTCTGATATATTTTTGTTGTTGTTGTTGTTATTGTCAAATAGAGTGCAAAAACAAAAAAGCCTTGGTGATATATTGTTGCTATTACTGCTGTTTCTTGCTCTTTGCAAGACGATGAAGATATACCGTACCATCGACAACCTTGGATACGATGTGTACGTGATGATATCGGCTCTCTTGCAGAACGAAATACATAAATAATCTTCTACATAAAAGAAAGAAAATATATGTCCAACTTCAGTTGCCAGCCGAAGAAACAAACGACAGAATAAGAGAGAAAATAAAGAGCCTAATCGATCTACAGTGAACTTTCCGAGTCTATCCAACCCGAGAACGATAGTACTTTTCGATGTATGTCGACGTGTTTCAGGTCATTCAAGAAAACAAAACAAAATAATCGATTTGTCATCAGATATACATGAGCTTTTCGGATATTTTTAGTAAATATGACACGAATAAACGATGATATGCTTGGTTTGAAGTACGAAATTTACGGTGCTCATATCTTTCATCACGTTTTATTCAAATATGTACATCCCGAAGAAAGACTAAAAAAGGAGAAATATCAGAGATTATTTAGTGCACTGCATTTTTTAGTTATAGTTGATTGCACGTATGTCTTTTTATTGGCTTGACTTGTAAAGCGGGTTTCGTTGAGAGTAGCAACTTCATGATCGCTTGACGAATATCACGGTCTAACATGATCATACTGACCTTTTCAATAGCTACCGACAGCGACATCGTTACAAGACTCAGTAAATAGATTGGTTTACTTGCTGTAATCGCGAATAGAATACTCGGTATTCCACCCAGCAAATAAATGAATAAAAGCGCCGTAATGTTACGGAGTAATTCGAGGTCGCGCTTCTCTTTGTTTGTCGGTCGTGCAAATGCACACGGACGATGGCTGAATTTCTTCACTCGATAAAATATAAAAATGTAGACTATGCAAACCGAACTAGTGGGCACAATGTAATATGCAGAATAAGAGTAGATGACATGGATGAACCTTTTCAATGGTACCCAACAGAGTGAAGTCGGACGATAGTATATGTCATTTGTCAGGATGGAAGGTAGTGGAATGATTACGATGGTGAGCCATTGGAGAAAAATCAGAATGTAATGTGTTTTGAATGTTGTCAACCAGCGATACTGGCTGGAAAGGACAGAGATGAAAAAGCGAGAGATGGCTTGAATGAGATATGAATAAGTAACAGCTGCAATGGTCAGATAAGCAAAGTAGCCACGCCATCGACACCCAACGTCACTTGTTTCTGTTCGTAAGAAAATAAGAAAAATATAGTTGATAGTTTGAACAATGCAGTAGAGAATTGATGCGACGCATGTATTGCATATTAACAAGTGTCTGACAGTGTGTAAACGAGGTTTTGTTCGGTAAACCAGGATTGACACAGATATTGAAACGAACACTCCAATGAGTGATATGACACTGGACAATGAGCAAGCAATGTAATAGTCACTTATCGTAAATGAAGCTTCCAATGGAGATAGTGTTGAATTCATTTTCTAAATTTGAAATACAGGTTATAAAATATGTACCGAGTTCAAAGATGAAAGTTATTAGTCGAAGTGTCAAAGAATAAAATTAATGATCGAGTTGATCTTTTATTTAACGGTACACGATGTTCTTTAAAGCAGGTTCACAAGCATACTCATAGAATGACGAATAGGAATTTTGATTAAAAAAAAACTAGTCCAAAAGATATTTTTTGAATTGTTCTTAGAATATTTGACGAAACGAAACATTTTCTGTATTCATTTCTGATTGCCTATTAGCGCACTTTAACTCATCGAGTCATAGGGTATTTTATTCAAGTCAAGTATGATTTACTTCCAGATACATAACGTAAACACGAAGAAGAAAACTACACGATATTTAAACACATGTGCATGAACAATCAGTCGTTGAATAGTGAGAATAACTAGTAGATGATAGGTAACGGCATTTCAATTTAATTTCTCAATGAAAGACTCCGGAAGAGTTGTTCAATTTAATTAAAAGATAATTTGCTCTTTTAACCTAGAAACTTAATTTATAAATGAAGATGGCAATCATTAAGAACATGCTCATGAGATATTACTAAGACACAACTCACAGCTCCGCGTGCTCAAGTGTTAGTGTCATTATCATTAACTTTAGATTTTCGGTTGATGTAATCACGAAATGTTTGCTGACGGCTATGTGATTTATTAATTTAACCATGGGAATGTAAAAGTAAAACCTATATACTCAGAATACTTCGACATTAATCTTTTGCACCTATTTAGAAGTATCTGTTTCTTAGTAGTCTACAGCATTTATTCACTGAACAAACAGATTTTTCTTCACAGAAAAGGGAATATTCTATCGTACAACGCATTTAATTGATCTATTTTCGAGTCGTTTCTAGTTGAAAGGGCATCACCCTAGTTCGTCGACATATTAAACTTTTAGTAACTTGACGAATATCACGGTCCAACATGATCATACTGATCTTTTCAATTGCAACTGTCAATGACATTGACACAATGCTTATCAAATAGATCCATTTGTTTGTTGTCATCACGAAAAGGACACTTGGTAGGCCACCTAGCAGATAAATACATAAAAGTATCATTATATTACGAAGTAGTTCAAGGTCACGTTTCTCGTGATGATTGTTCCTTATGAGTAGCGCAGCGCGCTTTGTTCCTTGCTTTACTCGATAGAAAATAATGATATAAAGCATGCAGATGGTCAATGTTGGTAGGATATAGTATGCGAAATAGGTATAGATGACATGAATGAGCTTTTTCAATGGTACCCAACAGAATGAAGTCGGACGATAGTATATGTCATTTGTCAGGATGGAAGGTAGTGGAATGATTACGATGGTGAGCCATTGGAGAAAAATCAGAATGTAATGTGTTTTGAATGTTGTCAACCAGCGATACTGACCGGAAAGGACAGAGATGAAAAAGCGAGAAATGGCTTGAATGAGATATGAATAGGCAACAGCTGCAATGGTCAGATAAGCAAAGTAGCCACGCCATCGACACCCAACGTCACTTGTTTCTGTTCGTAAGAAGATAAGAAAAATATAGTTGATAGTTTGAACAATGCAGTAGAGAATTGATGCGACGCATGTATTGCATATTAACAAGTGTCTGACAGTGTGTAAACGAGGTTTTGTTCGGTAAACCAAGATTGGCACAGATATTGAAACGAATACTGCAATGAGTGATATAACAGCAGCTAATGAACAAACTACGTAATAATCACTAAATTGTATGGAAGCTTCTATCGAAGATATATTGAGACTCATGATATTGAAATGAGATTATCTGAATATTTTGGTGATATTTTTTATACTTGTCATGTCTGTCAAGAATGAAGAGAAAATAGACAGGAAGAGTTTTCCTAGAAGAACGAAGAAGACTCAATCTCAATAATCGGTAGTTCGTAAATAATCATATGCAATTTGAATGAAATTATTCAAACATATCATGTGAGTGGGCGATGACGAATAATATAGCTGATCGCAGCGAATAAATAATTCATATGTGATGTTTTTATCGATTCTGTAATATCTTCATGTAAAAAAGTATCTTTGAAGAGAAGTATTTCATTCATAGTTTTGCTCCTACACATTCAATTTAACGATCTATATGTACCATGCGATAAAAACATCCTGTAATACCCATTATTCAAAAGACAAAGACGTCATATGGACACTGTAGATATGTATCACCTGTATCCGGTGTGTTGTACGTATGTTGTACTTTAAGGAACATTCGAGGAAGTGTGTTGTCTTTGAACTATGGATTCATTTTGAATAATAAATCCTCTTCGCTCCAGCACCATATTTAATTAGCGTATTGATTAATTATGAATACTATAATCCCTTTTGCAAGCATGAGTTGCTTTGATAAACTAAGTGGAGGGAGAAAACAATTCATGTGAAAAAGGCGTTTTGATTTTTTTTTCTTGTTGACACATCCCACTCTATTTCTACTGAAAAATACTGTGTCTACAAAAGTTCATACTTATTGAATTAATACTAATTTTCAACCCCATGAATTAGGAAGTAGAACATTTGTGTACACAATTCATGTGCCCGTTATATATATCGAATGAAAATCTTGATGATTATAATTGAAGTATCCCTATTTTTATGACTCGTAACTGAAAGGATACAGACACTTCATCCGTCGTGACTTCCAGCTATAAAAATTCCTTAGTGTTGGCAGTGAGAACTTTTCAGACGAGTTCTTATACTCAGAGGCACTATCTTATCAAAGAAACATTGCTGACGAACTCAGAGGACATTATTTTCAGTTGATTCCAATCGTTAGAAGCAAACATGCGTTTGGTGCTGTGTTCCATTTTATTCAATAAACATCGAAAACGAACGTAAATACACAAAAAAAAACGTGAACTGTCACATCAAATCACTGTCTCATGCCAGCGTAATGGCCTTTTACCGTACGACTCCATTGCTGGCATAGGAGTTCGCTGTGGACGTGTGCGATAATCTAACTGTGCATGAGTTTGTGTATTATTGATAGGTAGAACTTTCGTTCTGCTTGTTAGAATCTGTTTTACCACTTGTTGAAGTTCTCGATCCAAAACAATTGTACACAATTTCTCGATCGCGACAGTCAATGATATAGTGACAATGCCAATCAAGTAGAGTATTCGATTTGTAGTAAGAAGAAATAAAAGTGTTGGAATGCCACCAGTGAAGTAAATAAACAGAAGAATTAAAATATTTCGAAGAAGTTCAAGATTACGTTTTTCATTATTTTTCATTCCGATCAACATTTCATTCCGATTCGAAATTTCTCTCACTCGAAAGTAAATCAGAAGATAAATAACGCCGATTAATGCCGCCGGAATAGTGTAATACACAACATACGTATAAATAACATGCAGTAAACTTCTCAATGGTACCCAACAAAGGGCGCGTGGACGAAAGTAAATATCATCAGTTATGATCGCTGGTAAAGGTAAACAGATGGCCAAAATCCATTGAATACCAATTAAAATCAGATGAACTTTAAACGCTGTCAACCATTTATGGTTCGCAGAGAAAATGGTAATGAATAGTCGAGAGACAGCTTGAATTAAGAATGAATAAGTAACTCCAGTGATAGTCACATAAGAAAAATATCCACGCCAACGACAACTGATGTCACTTGTTACATCCGATAGAAAAATGAGGTAGATATAGTTGACAATTTGTACAATACAATAGAAGATTGAGGCTACACATGTATTACACATCAGTATGTGTCGAACTGTGTGAAGACGTGGTTTGGTGCGCCGTGTTACAATCAATATCACACAGGAGAGAACAACTGCATTCAAAGCGAAAAAGCCAGAAATCGAACAAACGATGTAATAGTTTTCAATGTAATTCGGCGTCGACGGTGTTGTATTCATTTGATTTGTGAGTCAGATATTCACTGAAGTATACTACGAGTAAAACAAACTTGATGAGCGAGGTTGTTAAACTCGAGTAAAATCACTCGTGAACTCTCTGAATGTAGGATTCTTGTATGAAGACAACGCTTCTTATAAACAGCGGAAATAAAAGGTTTGCTATATTGGTATCATCCGCAGACTCTATTCTTTTTACAATCTCTTTCGGAATCTCAATTAATAATTAGATGAATATGAAGATACAACCAGTCGAAAGAGAAATATTCACTGCAAAGATACCTCTAGATTGTTTAAACATTCTTCTTATAAAAGACGACTTCGAAGAGAAACAGAATGTCTGGCTAATCACAAAAGAAGTGCTCTGATTGTTTAAGAGACGTGACAAAAGATGTAATTAGGTATACGTGGCTATTATTCACGCTTTCTCATTTCTGAAAAACTTAAAATAGAAGGACCCACTTCATGTTAAACACAGTTGAATTCATTTCTATCTACATTTTACTTGTCCGGAAAGATTCTCATGCTTAGAGCAAATAATTTTAACATGAGAAAGAGACCGATGCAACGAATCTGATTATTGATGAGAGTAATTCTTTTATTTTCGAAAGAGATATTTTAATTTTTTGACAGATGATGAAAAACAATACATCAAAGGCCATAAAACAGTGAAAAAAAGTACCTAAACATTGCCCATTTTCATTCGTGTACACGTATTTTCGTACGGCATAATGCGATCTGTTTTGAATAGAAGACCTTTCACGACTGGTCGAAGATCTCGATCTAATAAAATTGTGCATATCTTTTCAATTGCAACTGTCAGTGTAAATGTGACAATACTAGCAAGATAAAAGAGTTCTATTTCCGTGATCATAAACAGTATTGTTGGAATTCCGCCAGCAATGTAAACACATAGAAGAATAACAATGTTTCGAAGAACTTCAAGATCACGTTTGTCATGTGTACCATTGAGTATCATTGTTGCAGCTTTCTTTGCTTTACGAATTCTCCGATATATTACAACATAAATAATGAAAATTGAAATGATGGGTGTAACATAACACGCAATGACTGTGTAAGCCATATGTAGTGTGTGTTTGAACGGCACCCAACACAACAGACCAGGACGAAAGTAAATATCAGTTGTGATCAATGCAGGTAAAGGTATGATGAAGATAATCAACCAATGAGCCAGTATAAGGAGATAATGTACATTGAATGTTGTTAACCATGGATATCTTCCGGAATAGACTGAGAAGAAAAGGCGTGAAACCGCTTGAACTAGATATGAGTAGGTTGCCGCGGTTACAGATGCATAAGCAAAATAGCCACGCCACCGACATGCCACATCACTTATTATCCATGGTAAAAATATTAAAAAGATATAATTAATAAATTGTACAATACAATAAATCGTTGATGAAATACATGTATTACACATAAGTAAATGTCGTATGGTGTGTAAACGAGGTTTAGTACGTTGGACAATAACTATAATCAGCGTAGATACGCTGATAGATATCAGACCAAAAGTAGCTGATAATGAACAAACGATATAGTAATCAAAATAGTTAGTAATTGCCGAAGTGTTTGTCGAGGAATTCATGTTTTCTGCAAAAGTACAAAATATGTTTCAATCTATTTTCTATTTTTTTTGTCTGCTTATATACATGAAGGAGAAAGATGATGGAAGAAAGAGATACCTTTCGCTACAAAAATCCCATCGCCCACAGATGTAAATTGATTTGACAGGTTTTATGCATTGTAAACACCCACGAAAGAATTTCTCTGTAAACTTGAAAAATAATGACAACAATAATAGACAAACACATTTGTTCATTGTTGAGATCTGATTGAAACAGTTCAGTTGGATACAAACATGTACTTTGTCTTTTCTCATGATTAGCCTAAGACGGCGGACTTTTTAGATTACGAATCCTGTTATACATAGATAGATCTGGAAAAAATGGTAGGAATAATTTATAGTTTCTTATCGCTATTTTTAATCTCAATTCAAGCTGCAGTATGCAGTTTCGAATTGAATACTGACTAAATCGAACAGATACAATGACAGACTTCCATTTTAGAACTTTACCGCATTTTTAATCATGAGAAATGATATGTAAGAGTAGAAACACTTTCAATTCAAATCAGATTTGATGAGTCGGATGGTTTTCTATTGAATGAACTTAACATCTTGAAAATAAGATATTTTTTCCGGAGATGCACACTGCATTCATGCAGATAACACAATATTCACTTTCGTATAGCTCATTAAGACTCTTTCCTTAATTTACCTACAATCTGATGTAGAATAGCAAGTCGGACTGGTCATCTCGCTCTGTCTGTCCAGCGCCTGGCTTTATTTCATTTTATATATATTTATTAACAAATAAACTGAAGAATATCTCTCAGTATAATTGTTACATCCTAGAAAGAGAAATACATATTTGTGTATATGTATCTAGATGCATAAGAACAAAGAAAGATAATAACATGAACAGGTCACACGATGGAAGAAGACGAAAAAGAAAAGAGAAAAAAGGAAAAAAAACAGACAGTTTTTATGTTGAGTGCTGCAGATGATTCGATCTTCGCTGATTTTGAGAGCGCACAAAAATTGTAACACGACGCGGGGAGAGTATCGAGAGACCAAGAGAGAGAGAGACAGAGGGAGATTTAGAAAAAGCTAATAAAAAAGAAAAAGAAAGTAGTGAATATGCTGCACCAAAACATTTTCACAATTGTTCTTCGAGAAGATTGCCTCGACTATTTCGTTTATATTCAATTGCTTCTTCGACTTTCTTATCTTTGAGTTCTTCAAGTCGTGTTCGAAATTCGTTGATGACTCGGAACTAAAAATAACAACAGCAAACGTTCGATTTTCAGCAGAACTTGTCTCCTTACCTCGGTGTTAAGTCGATCGACACTTTTACGAAGCATAAACTTAGCAAAAACAGGTGGTGGTTCAGTAACAACTGTTGCACTTGTCAGTTGACCAATGGTACTAAATTGAATATGGTCGCCATCACTCTTTCGTGATTGACGACGTATATTAGCTTCAGACTGACGACGTGCTTCTGCTTCTGCACGTTTTTTCTGTTGTCGTTTGTAGCAACATGGGCAACAAACGCGATACATTGCCGAAAAACAAAGACCGAATGGTTTAGTTGGAATGCACAAAATAATCTATATAAACAATATGTGTCAGTTGTCTCGTTGTAAGAGGTAAGAAGAAGCAAACCTGTTGCCAGAGAAGAGATCCAACGCCAAATAAGATACTCCATGCCCATTGTTGAATATTCAATCGTGCACAACTAAAAACACGACCACCGAATGTGACAATTAGAATCTAAATAAACAGTCAATTGTTATTTTAAGAGGGACTGTAAAACAAAAAGATAATTTACTTGTGCACCGAAACAAAATAGCCAAATACAGTAGAAGAATGGGTTACGAAAGATTCCTCGAAAGACATTTCTCTCTCCGTGTAGTTTTCTCGAATTGATTTCATTGAATAATGTCATCAAGACAAATGCATTGAATACCATAGTGAACTGTTCACTCAATTCTCGTCCGGCATGCGGATCGTGTTGTATTTTGTCAACCGTTGATTCGACGTCGAGGAAATATTGACCCGCATAGAGAATAACAAACATTACAACAAGTTGATACAATGCTTGTCCAATTATATTTCGCATCATCAATGGGGAGATAATCGACTTTGTTCGTCCATATGGTTTTCGATTTAACAATTCTTCCGTAGGAGGTTCAGTTGCCAATGCAAGTGAAGCCAAAGTGTCCATAACAAGATTGACCCAAAGCATTTGAACAGCTCGTAAAGGAACGCTCTAGAAAGAGAGAATTCGTCTATTGATTAACAAGATAAATTTCGAGTTCGTACACTGATAGCTGCAGCTGATACAACAGAAAGGATACCAGCAGATAAATTAGCTGTTAATTGAAATTGAAGAAATTTTGCAATGCAATCATAAACATTTCTGCCCCACATCATTGCTTTAACAATCGACGAAAAGTTGTCATCTGTTAATATAATATCAGATGCTTGTTTAGCCACATCTGTTCCTTGGATTCCCTGAAAAGATAACAGAAAAAGTTATGAAAACAAAAACGAATGATTTTACCATAGCGAAACCAACATCGGCACGTTTAAGGGCTGGTCCATCATTCGTACCATCACCGGTGACGGCAACAACTTCACGATGATGGGTGGCACGACTTTCGACAATACCATTGACTAGATTGTACTTATCCTGAGGTGATGAGCGTGCAAGTACACGCAATTTGGGCCAAACTTCATCGAGTTTCTTTTGTGAGATCTAGGCAAACATCGTTTCGACATGTTATCCGTATTCGTTCAAGTTCGACATACTCTTCCTGACGCATCACGAATACGTTGATTGAAATCTTTGCCTTCGAGTACAAGAAAATCATCATCCGGCTTTAAGATACCACATTTCGTTGCAATCGAACGCGCTGTCATGATATTGTCTCCAGTAACCATGCGAACAACCACACCGGCTTTTTGACATTTCTCAATAGCTTCTGGCACCTACAAAGAAATCATGATCGAAAACTATCTTCAACAGTTCGTCCGCTAATACTTCATCTCGGACGGGATCTTCAATGCCGACAATTGCAATACATTTTAAGTTGTTTATTATCTTTTCTTCATCATCCCAGTCCATTTTGTCTTTGCCAAGGTCTTTATAAGCGATACAAATGGTTCGTAGTGCATTGTGTGCCATTTTTTCGATCACCTCTTGTGTTATGTGTTTCTTTTGCTCATCTGTTAATTGTTTTTCTTGATTATTTTCGCCGAGGATAGATGTGCACCTATTCGAAACAGGCCGATGAATCGAAAAACGATTATTGATTTGTCTTACTTAGTTAAAACCATTTCGGATGCTCCTTTTGTGTAAACACGATATCCATCATCACGTTGGATAATCGTGCTCATCATTTTACGAGCAGAATTGAACGTGTAAACTTTAACTAGTCGTCCTTCTGGATACTCCTGACGAATTTTGTCATACGATCCACCCCAACGTTGAACTAAATCTAATAGAGCACATTCCGTTTTATTACCAACTTGTTTTGGTAAACCGCCAACGTCCGGTTTTGGGTCCTAGTTTATCAGGAATACGCGTATGTTTCTATTTTCCACAAGACTAACGCTCATCTTACTTCAATTTTGGATGTGTAATTCGAATTCACAGAAACAGCTTCGAACAGTAGCGACAATAGATCTTCATTGACTTCTTCTTTCTTTGGTAATGTTTCACAATGTTTGCCTAAATGAACACAACATTCAATTTCATATTTACAAGCTTCGATCAATGTCTAACCATTAACATAAGATTGAACAACAGTCATACGGTTGGTGGTTAATGTTCCTGTTTTGTCTGAACATATGGTCGAAGCATTGCCCATAGTTTCGCATGCATCTAAATGTCGGACCAAATTATTATCTGTCATCATTTTCTAAATAATCAAAATGAGATTTATCATCATTCAATTTGAGATTACTAACTCGAACGGCGTAAGCCAGTGCGAGTGTGACAGCCAATGGAAGACCTATCAATCAAGAAAAACATCATCTAATTCGTTTTGTCAAAACGTCGAAAGAAATGAAGAGAACCTTCTGGTACCGACACGACCACAACAGTAATTGCTTGGATGAGAAATGAAATGAAGTAACCAACATCGCTTCCGGATGCTTTTTCGCCTTTGACAACATAAGTCGTGATGCAGTAACGTACAATCAAACAGATTAATGTTAAGAATGCCGCAGACATGCCTTGAATACGAAAATCAATTTAATTTATTCGAAAAGATTACGAATACTCACCGATGTAACCAATATAGAGAGCAAGGGTTGTCAATTTACTCTGAAGAACAGCTAAAAACAAAACATTCGAATGATATTCGATCGAAACAGGATGGATGAGTAGATTATTTACATTTATGTTTGCCATCGTCTACACCGCCTTCATCATCTTCCTCTTCCCCCGCTTCAGCAGCTGTTTGTGCAGGTTTAGAATCTTGTACTGCAGTATCGTGACTATTATTTGTTGGTTTGGATTCATGCGATGATTTTCTTTCCGACACTTCTCGCCATTGTGTGCTTCCTTCGGCTGGTTTTGTTTCATCCTCAATACGTACGCTTTGTCGTTGTAGATCGGCCGAAACTTTCGGTGTTGATTGTGTTCTTGGTTTCGGTTTCGATTCGCTCTTTTTCGCCTTTGTTTTCTTGCCACCTTCTGTAGCGCCCAAGAGACTCATGATACTTCCGACTTGCGAATTCAGCCCAACGCCGAGAACAATCATTCGGCCGCTGCCTTCCATAACATGTGTGCCTGACAGCAAACCAATATCATCACCTTCACCTTTCTTTATCAAGTCTGTTTCTCCTAGAAATCAAAAAAGAAAAAGATTTATGTTGATTACTGAAGCGTAATTTTTAAAAAATGCTTGTTTAACCTGTTAACGATGACTCATCAATCTTCAAGTCACTCGATTGAACGAGGATGCCATCAGCTGGTAAAAGATCACCTGAAGAAAATTTTCGTAAAAGAAAAGCTAACAATCGTTGAAGAAATTTTACCATATTTAATGAAACAAAGATCACCAACAACGAGATCCGCCACAGGAATCTGTTGTATATGTCCATCTCGAACAACGGACGTCTGTTGATCTTTTTCAATTTTACTCTGCAAACCACGAAATTGTCGTTCTTTTCTCCAATCATTGAATGCTGTGACAAACACAACAACAAGAACTGCCACCAAGATTGCTACACCTTCAATCCATTCCAAATTAGCTAAATAATAACATGAAGATCATTTATATACATATCCAAATTAGAATTTATTTTTCTTTTGCTCCTTTGGGCGATTCTATTAATATTAATAAAAACGATCTAATATTGATAGAAATAGAATCCTTTCTTCTCATCATTAGCTATCACGTATTTTTTAGTACTTCATCTTTTCTCTTAAACTGCGAATATTTGTTTATGCAAGCACTATAAAATGACGTCTAAAGATGATTAATTCTTGTTAGTATTCTGGAAAAGTCTTCTTTTTTTTCTTTTTGATTAACAATGTTTTTAATTTTCTCTGCGTTAGTCTCTCGAGAAAGAGCATAAACGGAAATTAGGCATCTCATGCACAGACAGATATATCTTTCCATCTCTCTCTCGCTATATACATACATACTGACATAGCATTTTACATATGATAATGGCAGGAGGGGAAAGAAAACAAAAGCAAGGGTGAAAAGGGAGAGAGAATGACGATAACAAACAATCAATTGTCTGCAACATGAGTCGCAATCTATCAGCACATGTATTTATCTACTAGTCGGAGAAATCAATCAACATTCTATCTATCCATCCATCTAATTTCTAACAGATAGAATGATGTAATCCTAAGAAAAACAACATCAACTTACGTTCGTCTTCATGATCGTTTTCCTTGCGTGGTGGCTTATAAAATGAAAGACCAATTGAAACAACAGCGCAAACTAATAAAATAATTAATAACATATCATGCAGCGCATCCCAACACAATTTCAGAAATGATTTCATCGGTTTTGGTGGAATTTCATTTCTTCCATATGCTGTACGACGTTGTTCAAGATCTTCATTGTTGTTGGAATCGAGTCCGTGGCTATCATCGACTTTTAGTTTCTCTAATATGCCTTTCAGACCGTTGAATTCCGATGAGTTTAATTTCTCGATTAATTCTTTGCCATGTAATTCCATCAATGATTTCAGTTGATCTATTGTCACGCCGAACATTGAGGAATCTCCACCGCCCGCTGCGTTGTTCGATGATTTCTTACTTGCTGGCATCTTAATAAAAAAAAGTGAAATAAAAAGTGAATCGATGAGCATTCTCCTCGTAAATGTGTGGATGAGTAATCTTCAAAATGTTTTTCATACACACAGTCTATCTTTAGAATGAAAATGATCGCTGACAAGAATAAAAAACGAAGGAAATATGATCTACATCGAATACAAATCTTTTGTTTTACATACGTCTAGTTGATTATTCTACTAAGTACCGAATCCTTTAGTAATGTGTCGAGCAAGATTCGCTTTCTCGATCAATTTTTTTTACACACTAGCACCACTGGTTTTCTCCTCTTCGATACAAGTAGGAAATAGCTCGATAGGGAAACAAAAATATCTATATTCTCTTGTTTGTGGTAACCAGCTAACTATATACCAGAATAGTGTAAGATTGGCATAATTCTTTCTCTTGCTGTTCTCTCTTCTCGCTTCGATCGTTTCTTATCTTTGTGGCACATCGGTTGGTCGACAAACGCATCCTACTTTGCCAATGATGATATGCACACACACACGCGCGATAGGACTAAGATGGGATAGTAATAACGTTTTTTTTATGTTCGCTTTTGTTGTTTGTTGTTATACGCTTGCCGTTTCTCATCTAAATCTGTCAGCCATGGTCCTCTATTCCACGCTCAAAATCTTCGAACTCTATGGGTTGACATTTATGACATGGATAAAAGAAGACTACTGAGGAATATCATTAGATGGGAAAAGGGTTCTTTTCTTTGGCAAACCTGTTTGGACTTCTTTCGAGAAGGTGGCGAATCCAATAATTGCATCTCCATTTGTCGTTCGGTTTCGTCTACAAGTGAATGGCGTGATGCCGATGCTGAACGATTCTTCTTCACAGAATCACTTTCGATTCGAACACGTTTTGTATTTGAATCCGACCTGTAGAAAAAACGAAGAAAAGCATGATTACATAAATGATGAATATTACACATTCGGATAGGAAAATAAACTCGATCTACTCACGGATTTGAATAACTAGTTTAATGAGAAGCATTTGGATTCATACGTAATTTATTTAGAGCGCACTGGTAAACCTTTCCGTCATGGTATCACGCGTTTTGAAGTACACATATATATTACTCATAGAGAACTGCTTGAAAAACGAGTCCAATAGAGCATGACTAGTTTTTACTTCGAGCTTAGGAAGAGAAAATATCTATTTTTTGTTAACGTACTTCTTGATTCGTATGTTATATAAATAAATTATTCGAAAAACAACAGAAATACGACGAACGTAAGTAATTAATCATGATGAAAATTAACGCAAGACTTTTTAACGAAATTCAATGACGAATATTGTCTGAGCATGAAGTTAATTGCATCAAATAACAAAAGGATTGCATGTAGCTGAGAAAGTAAGTTGCTTGATATTATTGTGTTTTGTGTGCTTATTTTGATTGTAATTACCAAGGACAAGAGATTGACGGCATATGTTGTTTTCGACACCCTCAAACATTGTTGACGAGATCGTATTTTTCCTACGGGTGTATTAACCTGTTAACGTTACTACGCCGAGTAGGTGAGGATATCAACTAGGTACATTGTTGCTTATGATCGGCGATGAAGAAGTTTTCAACTATATTAATAAGATAATCGATGTGATTTATTAATAACATCTGGTTATGCTTTTGTTTATTTAATGGTAAATCAGAGCCTGCCGGTCTGTGTTTTGCGCCTGTGTCGAGATTTATCATTACCATTTAACGTGAAATGAAAAATGAAAATGAAACGACGCATATGAAGTCGAGGTAGAAATAAATTCTTCATTTGTTTATTCGGAGTTCTATCTGCCATGAAGAGCAAATTCCATACGAGATAAAAATAATTAATTGGAATTTATCCTGGATTCGATCGTTGTCTCAGCTCGAGACGTGCGCGAGCTGATCGAATAGTAAGAGAAATCGTATGCATTCAACACAAGTGCAGACGCCAGTCAAGCTAATCGGTCAAATATTCTCGTGGGAACGCTACTGTGATCGATTTGGGTTATTTTATTAATCCATACACCACCCTAATTAGTCTCTCGTCTATTTAAAAACCAATTTTCATATTTGCAGTCTTAGCGACATGAATGGCGGAGAGGCAGAGGGAGAAAAGGAGAAATCTCTCAGGCCTTGAAGTCGATCAATAGTGGGTAGTCATTTTCAAATTAATCTTTTTTCGCAATTGTGAATAAATTATTCATTCATTGACTGCGCATTTGGAGATTTAACTATTTTTTTTCTCTTTCTTCCTTACATCATCGCACAAAGAAAACGTGATGAGTAATAAAACTAGAAGTATCTGTGACTTCATACGAATGAGATATGGTTATAGATATCGTTTTGTAATATGATTGTAAAAACACATTAATTTGCTTTTTATGGTTGAATGACCTATTCGCGTTACAAAAGAGAACAAAACTTGTCTGGTAACTTTTCCTTGCTTTTGTAAGCAGCGAAGTGATTCTCATGATGACTTAATTCGATTATGAACGATGAATTTTGAATAAACGAAAAGAATGACTTACATTTTGGTGTTGCCTACACGTTGATTGCGAGTGGGCCAATAATACTAAACACCTGCACAGTTTTCAACGCAAAAGATCTATCTAGAAGAGAAAACACGTAGTTCAACAGATGTATATTAATGGTTGAGTAGAGCATGTGTATTGCCGAGACAAAATCGAAGATGAAAGTGTTTGTAAAGGATGAAAAATGAGAGAAGACAACTGTTAATATTAATTGATGTGCATTGAGATCAAATTTTGATAGAATGCAGGCGTGCATGTATTCTTGTTCGCGGCGTTTTTTCTCTTTGACTAGCCGTCGCGTTTTTTTTTTGCTCTATCTGTTTTACTATTAGTAACAGATTGCAACAGCCCTTGCGGTTACGATATTGCATGTGAAAGTATGTTTTTCTCTCGTTTTATCGTATTGACAATGATCGAGAGAAAGAAAAGAAGGGGAAAGAGAGACGAAAAAACCTTACGTTGAATTCGATTTTCGATTTCCGCCTGCAGTAATTCAATCTAGTATCGTGTTTAGATGCCCAGCCAACGAAGACGCGTGTATTTTTTTGTATTCAACTCATGAACAAAGAAACTTTGTTCAAGTCAATATTGTAACTAGAAATGAGTTTCTCTCGATATTGACAAGTAAATCTAATCTGTCGCTAAAAACCAAATATTTTTTTTAGAACCAAATGACAAAAAGATGTTAGTTACACGTTTGTTGCTGCATCGTCCAAGGAGAAAAAGGAAAGAAATGATGAGCAGCTGTTCTATGTGTTATTCTCGATGTCTTACCCGAAATGAATACAAACCCGTTTGATAAGAGAGAGAGAGAGAGAGAAGGAAGGGAGGAAATACATGATCATGTATGATTTATATCTATTATGTTTACTTTCTTTGGCTTCTTGTACACGGCGAAAACACGGTTCATTAATCAATACCAGCTTTCTTTTACCTTTAATTATTGTTCGTTTCATCCATTAACAGATTGATTAATGCGATAGGCCTTTTCGACATGTTTGCAAATGTCTCATGAGAATATAAGAGCTACATTTGAATAGAATCGGATTCTCTACCAGCGATCATGACAGGTAAATGTTTCGTTTCGAAAACATCATTTCTTCAGTATCACCCTTCCAACCACATCAAGATGAGTAATGGCGAAAGATGAAATATTGTCATATTGACCAGTTTTTTTATTGATCAATTTAACGAACCCACATACAAGTTGTAATGAGAATGTGACGAAATAAGAAAGTAAACGAAGGACAAGTAGAGAAAAAGAAAAGCGATGTGTACTTTTTTCAACGGTTATTGTTTCGCTTGTTTTTATCTTGTGACTAAAACGAAAAGAAAACAGTTTGATCGAACCGAAATTCCATTGACACCCTCAAGATTTTTAAGCAAAACAATCACAGTGCGAACAAATACGTCAACCAAATCAATAAACAGAAGAATCGCATGTCTAAATCGACACATGACATTGCAAATAATTGTGCATTTCATAAGCAATTCACCTACTTGACATAGTTTATATCATTATGAGTAGCGCGTTCCACAATCAACTGTGTATCATACAGAATATATCCATACACAATCAGCAAGCCAAGATATAAGTTTACATTGAAAATCAATTGCGAAAGTCCAAATAAATTCATTAGAGCCACAGCAAGCATGCCTCCCAAATAGAGATGTGTTCGTTTTTGTGTAAGTAATGCACTAAGTGTAAAACAAACAAAAATAATTGTGGTTAACAGAAATGCTGTCATAACAATTTGAGGATTAACATGAATAGCCAGATTAATCAATGGACTTAGATAAATACCAATGAAGAAAGCTGTAGCAGACATAAGACAAAAACATTGGACTTGCGTTCGAGCGTTGAAGTCAAGTGCAAAAAGGCAAATTGTTGTAATTATCGACGCAAAAACCGCCAAACGTGGATAATTTAACCACCCATTCACAGATAAATAGATACCCAATGTTGCACATAATGTGCTAATGAATAGACATATGTAAACATTTTTCAAATGCACTTGAACTTGCGGTTGACTAAAAATACATCAGGAAAATATATGATAAAAGAGAAAAAAAAACACATCCAGATGAGATTTACAAAGTGGAGAAGTCCAGAAGTGTATGTGTAGATTGAATTTATTTTTCAGATTCGATTTGTCACTATGTTCGAAGATCGAAAATGTATTTATCGCAGACATGACCGTTATTCTTCGATTGGAAAAAGTAACCGAGTCTACAATAAATTAATTAATTTTCTTCTGATGTTTTTAAATTACGATTTGTTTGATAAGTAATTTGTGAATAAATTAGCGTCAATACCGATGTGGAAAATAACACAGGAGAAAATTACACACAATTTTTCTGGATGTTTTCACGGATGAATGAATTATGCAAATAAACGAGGGGCAAAAACGACGTTTAGGTTTGCGAAAAAACGGGAGGGGAACATCAAATGTTTCGTTTTATTTGTAAACTAAAACAACGAATCTAATAAGAACACGGGCTATGGTGAACTTATTTGAAAGAAACAATAAATGGAAAAGCAAAGTTTGAGTAAAAGACGAGCTACTATAGAAAAATAGTAGATTAACACATGTACCGATCGAAAAGAAGACTACTGTTCTCCGGCGACATCTTAAAAAGATGAAAAGAAAAATAAATGTTCATATAATCGGAATAAAATCTTCTTAGTAAACCCAAGAAGAAGAAACATTTAACTACAGGTTGAACAGCAACAATTGAATCATTGGTTTTGTTGTATTATCATAAAAGCTGCGAATATGGATGCATTAGTAGCATCGACGCACTCGGCCTTAGAGAAGGAATTGCTCTGAGACATTGTTCCATGCAATCAAACAGAAGAGGATCGTGTATGGGAGGAAAAGGTATAGGCGTCATTGCCGATATCGCAGCAACTTTTTGATTTCGATCGAAAAGACCAAAGTAAGGAGGACGACCATAAGTCATTTCATATAGGATGATGCCTGCTGACCAAACATCAGATTTAAAGCCTGTTTGATGCGAGAAAACTTCCGGTGCCATATAATCTACGAAAAATAGATAGGTAAATTCACAAACAGTGCCATTTTAACATACCTATCGTTCCACGTACAACCGGTCGTCGAGTAGCTTGTCTCATCCATGGTAAACCAAAAGCCAGACCAAGATCAGTGATCTTCAGAATATTATTGACAATAATGATGTTATCTGGTTTGATATCAGCATGAACTTGATGTAGAGAACGAAAACAACATTCGCTACATGAAAACAGCTAATACTAATTCATTACCTATCTGTGCGTCTTCAAGTGCTCGTAAAATACCAACAATTTGTTTCCAATACATTTGCCGAGCTTGATCGTTCAATGGTAAACCTTGCATATGTTGTCTTAGACAACTGCTTCCTAATTCCATCACCATATAGCCTACGTTTTCACTAGGTTTATATTCATAATCACGTAGTTGAACGAAATGTGGAGATCGTCCACTGAGGTATCTCAGAATTCGTGCTTCTTTAAGAAAGCCATCAATTCGATAGCGTAACTGAGAGGGAGGAAAGCGTGAAAAGTAGAAGACTTTCGCTGCATGGAGATGTCCATCGGAATCTTCACATTTGTATACAGTCGCTTCTCCACCTTGACCGACCACACCCAATATATGATAAGTTTCGCCGTTAACGGTAAACTTCCCTTGAACGAAATGAGCATAGAAAAACTCGCTTTGTCTAATAAATGCGTATGAAATCAATTACCTTTTCTGGAGAAAAAAGAACCCATGTTCAAAATGTTTCTATGTTAACAACTTGTCTATATATTTAACTCAGACACGAGCAAATTCTCATGGCCTTTCGGATGATTTTCAATGACAAACAGTATCCAGAACAATGACAACAAAAGGCGGCTGGGTTTTGACGGCCATCAGCTTGTATCGGATATATTTTGTGAGTTGTTTCTCTCCGTCTTTCTCTTTACTTTTTTTCTTTCTGCTTGGTCACACTTTGATGCACATACGTAGGCCAAAGAGGGAATAGTCATGACTACTTTTTTTTTTCGTATCATATCTATGCAGCGGTCACGACCGTAGAACTAATTTCTTTCATCCTCAAGTTAACTCTGCATTGATAAGTATGAAAATAAAAGTTACGCTTCATGCGTCAAAAGACAGACAGAGAGAGAGAAAATGGTTGATTATATATATATATATGTATTTCATTTTATTTATCAGATATCTTTTTCAACAATTGGCAAACGGTGATACAAGGAGAGACGCTCGTTTTCCTTCAGGTGTAATTTTCTTTGATTATGTTTCATTAAAATCTTACAATCATTCAACGTGCGCTTGTTTTCATCGATATCGAGAACATCTAGTAATTGTTTTGTTATGGACGGAATGATCGGTTGCAAAAGTATTCCGCAAATACGTAAACATTCGAGTGTTAGATAAATCAGCACTTGTAAACGTTGTCGATCAATTTCTTTGGGAGATTTTGCTAGCACCCAAGGTTGTTCAGATTGTACATAGCCGTTGCATGTACGTAGAACGTCCATAATAGCGATGATCCCGTGATAGAACTCATATGAATCGTACGCGGTTGTCACGCGTCCTGCAAGTTGATTACATTGCTCGGCAAGATCATTGGTTGAAGGGGGAAAGAACGGTAAACAATACGACGGATACGTATGTGATGGATTGATTGTTGATGATGTGACGCGATTCAAGAGATTTCCAAGTGTATTCGCTAATTCAGCGTTTAAGTACTTTCTCATTTTATATTCATTAAAATTTGCATCTTGAGAGAGTATATCTTCACGCAATAGACAATATCGCACACCATCGCATTGCAATTTTGACAATAAATCGAATGTATCTATTACGTTACCTAATAAACATTAATATAAAACATGTGAAGTATCAAATTAAACGTTCAGAGATGTGTCGAGCTGTTTTCTTTTTCTTTCTCTTTCTCTCCCTCGCCTGCTCGTTTTTTTTCTTACCGACACTTTTGGACATTTTTCTATCATCTTTTAACCAATGTCCATGGACAACGATCTGATCTGGTAAGTCAAGATCAAGTCCCATGAGTAGTGCTGGCCAATAAATAGCATGAAATCGAAGGATTTCTTTGCCGATTATTTGACAGTTCGGAGGCCAATGTGTTTGATGAAGAGGATAACCGACCACCGTCAGATAATTTATCAACGCATCTATCCAAACATAGACGACTTGAGAAGGATCATTGGGTACCTAAGTACAAAAATGACTCGATTTCAATCAATTATCTCTGAGCACATCAAGGTAGCGATTTTTGTTTTATTCTAACTATATGCAATATCTCGATCGTGTCTTCTGCCTGGGTAATATTTCTAATTAAAACTTACTTGAATACCCCATGTTAATCGTTTCGCTTCTCGCGATATTGAAATATCACCTTGCTTTTTCAATTCATTCAATTGAATCAATGCTAATTTGTTATATTTCATAGGAAATAAGGGTTTGTGATCAACAATCCATTTTTCGATTCGTTCGTGGAATGAGCTCAACTTAAACATGTAATTTTTCTCTTCCGTCCATTCGACTGGCCGATCGGTTTCTTTCAGTTTGGCATGCCCTGCTTGATCTTTTATAATCTATTCGTTTGCAAAATTGTCATCGTTAACATCGAAACTAACCTGAGCCTTACTTCATCTTCACTAACAAAACATTCGTCTTGCACAGAGTACCATCCTTGATAGCTGCCTTTGTAAATGAGATTTCGCTTAGCTAGTTCTTGCCAAACATGTTTAACAGCTTGACGGTGGCTTTCATCTGTTGTTCGAATGTAATTTGTGTATTGAATGGAGAATAGATCAAACATTTTGCGAAATGTATCTAACCAGCAAACGAAGTTATCAAGTGAGGAAAGAGCATTTTGCGTTTACTTGAAACTTGACTACAAAATTCTGGAGGGGTTAGCTGCGCAGCAGTCGCCGCGCGTTCAATTTTCAAACCATGTTCATCAGTGCCTGTGGAGAAAATAATTCTCGGTGCTGGGGTATGTTTCACCACTTGCCAACGGGCAATCGTGTCAGCAAGTAAACTGGAATAGAGATGACCGATATGAGGTTTCGAATTAACATAATAAATCGGTGTAGAGATAAAATACGATGCACCACGACTGATAGTCATTTCAAATACAGTGTCTATTGCATAAATCTACAAGAATAGTACTCGTGTTCTGTTCAATGAGATTACGTATTCTCATATCTATCGAACAGGCTTTTATTACGCTATAAATTAATTAAAAACTCAGTATGTTCATGTCTGTAGGAAAGATAGCAGATGTACATTTGTAGTTTGTAGCTAGAGCAGCTGTAAATTGTTGGTATGTTTGGCGTTCGCTCTCATATTGGTAAACGAAGTTATCCAATGCACACTTTCTCATCGAATCGTTCTTCGTATAGATGGCATAGGGAATCAAGCAACTTGTGAGTGTTCCTATCCAATCGATAATCATATTTTTCTAACCTTTGTGTAACGAATTGATAGTCTGTGTTAGTCACTCATTGGTTTCTTTGCAGTAAGTATATGTTCCATTTGTACGCATTTTTATTGTTTAAACATCAGACAATTGATCTTTTAAGATGTATTCTTTGTTACTATTATCCGTCTTTGTTTGTTCAAAGTTCTTTTTTTTCTTTCTCTCTTTCTCCGATAGTATGGGTGTGAACAGATGCTATAATTGCCCCAGAGAGGAAAGATCTCGTCGTCTGTCTGTATATATATTATATCTCATACAAGAGCATAAAACGGCATTGTTGAATCGCCATTATCCGCAGAAAATCGTCTGGTTATATTCATCGTATAAAAAATGTTTTCATTCAGTAGTCGAACGTCTTCTATTCATTCATTCCGAGAGGTCAATTCATAGATTTCATAAGGTGGACATACACATCAACGACATATTATTATATCTTAGCTTTGGATACATTCGTACATGGAAGAAGATCGTCATATGTCTACTATCAATAACAAATATCTCTATACAGTACGTAAGAATATTGCATATGTAGATATACATGTAATAGAGAAAGATAATTGTGTTATTTAACATGTTGAATCTTCATTAAATAGAATTTTAATCGAGATTTTTCATTAGATGAATATATATATATATATGTGTGTGTGTGTGTATGTACGTGTTGCATTCGTAGGCAATGATTACAATAAGATAAGAAATAGATGTTTAATATGTGATCAATCAAAAAGACTTGATTTGATACTCATCGATCATTTGAATTCGAATGAAGGGAAAGGGAAGGTGAATAATGAGGAAGAAAACAGTCTGTCTCGAGTTAAGATTTGCCTTGTTGCTAGAACACTTGCGCTTGAGATACCGATACATTTACTGTAGATATTGAGATTTTATTTTTTAAAATTGACTAGAACAATCTATGTGTTGTTAATTGCTCGGAGCGTGCTCATACAGCGAGACAGTGGCGTAAAAAAAGATGACGCTTGGTGACAATGAACAGAAGAAGAAAAAGAAGAAGAGAGATGAGATGGTTAATTTCATGGGTTTAGAGAGGTGATAGAGAGAAGGAAAAAAGAAGAAGAGTAAAAAAAGCAGTTGTTGAACATCAATCGATAGTGATGACAACAACAAATGGAAAAAGAACGACCTATGAATTACTAATCAAGAAAAAAGCTGACAATGGGACAGAACATCAGTATTACTCATCAGACATCGAAGTAAGCACGATATGGATCAACGGATCAGCCGGCTGTTCCTGTCTGATGTTAACAAATCATTAATAGAGCCAATCTTGCAAATATTAATCATCGTTTATTCGTTCCGATTTTAGATTATGGAGCCTGAAACATACGGTGGTTTACTCAAATCCGGCCCTTCGCCAACTATTCTTCCATCAGATCCTATAGCTCCACCATCGTTATCATCATCAATAACAAATCATTATGAAATGCGTTCATCATCATCTCGCCGTCACTACCATAAAAAGCGTCATGAAAATGTTTCGTCCGCTGATGATCAAGACGAACGTATCGAAGTGAAAATTCTTCCACAAGACGATAATTGGGGAGAAACAACGACAATCACATGTAACGGTGGAAATGAAGATGTACTAAGCAATCATAATGATACAACTCTTCAAATCACCGATCCATTTCAATATCTAACGAACAGAATCAATCATCGTACACGTGCTGTATTAGTTTGCCATTTCATTATTTATTTTCTTTGTTTAATTGCTTTTATATCTCCAGTCTTATTTCTTTCCTTACCCTACACATTAAATAGATATGATATTATATCTATTTCGGATTATACCTTATTCTTAACCATATGTTTCAAATTTCTATTTTTGTTTCTTGGAACAACCTTTGTCTTTCATCGACGACGAAATACGATTTATCTGCCACGAATACACTTACAAAAACTACTTTTCATCATTCTTTTGACAATCATTCTTTTGACATATTGGCTATATTATCTCTTTAAATTATTACCATTTTATATCGATAAATATAATCAAATACTTACAATGACTTCGACTTACGAAGATTTACTTCTATTTTTATTATTATTAGTCATTATCATTCTCGAAATCAAATGGTTGTATCCAAAATGGATCGTCAAAGTCGTACGATCACCCGATGGACAAACCAAACAATACACGATTGGTATGAACGAATGAAATATGATCGTTGCATTCGAACTTCTCTTTTCCTTTAGGATCGATGTCAATTCAAGAAGCAAGTATCTATTTACTTGAACAATATTACAAAGATTTCCCAGTTTTTAATCCATGGCTGGAAAATGCCCAACAATCGCAAGTTAAACCTTATGGAGGATATTCGGTAAAATCAACAGGATCGCAGTCGAATGCATCGACATTGCTGGGTGGTACAAATGTTAATAAAGATAATGGACAATCCATGCGTGGATACAATGATCGGTGAGGAAATTTCACATTGTGTTCAAAAAGACATTCTGTAATTTTTATGTCTTAGATTCTATGCTGAACTTGAATATGAACGTCGAGTACGAAAACGTCGTTCGAAACTGATTAGTGCATGTGAAGATGCGTTTACAAATGTTCGCAAGTGCTTCAATGATAAATATAATTCGAATATACCAATGGACGCACGAGAAGCCGCACAAGTGAGGAATTTTACTCCGCCATTCGTAAATACCTTTGTTTTATCTAGGCTGTCTTCTCCTCGATGGCGCGATCCCTTCAAAAATATCTTCGAATCACTCGTCAACAGCCATATTTTACTCGAGAAAGTATCATTTCTCATTTATCAACATGTTTAACTCACGATCTCTCTCCTCGTGCATTTCTTCAACGTTACATTCAAACCGAATCTCAACCATTAGCAACCTTACTCTTTCCTACTTTATCGAATGATAACGCTGAACAATCATGGACAATTATTTGCGATCCACAATCCTATCTTCCCGACAATGAAGAGAAGAAAATGATTGCTATTAATCAATCGATTTATACGAATTTGACATGTGTACTTAAACAGCAAAATGCCGAGCATATTGCTTTGATCTGTACATTCCATCGGATTCCACGAGTGCATCTTATTGAGAAATTGTTCGATACGAAAAATAATAAATTTGTTCTCAAATTGAATTCGGAGACATCAGTTTGACATTTTCACGAATATTCAATTTTCTCCACGTGTTCTTGTTTGTGTCGTTTTCTTTTACTTCTTTTCTACCCAAAATTGTGAAATAAACTGACTCATCTTACACAACGATGATGCAATTAGAAATATATATTTAAAAAAAAAACAACAACTTCCAATCGTTATTTTTCTCGTTTCAGAAACCATGGCTTCATCGATGTCTCCAACCACTACGAAACGGAAGGGTCCGTTGGAGAATAACAATCAAAACAAATCGAAAAAGTCACATTGGTCGGCGGCTTTATCAGATGCATTGGATGATGAAAGTGTACGATTGTATCGAGATGATTTATGTACAGTAATTAGAGATAAATTTCCAAAAGTATGTCGAAAGAGTTTCTCTTATGAGAAGAATTTGTTTTCTTCTAGGCCAAAATACACTTACTTGTAATGCCCAATGAACATATTACGGATCTTAAGTGTGTCAATGATACTCATGTACCTTTACTTAAACATATGTTAAAAGTTGGCAAAGAAGTCGCTGAAAAGTAAGCTCATGGATTGAGAAGAGATTTTCTATGGAGTTGTTTTCATTGAAATTTAGAATTGCTGCGAAAGAGAATGCCACGGGTTCATTCGCTCAGTTCCGGTATGGCTATCATGCAATTCCATCCCTGGCGCTTCTTCATATGCATGTCATTAGTCAAGATTTTATATCACCCAGTTTGAAAACCGTATGTTTATCTATCATTTTTCACTATACCATTGTCACACTTTGTTTTTACAGAAAAAGCATTGGAATTCCTTCACGACAAGCTATTTTCTTGATGCAAGTGATGTCATTGATGATTTGCAAGCCAATCATGCAATCCGTGTTGATGTAGCGCGAATGAGAAAGTTACTTGATAATGAGCTACAATGTCATGAATGTCCACATACGTTTCCAACTATTCCTAAGCTCAAACAACACCTAATGACACATATCTATTAATTGAATTCTTTTTCTTTTCTTGTACAAATAATTCTGAAAACTAATTCGAGAAAATTAGGTTTTATTATGTGTTTGTCCAGAAGGTATGCGACGGAGTTTATGCTTAGGATGATCTTGCGGCCATAGGGAACGATTGCTAGCTGTTCGGACAAGATTGTCTAGATAAACGATATCAGCATTTGTGAAATGTGAAGAAGTCATCGATCGAGATTTTATTGGAAGATTAGGTTTGACTGGTGACGATAAATGTTCAGGTTTTGGAAGTGATGCTGACGAAATCAGTCCTTTTCTTTTTCGATTGGGTGGATTCTGTTGTCGACGGTGAGAATACCAACAGAATAAACCAACAATGATAAGTACGGGAATGATAACAAGGAAGAACCATTTAGAACGGTTGTATTGCTCGAATTCTACCATATCATGTCAGCATATTTATTGCTTGATCAATAGAAAAAATATAGGTGGAAAGAATCATTTCAATTATTTCCCGCTTGAAGAAGACATTCTTTCAAACTATTTCGTCTGATATTATGGTTTGGATTCAGTATAAATACGATGAAACACGTGTATAAACACCTACATGATTTTCAAGACCACAATCTGTACCAAAACTAATAATTCCGACGAGTTAAAATTGATGTCTCGTCGGTGAAAAGTACATCAATGGTCCACCGCTATCACCTCGACATGTATCTGTTTACTGTACAATAATAAAAGCGGTATTAGTATCGAAATAGATCGCTCACTGAACTCTACCAGACATTTCTAGTCCAGCACATAATTGCGTTTCGGGATCGGCCATTTCATTTCGACAAGTTGGTGATGTTGGTGGAAGCAGTCGAAGTTTGATTTAACGTAACACATCCGATGTTCTTGTACTTGATTCTTTCTCTCGACTAAATCCAATGGCGATAACTTCACTATCGACAGGCACAACATCAGATTTCTCCGGTAAACGTATTTTATTTGAAAAACGTTTATCCAATGGACGTTCGAGCTGAGGAATGGCAAGATCGTTATGCCTTCGCTCAGCATTCCAATCCGAATGTAGATATACTTTGATGACAGTTCGAATGCGATTGTATTGACGAGTTAAATTCGATTGTTGTATAATACCGACAGCGATGAGAATGAATGGCGAGGAGATAAGTACACCACCACAGATACGATGACCCCATTTGCGAATGGAGACCATCCATGGCCAACTCTGACGAATGATAACTTGTTCACCACCAACAATTCGTTTTATTCGAGCGAAAATAGGTGGATTCAATGAACAGCCACATTTTTCGGTAGCATGATCGCATTCATACGGATTTTCGAACAGATGTAATGAATGATGAGATGAAACTCGATACGAATCAAAATAATCAGAAACCTACAGTGACTGACAAGAAAAATTTACGGTTCGGGAAGGAACGAAGCGAATGGTACAATCATGCTTAACTTGTGAACGACAGATGTTTACAATAAACAAGAAAAAGCACAATCTTGTTTGATTTGATTCTTAGTCATTTTCATGAAAACTTAATCTCGCATGACATTTTCCTTTGTCATCGACCTGTCCGGAGATAAGTAAAGATATTTGAGAATGTCATATTCTATGAATCACAAAATACTACATAATGATGAAAATTCCTAGTTTCACTAAGAGATAAAATTCGCACATCGTAGCTTCAATTGTCAATAAATTATCCTAAACAAATTACGCTCAATCCACAGATGGTATGTATAATTAATTCCATGACAATGCAATCTCATATAAGACTTTCATTTTCTCAGTTGTATCGATTACAATGACTCACTGGGTTTCGAAATGAAGTTGTTAAACGACGAAACTTTGTTTGCAGGTAGCACCACTTGTATGAATATTGATGAATAATAATTAGCACACGTAAATACAACATTTTATGCATGTATCAATATTCAATCATTTATTTTTCGTCTAATATGCTGGAAAGAAAAACAAATTGTCTGACTCACATGCTGTCATTTTTTTGTTTTCTCTCCTTTCCTTCGAAAACATACATCGTGGTAGACAGAATGTCAGCGTCAGTTTTCTTTCTCCTTCTTCCTAAAATATCGACTTTTACATTGGGACGAAATGAGAATCATGGCCAATAACTCCATCTATTCATGATAGTTTCATATTTATCGTTTCAAAAATGAACGTTTTTCCAAATAAACCTTTAAGATTACTCAAGCGACGTAGCCAATCAGTATACACTACCAGTAATCCGCAACAACGCTTACTGACGTCTTATGAAGTTGTTTCGAGCAGAACATTTTTGTCAAAACAAAACATTGTCGTGCGCCCCACGTTTACTACAAATGGATCAAATTCGATTATGCAGTCACAGAATGCTATACCGACAGCGATAGGTATGTATATACTATTTATGCTTTACATGGCAATAAAACGTAGTTATTCTTAGCGCTTTCAAAAGTGACTCGACCCCCGTTGGTCCTCGAACTACTTTCAAATCAGCAACTAAACCAGTTGAGTCACCTGTACCAGTTCCTAGAACGAAATCAACTGCGAATGAAGACGAACCGACACAATATACGCCTGGCATATGTGGTTTAATTAATATCGGTAACACATTTTATATAATCAGCGCTCTTTAATGTTTAAGTAATATACCTGAACTAACGCATTGCTCTCAAAACTATCAACAACAGTCATTAACACAAGACAGAGATATTGGTTCCGCCTATACAAAATTGATTCGATTCGTGTGGTCAGGGAAACACAGAACAATCAATCCCGGGGATATCAAATCTTTTGTTAGTCAATCTGCTCCAATATTTACTAGCTTCAACCAAAGAGATTCACACTAATTTATGAATTTGCTTATAAGTGCACTGGAGAAAACGAATTTTGCATCGGCTATTTCGAAATTATTACATCTTCACACACGATCTCAAATAACTTGTCTGGGATGTAATTCGATCGTTGTAACTGATGAAACATCAACATTTCTTCCATTACCTTTACCTAAGAAAAGTCAAACAATTAAAGAAATTCTTCTCGAAGATTTTATCAACGATTACTGTTTAGAACAACCTTTCGATAGATTGTATCATTGTCATTCATGTACAAATTATACACAAGCAAAACAGAAGTCAATGATTTCCTCACCGTTACTCTCAGTTTTGATTATCCAATTGAAACGTTTTCCCTTTGACGACACAAGTCAGAAGATCAATACATTTGTTCGTTATAAACTTCAGTACAAGAATTTAATATCGACAAATGATGTTTATCAGCTATGCGCTGTTTCATCTCATCGAAGAAGTTTAGCTGGTGGACATTATATAGCCTTTGCAAAGAATTATCAGACGAAACAATAGTACTATTTCAATGACGAACAAGTGCACGATATTCATATGAATGAAGTCATTACAAGTCATGCCTATGTACTTCTATACCTGAAGGAAGAACACTTGAATAATACTTTAGATGACGAATAATGCTTTTATCAGATAAAAATTTCATGTGAATTGTTGTTTTCTTTTACAGATGAACTACATAGTTTATTACATTAAATCAGTTTGGTCTACTTTAAATTTTTTAAATGTTTTAGATATACTTATTAAACCCGTTAGCCAACGGATCCACATGAATCATCGTTATTATTCTTATAATAACTCAATGCCGTACAACAATTACGGGCCTCTATCTACAACCCAATATAGTCTATCTATGAGTCCATACATAGAATTTCGTTTGTGCACAGTGCAGCACGATCGAAATCAGACTATATCCATTACTATGCGGTCAACAGATACTATAGCAGATTTGAAAGAAAAAATTACGAACCGTTTAAGCATTCCTACGTCGCAGCATTTTTCTTTGGAAGTATTCGATACAAACACTTTTAGATGGATCCCAATCAATGATACAGTTTCTTTCTATACTCTCAATGGTTTGCACCTCTATCATGGTGATATATTAAACATAAAATGGGCGAGACAACCGACAACAACGACTCTACGTTCCTTGTATCCATCATCGTACACTGAAACCGATTATCTGACATTTTATCTGTGTAGAAAGCCTTTCGATCAGTACGACTATACAATATTGACTATTTCTTCTGCATCTACAATTGGTAAACTTCGACGAAAAGCATACGAAAAGTTGAATCGACCACATGAATCTCAATCTCTCTTTCTATATTATCATGATACATGGATGAAATTCGAAAGTGATATGGATGACGGTGTATTAGAAGATTCTCCATTCAGATCACGCATGTACATAAGCGTTGATCATGACGATGGTGGAAGTTATCGGCGTATATTGACAAAGGGTTTGTGTGGCCTTGTCAATCTAGCAAATACATGTTACATGAACTCAGTATTTCAATGTTTAAGTAACATACCTGAATTTACAAAAAAAATGCTTGAACTAACAGATGAAAGCAATGCCCCGATTACTAATTACTATAAAAAATTATTAGAAAAGCTCTGGTCGGGACAATATCGATCATTTGATCCGTCGTCGCTGGTCACAAATCTCAAAGTAAAATTGCCGCGTTATGATAACTATCGTCAACAAGATGCCCAAGAATTCATGAATTATTTTCTCAATCTGATGCAAGCTGAATTATCACCAAACAACACATTGATCACAGATTATTTCTATGGCAAAATACAATCGAAAGTGACATGCTTAGAATGTAAAAATGTCGAAAGCACAAATGAACCCATTAGTTTTTTGCCAATAGCAGTGAGCAACTGTAATCAAAAGAGCATACTTTATGTGAAAACGAATGGTGAATATCATACGGTTTCAGTGAAAATCGATGCGTCCATTCGTACTATTGCTGATTTAATTACTTGTTTTCTTCAGCAATACGAACCATCGTTGACACCAAATCATATTCTAGCGGCTAAACTAGTCGATAATCGATTCATAACGCGGTATAACGATATGAAATACTTAAGTGACGTACAAGAAGAAGAAATAGCCCTTTTACAATGTCCAGGCAAGACAAAGGACCAAAAACTAATTCTCTGTGAATTTGTCGAAAGATCTAGTGAAAAACAATTCCGTCCACCTACTGTCTTGGTTGTTCCTACGTTAAATTGTAATTATCACGATATATCCGATCAATTGGATGATCTCCTTGGCCATCTTTGTTCAATAACTGATGCATTACCTTCTACTTGTCAGCTATCTTGGCTTGATTGGAACGAACAGTATTATATATTGGACGATAGAAGTCGTCGGTTGGACTTAAAATCAGTTCGCATAGGAATGCCTGTTGGTGATGTTGAACTTTACAGAGTGCACAACCATATCCATAATTCAGCGGATCAATCGGCATTAAAAAGTCTAATTGCTGATTTTTTCCGTGAAGAACCTCTCGATAGTGCTTATCATTGTCATAAATGTTCCCAGTCAACCAAAGCTAGACAAAAATCCAGTTTATATCTGCCATTACCCCAAGTATTAATTATCCAATTAAAACGATTTACCTTCGATGCGAATTCCAGTGAGAAAATCGATACGTTCATTTCTTTTCCTCTGAATGAACTGGATCTTAGTGAATATACGGTAGAAGATAATAATAGTAAAGAAAAAACGAATTCAACAGCAAAATATAATCTTGTTGCTGTTTGTAATCATATTGGCAGTCTCATGGCAGGACATTACACAACATATGCTAAAAACCAAGGTGATAATCAATGGTATTTGTTCAATGATACCAATGTTACAAAAGTGAATAATGAAAAAGAGATTGTTACCAAAAATGCTTATATATTGGTATATGTGCGTGCGAATTAGCGCTGACGTTAATGTGTTGTTGGAGCAATTGGTTTTAGTTCTATTTGACTCATTTTTATTCTTGACAAAGTAGATAGGGAAGAATTTTCTTACGAAGTGTGTCGATATTGGTTTGTTTCAGAAAAAGAGATTGTATTTTATTTTCTGTATATAAAATAAAACAAAAACTGTACTGATTAAACGCTTCCATATAGACATTCGGTAGCCTGTCAAGCGATTTCTAAGTTATTCGTACCAACACACATGAAATGTTCAATGCATATGAATATGACTCGAACTTAAGAAGCAAGAAATATTTATTCAAACAATATTATGAAATCGGTAAATTTGCTTTCGTCCTAAAGCTACGGCTTCTTGCTCAAAAGAGCGAATAACATCTCGAACATACGTATTCGCTGCATAGAGTCCACACGATCTTATTGACTTTAGATAAATAGTATTGCCTATTATTTGTTCTCTCTTTTCTTGCACTCAATAGAATGAAACATCGTGTCTTGTATCCCACTCAATTATCATGGTCGATTTTTCGAATTACCCATTTCCAACTTACATACCAAATAGACTAATCGCTGGATTGTTTTCCTCATTTGTGTTCCTTTCATTCATCTTCTGGTGTATCCAATCCATTCAAACTCGTTGTCAACCAGTACGTTTAGTTATTCTATTATTCGTTTCACATGTCACGATTTTCACTGAACTGATGATTCGTGCTACAATAAATCGAACGGAAATCCAATCGAAATTAATCTACATCATTATGACTGCTCTGTACACGATCGGCCAACGTTCAATCATCGTGGCCAATTTTACGTGTGTTTTACAACATCCGATAGCAAAATTTCGTTGTTGCTTCCGCATTATTAGTGCGTGTATTTTCTTTTCTGATATTTTCATGATACCTGCTGGATTACTGGCAGTTCAATCGAATAAAATTCATCTAAGTTTTATCTTCCGACAACTTTCTACATCGATGATCTGTTTAATCCTGCTTGTTTTCTACGTTGTCTGGCTTTGGACGAAAACTATCTACAACATGTCTTTCGAACTGATTGTTTTATTAATTATTTCGAGTTTGAACTGTCTTATCATAGCGCTTTTCTTATTAATCATGTCAATACCGAAATATTATATTGTGATCAATGATGATGAAGAATGGTTTTATTTCTTTCAACTCTTGCCGATTGTCTTATCATTAATCGCCTGGTCAATGCTACATCCGAAACGAAGTCTGTTCGACACTGCTAACCAATCGGATGAAATAACAGTTTCATATTCATTTTAGTACTCAATTCTCATTTTTCTAACTGATAAATTTCATATTCATATATTAAATTGCAAAGCTAAACAGTGAGTTATAAAATCGATCACAAAAAAGTTGAAATGAAAACAGATCTGGAACTAAAAAAGAAGAAAACAGCACGATTCACCATCAAATATTTATCTGATTTGATGAACAATTAATAAAACCTACAACATCGGAGTATAATTCACTGATACATATATACATATATATACTGAGTTTATTTCTTATTTTTATTGGCAGTCGAGAGTTTTTTCTTTCGTTTTCGCGCAGATGAATAACGTTTCGCCAGGATCAATTTACCTTGAGTTGTTAACCACTTTTTCGCTTTGATCATTTCATTTGGTTTAAATAAGATTTGCCTACTGCCATCGGAATCGCCTGCCTGCATTGCGTTGCATAGTTTATTAGCCCATGGATATGAAAGACAATGGAAAACAACAAAATGATTCAATAAACCTGTGTTTTCGTGAGTTTGATGTTCTTGACATAATCGTATATCATGAAATTTTGTCAAACCAAACGCACCTAACTTCGTTAATGGACAACGCCCACGATAAGACTTGGGTAGAATATTTACAAGTGATTCAGTTGCTTCCGAAAACAGATCACAATCACGTGCACAACCATTGTACATTATATGCCGGACGAGACGCACTATGAAAATCGGACAAATGAGATGAAACGTTTGAACGTTTGGAAAAGTACGTACGTGAAGCTTTGGAACTAAGACAATGAAAAACGCGCAAGTGTGTGAACAAATAAATCGATGAGATGTTGCTACGTGTACATGGTACATGTCGTAGGGGATGTTTCATTAAATCGATACCGTATAATTTATCTGTTAATGGACACGTTCCAACTTGAAAATGATTCACAGCAGGCCTCTACCATTTAACATAAAAATTGAAAAGAATTTCGAAAGCGAACGTATCTTACCAACGCTGAGCTATCTTTTTTCTGTCGTACGTGTGAGCTAAAGAAGGCAATTTTCAAAAAATTACAATGGACCAATTTACTCTGACTAACTTTGAATTCAGTGTTCGACGATTGCCACTAAAATCGGGATCAGAACCAATGTGATCATCATCGGTTTCCTTTTCTTCTTCTTCATCTTCGTCGTCGTCTTCCAAATCTTCGTCTAAACCGAATCAAAGTGTACAAACATCACATTTGGATTTTGTTTAAGATCATCTATACCGGTTGGGTTTGGTCCGTTAGAATTGCTGTTTGCGTTCGTAGACATCGTTTCTTTTCGACTGATTGTCATGTTACTTGAATGTTTCCCATTTGCGATACTAAAGATATTATATGAAATTCAAATTTTGCTGTTCATACGCAATATTATTTCTCATCTTTGTCATTTGAATGCTTGTCAAAGAACTCGCCCTTATATAAAAGCTCCACATGGTTAGCATAGACATCGCAAAGGAACTCATGTAGTAGAAATAGAGCAGAGGACGATGACTTACGTCGGTGAGTAGAGTTATTCATGTGTTATCCTTTGAATCACAGACATGACGGTTAAAGATGGTTTTGCACTTTTTGAGATTCTTTAAATATCCGAACATTCTATTCTACTTTTAGTTTTTCAGAATCATGTTGAAGATTATGTACAACTGACTTACCTCGAATTCTCTGGTTGATTCGTTTTTGAATGATTGCTGATCGTGGTTTGTGGCTCTTCAATCCCTCCTTCATCGTCGTCGTCGTCGTCATCTATTTCTTCATAGTCGATCGAAAATTGCGCTAAAGGTGATGATTTATTAACTAAAATCACGACATATTTATGATGAATCTTTTGTGCCAGTTTGAAATGCATACTTCGCGATTTACTGAGTGGTCCTTCGCGCTTGACGGGCAATAACGAAGCCGAAGTGTCTATTAACAAACCTATGAGATATGAAATTAAAATTACTCTACTTGATTACCTTCGGTGATTCCATTAGGCTGATGATATTCGTAATCATTCATCAGTTGATGAATTTGATGAATGAATTTCTTGAATTTCAGTCTCTTTTGTGATGATTGCAAATTATGTAACCGTAAATCCGCACAATCTTGTGGTCGAATCGTTGATTGGATTGCTTTTTCATGAAAGTATTTATCACTAGCTTGATAATATTCGATTTCTTGATTGAAAAAGTTTGTCAACTGTTGTTTTTCTTTATCAATATCGTCAATAAATTGTTTATTTAAGATTTGTTGCTGCTTCCCATCATTTAGCAAAACTTGGTACTCTTGTTTATAATTCGCATAATGTTCATTAAGATGTTCTATACACACAAATAATTTGCAATGTGGACAATAAGTGAAATGTGTCTGACAACACATGGACACTTGACATTTGTCATCATCAGGTGGATCAGGAGTCATGTGACGAACAAAAATGGATAATTTTGATCTAAAACACCAGATAATTATTCGCTTTATTGAAGCCGAAGCATCGGATTGTCTTCTCTCAGTACGCGCTTTGGAAACGTGAAGGAACAGTTGTTTGATTACATATGTTGAGAAATCGAGACGTTATGCGTAAACATTGCAGGTGAAAATCTAAAAGTAGACTAAAGAGAACGATTGGTATAATTGTCTATTAAGAAATTTCAACAGAAAATTTATCGTATGTCCTTGATAGTCTATATTGAACAATGACAAATATAAACACACCCATGCAAGCAAAAAGGAACTTCAAGAAAAAAAAAAGAAATCGATTAGAAAGAGAGAAAGTTATGTACAACAAAAGGGAAGAAAAACAAAGAAGACAAGTTTACTTATATATCGAGCCATAAAATGAAAACGAAAAGACAAAGATATTCGTACAAAAAAAAAAAACAACTTCGTGTGTATTTTGCTACTCTAATCACCAAATCGATGGAGCAGGAGGTTGTTGAGGATGATTGTTGTTTGTTGGTTGAACTGAATCTGCTAACTGAGTTGGGGGTCGATAACGACTGGCGTTCTAGAAGATAAATGCGTATCAATTCGATAGTTCTCTTCGAACTTCTTGCTTTACTTTTTTCTTTTTTGCTTTCAAAATGTTTTCATCTCGTTCGAACAATCCACGTGATCTGCCATTAGCATTGGCTTGCTCGTGTCGTAATGCCGATGCAATACGTTTCGCAGCAATCTTATTCAAATGATGTACATCTCTTAAATGTCCAGTCAAGTAACGTAATTTCACTGTTGATTGACACGGTGTATGTGGAATACGTTCTTGGTGAGGCAGAATAGCATCGTAATTACTTAATGGACATACGACATAGGCCGTTTCGTTCAGAACTTGCTCATCCGGTCCAAACAATATCAATTGACTACTATTTTCGTTGTTCATCATCGCTTTGACTAACTTCATAGCACTAGCACGATTCAATTGATGAAATGCAAGAAAATGGTCGTACAAAGCGAAATCTTGTTGTTCACTGGACGATGAGCACAGACGAATGCCGTGCATGGGTCCCAGACCGAAGACATTGTGTTGTGTTAGTGGGCATGGAGCACGAAAGAAAGATGGAAGAATAGAGACGATAGATGATTGACTGGCTGATGAGAATAGATTTGGATGATCTTCAAGATCACCGGATGATACTAAGCGAACGATTTGCATGGAAGCGGCATAATTTAAATAATGATATTGTTTCAAATGTTCGAAGAGGGATATTTGAGATGTTGAACGACGAATGCATGGAATATGACGAACTTGATGGTGAGACTCAATGCCATACGTATTCGTCGATAGCGGACAGTAATCACATTTGTATGTTTTCAATTCTCGAACCTTCAAAAGAACGGGAAAACTGTTTTTTGTTCAAAAAGAAATCTCGAATCGTTACGGTTAGAGAATTATGGACTTGATTGACATCAGTTTCGGGTATTTCATCACCATCATCAGCGACTTTCGAAACTAAAACTAGAATCAAATAAAATAAACTAGAAATCCTTTTTGCTGAAATTACCTGTCGAGGAAGCGGTGAATTGATTTGAATAGGAAGAAGAATCTATGTACAAAGAACAGTTAAGTTGATAATCCTTCTCGTAATATTTAACAAAGATGAATAAAATTATAATTGATGCAGAACACATATTTACTTTGTTCTTGTTTGGTATTCGATACTGTGAATCGAGGTACTCGAGTATTCATATCGGAGGCGTCTAAATGGAAGAAATGAGAATATTTCTTGACAAAACATTTCTCCTTTATTTACTATAATCAGATGATGATAACAGTAGCGATGATTGGTCTACGTATACAGAAAAAAATTAAGATATTTCTCAGTCTAGCAAAGACTCACCTCCAAATGCAGCGAAGAGACTCTCTTCGTCGAATGGTGAATTATTCATATCAGCTGTTGTATCTGGTTCGTTATTAAACTGGCCAAATCTATCCGTTATAGGTATAAATGCATTAGATCGGTTGGCGCACGAACGTGTATCGTCGTGCGATATTTTTGTTTGGACATACAAATTCGACTGTCTGTATTGTGTTAGGTCAGTATCATATGTTTGAGTTAGTTTCGCACGTTGTTGGTCAGCTGTTCGCGTTTCATATGCTGATAATTGTGCTTGTTGTCGCCTGGCATCATCTAATAATCGTTGAAAATCACTTGGAAATTGTTGTTGGTGTTCAGCCAAATGCTTTATACAGAGAAACAATTGGCAATGTCGACAGATAGTGAATTGAAATGCATCACATTGAGGGTGTTGACATAAGGATGGACACGTTGAAGCCATGAAGTCTTATGTCTATTCATCAAATACAACAAAACTACGAATGAAATCAAATAAACAAACAAAATATGATAGGAGAAGAAAATGAATGAATCAAACAAACATATAAGCGACATCTACATAGCCTTAAGCGATCGGAATAATTGGTTCAGACTATCAACGAATAAACTAGTCTTATTATGTGCCCGTAAGTAAAGGTACACTAGCACCAAAAACCAGAGCGAGGCTTTTGAAAAGCGAATCTGATAGAAGGTGTATCCGCTTTCTCATTACCAGCATTCTGTGATTCTTTGATAGTTGGAATTGTACAACAGGTAAAGTTTAACTCATTAATACTGAATCGAGGTACTCGTTGTTTTGAAGGAATTTTCTACGAGAGATAATTTCTCAAAATGTAATCAAGCCAAATGATAAAGTTAAAATCACATTTCAGATCATCATTCAACAGCATATACTTGTACTATCAAAAAAGTACTCTTTTACCTTTACTCCTTGAGGTGGTGCGTTTATTTTTCAACTCAAATGTCAAACGCAATACAAACAACAACGAACGATCAATCAGATTGCTCTTAAAAACAAAACTTTACATTTTTTTTAAATCTGAAAACCATCACATTCTCCAAGAGCTGTCGACATTGAACAGATGTCACTAATACTCGATTCTGTTACACCATTGATCGCTTTATAAATCCAATGAGCTCTTTCTACATTCGTTCGTTCTTTCTTTATAATATGAGAAAACCGTTTTTCAATTAATCAGTGAAATGAGTGTATGAAAAAATCCAACATTACAAACGATGATCGATCGAACTTTGAAAATCAAAAACAATCTATCTGAACAATTGAAACTTTTCTACGACTATACCAAAGATGTTCAAACAAGAGTCATCAAACCCAATCCACTACCTTCGTAAGTATGAGTATTACGTAGAAAGGAGAGTGCTTGGAATCTTTTTCATTTAGACCGATCTTTCGTATTAATACGGATATAGCTCCTATTCGAAAACCTGTTCCAATCAAACTACCAGACATTCCACGATTGTCTTTGAATACAAATCCATCGACTTCAAAAAGTGTTAAACCATCCGAAGCAACAGCGATCACACCAATTCGAGATTTATCAAAGTTATCCTTGAGTCTCAACGTAAATAAGACAATTAGTATTCTCGATATGCAATGCGTTCTCTTATTTTCAGAATTCTACAAAAATAACACCGAAACCTGAATCATCTTCAGCAATCAAAAAGACTCAAGCATCCATTTCATCGTTTTCACCATAAAACCTGAACCTCTTACGGTCTCACCACCTACTAACAAAACCCGCTTGCCAACACCACCACCCACAGTTCCGAAGAAAGTCGAATCTTCTTCTCTCTGTCCACTATGTGCACAACCGTATGATCCAATTTCTCGCCGACCAATCAATGAAGAATCATGCGGTCATACAATGTGTTTACAATGTTTCATATTCAAAAACAACCAAAATCGTTGTATACAATGTGAAAAACTCCAGGAAGATTGTGCTAATTTATCCATACAAAAACCAATCGATGATGATTTCGATGATTTCGATCATAATCAACTATTCGACCAATGGAATGAACAAGAATCATATACTGAACAATCGAATATGGATACGATGAATTCAGTATACGATGAGGAGACTGACGAATGTGACGATAGTGATGATGACAATCTAATTGATACCACAAAACCGGCTTATAAAGTACAATGGTTGTCCAATATCAAAGATGATGCGGCGGAATTCTCAAGTGATCATACGTATCCGCATACAAAAGCCATGTTTGAAGTCTTCGATAATATATTCGGTTTAAGACAAGTAAAGAACTCTATTTGAAAGTTGAAATTGTATAGATATTCGTTTAGTTTCGTTCAAATCAACTGGAAGCTATCAACGCCGCCTTACTAAAGCATGATTGTTTTGTTCTTATGCCAACTGGTGCGTCACGTAGAAAGACTTTTCCTTGTGCTTATATATTCGCATTACAGGTGGAGGAAAATCGTTATGTTACCAATTACCAGCCGTCATGGATAAAGGTGTGACCTTTGTCATCTCACCATTACGTTCGCTGATCTTTGATCAGAAACAAAAGCTCATATCGTTAGGTATCGAATGTGGAGCGTTGACCAGTGATGTATCCCAGCGAGAATCCGATGAAGTCTACCGAGAATTGTATAAGCATACACCGGGATTGAAAATTGTGTATGTCACACCAGAAAAAATTGCTAAAAGTGTAAGAAATCTATGAATATCCTTCGAAATTAGGATAAAACGAATGTCTTCTTTGTTTAGGATCAATTGATTCAAATTTTAAACAATTTATACGAACGAAAATTGCTAGCAAGATTTGTCATTGATGAATGTCATTGTGTATCCGAATGGGGTTAGTAGAAAGTATCTTTCGATGAATTTTATCATAGATTATCTTGTTTAGGTCACGACTTTCGTCCCGACTATGCAAATCTTGGTGAATAGATTCTTGCGATTGGATTCGAAATCGATCCAATTCTTGATTTTTTAGGCCAATTAAGACTGAAGTATCCTGGTATTAATGTGATTCTATTAACAGCAACGGCTACACCACGTGTTCAAAAAGATATTTTACAACAAATGAAAATCGACATTAATCAATGTAAATTATTCATTCAATCATTTAACCGTTCGAATCTTATCTACGAGTGTGCATTGAAAGGCACAACAGACACAGCTCTAAAAAAGATTGCAAACTTAATAATTAGTCATTATTCAGATAAATGCGGAATCGTTTATTGTTTTTCACGTGCTGAATGTGATAAAACAGGTAGATTGCACTTTCTGAGCTCGATAGTCAATTAACTTTCGTTTTTACTGTAGCGAAATATTTGGCTGCGTACAAAATTAACGCGTTATCGTATCATGCTGGATTAACTGATGCAAAACGGCAGCTAGTTCAGAACCAATGGGCGAATGATGATTGTCAAGTAAAGAAAGCATAGGTTCATTTGTTCAAAAAGCATTGTTGTTGCTGCACGTTAGGTTATTTGTGCAACCATTGCCTTCGGTATGGGTATCGATAAACCAAATGTTCGTTTTGTGATTCATCTTTCCATGCCAAAATCAATCGAAGTAAGATTTACTTGTGATCGATCATTTAAAATGTGAGTTGTTCTTTTTTTGTTAGGGTTATTACCAAGAATCTGGTCGAGCTGGCCGTGACGGTGAAATTTCCTATTGTTATCTATTCTTTTGCTATCAAGATTTAGTAAAAATGAAACGATTGATCTTAAGTAGATGCGAATTGACCGATAAATGAAGTGTTACATTCTCCGTGCTTCTTCTTTAGACGACGACAGTCAAACATCAACGAAAGAAGCGAAAAAAGTTCGTGTTGACAATCTCAATCGTGTTTATGACTACTGTTTGAACAATGTTACCTGTCGACGGACACAGTACGAGAAAATTCATGCTCAAAATCGATGCGAAGAGTTTTGTCTGAACTTATGTTTAGATTACTCGAATATTTTGGCGAATTATTTCCATCGAGTGAATGCAAACGAATGAAACGGACTGTCTGTGACAACTGTCGACAAGTAATCAAAACCACTACAGTCAATTGTACACAAATGAGTGTGGATATCATCAAACTAGTTTCGGAGTTTTCTCATAAAAATATCACACTACCTTATGCTTTGGATATCCTTCGTGGTGCAAATACCAAAGGTATTCGAGATGCTGGACACAACAACCTAGCCGCTTATAACGCTTGCAATCAATTGAGTAAAGTTGGTAAGTGAATTGTACAGAAAATACTTCCATCGACAGAAATATTCAATACTTAGATCTCGAACGTCTCATTTGTCGATTAATTCTCGACGGTTATCTCCTACAAGAGATAGTGACACATCAGCAGCAATCATTTGAAAGTGCAGCGGCTTATTTACGTCTTGGTCCGAAAGCTCATCTTGCTTTATCAAATCAGTCAAATCGATTCATTAATCCCATTGAATTAACAATACGTACGGAACAATCGAACATAACCAATGACGAAAAACGTAAACAACAAACGCCGATTGAACAGTTGAATGAACAATGTTTGAATGAATTGAAGAAAGAATTGAAAGCAATTTTTGGACAAAGTTCACATGCAATGATCGTTCCGGAACGCGCCATCAAAGAAATGGTGAAATTGATGCCGTAAGATAACTTTCGAGATGAATTTATCTGATTTCTGATTTCTACAATTCGACTAGGCGAACGAAAGAAGCAATGATTAAAAATGTCAATGAAATTACCGAAGAACGTTACAAACGTTACGAACTTCATCGTTTATTAGCGATTACTCAACGTTTTGGTGTTGAACTCGATGAAATTCAACGAAAAGAAGAAATCGCTCGGCGAGCGTTATCGAACACAGGTACAAGTAAACGAAAACTACCTGCGAGCGATGAAGAAGACGAAGAAGAAGATCTTGATTTCTCGACCAATCCCGATGGTTTCATCAAAATTAATAAGCACGGCAAGAAAGGATATGGACACTTCAATCGATTTGTCAAGGGTAAAAAGCGATCAGCAGCGTTTTTTGCTCGACGAAATGCCATTGCAAAACGAAAACGTGGCGGGTTTTAAATATGATGTTCATACAAAGCAGATTGAATCCTTATGTGTTTACTAGATATTTATTTTCATAGGCATTGATTGAATCCTTTTTTTTTGTCTTTGTCAGATAGATGACTTGTAATGAAATTGACGATAATTATATGTCAGATAGAATATCCAACATGGAGAAATGTGAATTTCTTAGTTTTTTCTTCTGAAAATTATGACTTGTTATTACTAAAATAGTTTATTTTCTAGATATTTTTCTCAATTTCTTGGATTTCGTCAAAGTTACAGGTTATCCACTCGCTGTCAAATATTTACCTTGACGTCATACGGTACTTTTAATGAGTCATTCGGTAATGTATTGTGTGTTTCTTGCACGTTGTGTAAGAACGTCGAGCACCTTATTATGCCGTCAATCTTACGCACAACTTTCTTTTCTAAGGAATGGCAAGTCAGCCGTCCGTCTAGTAAGTATACTTCAGCGAAATAGATCAGGTTTTTTACTGTATCGGTTTGTTTTAGTCGTCGAGAACCAGGCGATTGGCCTTGTTCGCAATGTGGAGAATTTAATTTCAAGTCTCGCAACGCTTGTCGTCGTTGTTCGACTTCACGTGGTTCAACATCTACTCCCCGTCCTACACCTCAAATTCAACCGCGAGAAGGTGATTGGACATGTCGTTTTTGTCTCAATATAAATTTTGCTGCTCGTATTGCGTGCAATAAATGCGGTCGAACAAAACAAGATACAGCGAATTCAAATGCAGGAGGACAAGTAGCGATAGTACAGAAATCGGGTGATTGGACTTGTCAATTTTGTAAAGTGACGAACTTCTCCTCTCGTGCTGAGTGTTATCAATGTCGACGAGGAAAACCGGAACCAATGAATGTTGATTCTCCCCCACACCCACCACCAGCAGCTAAACCTGGCGACTGGAAATGTCCATCGTGTCCTGAAACGAATTTCGGCTCACGTACTGTATGTCGATCTTGTGGAGCTGCACGACCTTCATCTGAAGCTAAGGATAACGGGACCAGTGAATGCGTCATATGTATGGAAAAATCGATCGATTCGGTGATCACTACTTGTGGTCATTCTGCAGTTTGCCTTCAATGTGGTGCACAGGTTACACAGTGTCCTATCTGCCGTAATCCTTTCACTCAGCAACAACTTATAAAACTTTATAATGTTTACTAAAAAAATATTTTCTTTTCAATAAACTTCCGTGATCATTTCGTCTACTTTTCCTTATAGATTAAATGAAAATTACTGAGAAGAAAAAGAAAACGACTCCTGTGAGTCTACATGGTATTCCTAAATGGATAAAAGAATATCGCGATCGATTTTGCATGGATCTCGATCAGCTCGAGCAATCCTCTCGAAATTTCCTCGCTGTCAATAAAGTGAAGTCTTCTGAGCAATCTCAAGATAACAATCAATCAAACGAAGATGACGACGACGATGGCGGTTGGACTGTTGTGTCACATTCGTTGAAAAAAACGCGTCAAAGGATGGTTCCGTCAACCGATAAAACACTGAACCGCCTTCGGGCGAAGCACAAACGTTCCAGCGAGAAAAAAGAACTGGTCAACTTCTACAAATTTCAAATGACCGACAAGAAAGTCGATCAGCTGGAACAGTTGAAAATGAAATTCGAATTAGATAAACAACGCATCACACAAATGCGACAGCAACGTAAATTTAAACCATTTTGATTTGTCTGTTTTTTTTTTCGTTTTGTTTTGTTGAATAAATAAGATAGTTTGAAAGAACACTTTTCATTAGAAACAAGACAAATGGCGGCACGAATACGTCAATACCTTAGTCAGCTAACTTTGTTTAGTTGTACACTACTGGATGTGGTCGAATCCAAATATTTTACATTGTTTATGCTAGCAGTAGTTCTATGTAATACAATTGTGATGATATTTGAAACTTATGATTTTTATTATCACAAATATCATTCATTTTTCCTTCTCTCCGAGAAGATTTTTCTGTGTATCTATATGATCGAATTTTGCATGAAGATATGGGTAGGTGGTGTCGGAACAAAGAAGAAATAAACGTTTTCGGTGATTTCGTAGGTTTATTTATGGAGATATTTTAAAATGTTGTGGAATTGCTTTGATTTATTTATTATTATCGTCAGTATTGTTGATTTAATTACTCAACAAGTTACACACGATAACACACATTCATCGTTGCAAATCGATCATAATCAACAAATACAGTTTGTCGCACGTAAATTGTTCTCTCGATGAAAAGCATCGAGTTTGACGTTGTAGATCCCAATTCGAACGAATCAATCATTTTCTGAAAATTCTTCGTGTACTACGAGTTCTACGAAGCTTTCGAGCACTCCGTGTACTGCGTACAATTCGTTTTATCCAATCACTTCATACAATTGTCAAAACATGTTCGAAAGTACTGCTTCCAATGGCTAGTATCACGTTTATTATGGTCATTCTCACATGTATATCAGCAATACTAGCACGTAGTCTATTCAGTGAGATTTGTCCGCAAAAGTTCGATAATCTTGTGAAGACAATCTTTTCATTGTTTACACTATTAACACTCGATGATTGGTATTCGATCTATCAAGTCTGCGAACAACAGGAATATTCCAGTTTTCAATTAGGTTTCTGTCTGATTTATATCTTTATTATTAATTTCATTCTGCTCAATCTTCTGATGGCTGTACTCGGTAAGTGAGAATCTAATTTCTTTCGCGAATGATGTACATATGTCTAGTGGATAATTTCCAACATACACTTGACTATGACACCAGAAAAAATGAACAATTAGCGAAAGAACATGATGTGGAGGAACGAATTGTGAATAATTTGACCAGATTGAATTTAGAATATGGTGTTCGTAAAAATGATCTGATCTGGGAAGCAGAAATGAAAGAAATTCAAAAACTAATCAAAGAGTATTATATGCTTATGGAAAGCTTAGAAATTCATATGGAAAGACATGAACAATTGACCAAATTAGTTCAAAAGTCAATTCAATTGACATTGTTGGATCAGGATAATCGGAAGATGAATTTGAAAAAATAAGATATACGACATTTTCACATTCGTTAGAATAGATTCTCCCCGGATAGTAAAATATCGCTAGTCCGAACGCGCATTTTATTCGTATCACATTCAGTGAGACGTAGTTTTCATAATATAAGCTGTACTTCGATAAACTGCAGCACGAACTAAACTTGTGATAACAGACAAATGTACTTCATGCGCATTGAACGAGAACTTCGTTGATAACTGTCTCTAACAAAATATTGAGATATAGAGTAGCACGGATTTGTCACGATGATAGCTTATGACTGAAATACTATCTTGCTATTTGGTTATGACTGGAAATGAAAGTTAGTTTCGAAGATAGAATATCCCGAATGATATTAATTCTCACGATGAGTATTAGATTACGGACACTGCCGCCCTCTGTTGATTGAAGTCTGTATTGATTAAATATTACTGCGATGACTTCTCTCGCTCTCTTTCTATATTGGAATAGATCGCTTCTTTCTTTCTTTGATTACATCGACTAACAGTTGTGCGTGTTTGTTTATTGTATCATTATATATACGAAGACACAACGATCAAGTCTGGTCGTGTTGATATAAATCTCGAAGTTGTTTCTATTTATCTATTCCCTTCCAATTCTGGTCAAGAACAATGTTCATACGGGTCGCTGATGAATCCAAAGGCAACAATGATATTGTGGAAATTCCTGTTGATGGCGGTATTGACGGTTCAGTATCATTGAGTACACTCGCTGCTCAATTCCAAGGTGTGAGTGCATTGAAATATCGCAATTCTGAGACGAGTGTGTGGAGAGGGTGAGTGAACGTGTTTGTTTGTTTGTTTGCTTGTTCTCTGTCATATTTATACGATACATACGTGTGTTGAGTGAAATGTGCGGTGATTATTACCCTTTCCCATTCATCGTGTAGTTCATTGATTTGTGATAAACGAAAGTTATCTCTTCTTTTTTTTTGTGTCTCAGTGTTCGAGTAGCTGATGGTAAACTCTATCATCCTGATGGTGCATGGGATCCAGATACGATATATGTTACTGTTTATTCCAAACGTAAGTTGTGTGAAGGCTTTGACTGCTTGAAAAAGACATTGATGGATATTTCTAGCAATTTCATCAGATATCAAACGGAAAGGCGTTGGAGAACAACAGGAAGATATAAACATGCCAACAATTGGACAAAATAAAAATCAAAGAATGGATTATGGACAAGAAATGAATACAGATGGTGAAAACGAACCAGATCGTCGTTGTGTAGATTTAATCGTACTTGGTATAAGTTATCGAAGTATTGAAGCAGATGTCAAGAAGTGTTTTGAAGCATTTGGTGAACTCGTTTTCTGTGAAGTAAGCGAAAAATTCGTTTTCATATGTGAGACATAAATTCCATTCGTTTTGTCTTAGATCAAACGTGATGCAAATGGACAATCACGTGGATTTGGCTTCATTCGATTTAAAAACTACGAATCTCAATTAGCTGTCATCAACAAACGTCATTTCATTGACGGCAGACACGTTGATGTGAAAATTCCTGATTCGAAAGTAAAAGACATGATCTAAATAGGTGACTTCTCCTACCGATTCGCGTCATTTAGACAAGTGCACATGAACCTGAGTGTGCTCGAAAGATTTTTGTTGCTCGCTTACCTGATAATATCACGCCCGATGATCTACGACAATACTTTTCAAAATATGGTGCAATCAAAGATGTTTATATTCCAAAACCAGCACGTTCATTTGCTTTTGTTACATTTCATGATTCAAATGTAGTACGAACACTATTCGGCACACATATCATTCTCGGTAATTTCAACGATTTCCATGTGATTGTTTTCCATTTATGTATATTCTTTTTCGTTACGTAGGTTGTAGTGTAACAGTTGGACCAGCTGAACCAAAAAACAAACCATCGGCTATTGGTGATTATCCTTCTTCAACGTTCAAACGTGCAAAACCTGATCACAGTAGTCTACGTACACTGACAGCGTATGGTGCATCACCTGCTCACTCACATTATCATCAACAATATGGCCAAACACCGAATACAGATATGATGCATACTTTCTTTCAGCAGTATGGTGCAACAACAACCGGTTCACCCAAAGGACCTTTTTCCAATGCACAACAATCGTACTGGGGCGGGACACACGAAGAAGCAGCTGCTGTTTGGCAACAACAGCAGCAACATTATCGTTAGAAAACATATTCTGTTCTCTTCTTCTTTTCGACTTTCAAATGTTTTCTTTTTTCGTTCACTTCTGTTATTGTCGTGTTTTTAAATGTGTATGTGTCTGTACAGAGCGAAGACATTAACAACAAAACCAAAAGAGAAAGAGAGAGAGAGATATAGTATAAAAAAAACAAAACAACAGAAGTTCAAGACCATCCTATTGGTTTCACAGACCAGAATTTACTATCTTGTTGACGTTCAGTTAGCACCGTTTGTAAATATGCGATGTTCAATGAAAGTCTATAGAGATCACCAATATTTGGCTGTTTACCAATCAAATCCCATGTTAAAGTTTCAGGCGACGTCGCATGAGCAATAATAAGTATGTTTTGTGAATCAGTCGATAATTCATTATGTCGTTTCTCAATTTCACGTATGACATGTTTTGATCGAAGATAGTATCCATCTTCACGTTCGTACGGAGGAATATTTGTGAGAATTGGTTGATATGATAAATCTACGTTGATACCGTATTTATGCCAATCAGTTGGCTGAAAAAAGACATTCATGCCAAATCTGGCTGCACCTAATTCTAAAAGGCCGGGTTCAATGCGAATCGGTATCTTGTTTTCTAATCCAAGGCCTTTCAAGATTTGAATGGTTGTTAACACACAACGCATGGCTGGTGATGAATAGGCATAGGTCGGATGAAAGAATCTCGATTGAAACAATCGCCCAAGCTGTTCAGCAGCATGTAAACCTGTTGACGTTAAGGGTGTGTCTACAGCCCAGAAATACCGATTGGTACGTAAGGGTAAACTCGCCGGGAAATTTCGATGATAAGGACGATATTGTTCATTTTGATCAAACGCTGTCATATACCAGTTGGCACCGAAATACCGATCAACACGTTCGCCATGACGTATGATCAAGAAGCGCATGTCACATGGATCGATTGATTGGATCGGCCCTCGTGACTGTTGATAATACGCCGCTCCAAATCCATCAGATTTCGCAGGATCCACAGGTATCGATGACGAACGAGTTCGATTGATTGGTATAAAATAACGAATAAAACTTCGTCTTTTCGAAGACCGCTTTTGTGGAAGGAGTTCGTTATTATTATTATTATTATTACTACTGTCAGTCTGCACGACAACTCCGGAAGACGTTGTTATGTCAATAGGCACAGATGATGTTAAAAGGAGGTAAAGTTTATTTGGTGCATAATCTGATAGAGAATTCACGCCAACGGGTAAAACATCATCGTCACTTGTTGGTTCGGTCATTGCCGATTTACTATCATGATTATTCATCACTTTACTAAATAACTACGTACTATCTTTCAAATATATTCTTATTACGTCTCTCGCTCGTTCTCTCTCTTAACTAAACATGAAAAACACCTGTATATAGTCAGCAAATATCCACTTTTTCTTTTTCGGTTGATTTCACGAGTGTAAACAGATTTTGTACAGAATTGAAGGTTATTATTATTTTTTCTTTTCATAGATTCATATAATCGATATAAATTTTGTTATGGATGACATTTTATCATAGCATATCTCACATACTTTTTTCTTATATTTCTACAAACATTTATCGATGATTTTTCTCGTTATTTTCCTTTGCTGTACATCGAATAAAAAAAACTACTTCGACTTGTTTTGTTTATTCAACTTTTAAAGCAAAAAAGGCCGTACATACCATGTATGGCTATAGGCATCACGTTCAAGCACAACGGCGTGCAAGTAGGAAACTTTCGCCGACTGATCAACTAATTCCTTCGCATCGAACGGTTGCCGCAATGCAATCGTTGAAAACATTTCTGTTGATGAAGCATGACCAACAATTAATATAGTTGTACGTCGTCTGGGTGATTGACCATAGTGTACACGAGGGGAAGCATCGCCATGATGACGTTCAATGACATCGAATACATTTCGAGTTCGAACATAATAACCGACTTCATTTTCACCTGTGTTAATGTAATTATTCAATCGATGATATCGTTGATCTATATTATAACCTGACTTTCTCCAGTCACCCGATGACATAAATGGATTCAGTTGTTCAAGTAATAAAAGCGCCGAATTCCAATTCATTGGTTCGAATAGATATGGCTCGAGACGAATAGGTACATGACTGCGGTTCATCCCTTTCAATACAGCATTAGCTGTTATGATACTCCGTGCAGCTGGAGATGAATAACAATAATCAGCTAGAGCACCAACGCGACTTAATTGTTGTCCCTTATATGTAGCATGTTGTTCACCAGTACGAGTTATTGGTGGATCAAAGACGTAAAGTAACGTGTTAGAACGAGGCGGTAATCTTTGAGGTAATAGCGGATGTCGATAAGCTTGTGGAGGTGCCGATGGAACGCCACCAAACACTTGATCATACCAATCTTGGCCGAGCACATGATCAATACGTTCCGCATGTCGTAAGATAATCAGACGTAGATCATAATTATACTGCGATCTATATGCTGGATCTACTTGCGCTTTATGATTCGGATTCATTTTCTCATATTTCTTAAAAAATTTTCTTCTCGAGGAATAATTCCTCCTATCATTCGCATAAATCGAAGATTGATTAGTTAACATTTAAATTTGACTAAATAAAATGTTGTTTCGAATAAAAACGACAAAAAACACGAACGAAATATGTAAAACTATATATAAAGGTGATCAATCATGCGTGCTAAAACAACTAGTTTACCATTTGAATAGACACCAATCATGACAATGACTAATTATCAACGGAGAATGTGTACGTATACCATGCATATGAAATAGTCAACGAGAAGTTTCTTCTATTCATTCAATTTTTTTATCGATTCGGAAAAGTATGCATAAATGTGAACTGAGGAAGTGTTAGCAATGATGTCATTTGTTGTTTCGTCGCATTTCATATGACAGAAAAGTTAAACGGCAGTGATGCGTAGCCATAGATAACATGATTCGCTTATAGGTATCTGTAACGATATGAATGTTGTTGTTGTTGTCAACTTAATTACCTACATATTCGAAGAAGATTCTGTTGATAGCGAGAAAAACGAAAACATGTGAGAAAAAAAAACTGAAATGTCTAATTAATCATGTAGAGTTCAAATTGGGATACGAAACATTTTTTTCTATTAACAAATTGATATCATACGAATAGGATCTAGTGCTACAGTCTCTGTTCTTCTATTCGATCTATATATGTGAGAAATTTTTTTTTTTTGAAATCAAGCACAGTGATGAAATGTTTTTGTCAATGGTGTAAGGAGCGTGTCCTTGAATTAATTTATTGCCACATAAAAATAGACACAACATTGAATAAAATGTTTATGTAATTTCTATCTCAAAGATTCGTTTCGTGTTCATATACCGGCTGGCTGAACTTCGATTTTACGCCCGCTGAACGGACACTGGTCAATAATGCTAGATGTTCGTTTATTGATACCGTTGACAGTAGTTGATTTCCGAGGTGATGCTGGGGTTGAAAGATCAGCTACGGGATCATTGCAAGTTCGTGCGGTATTTCCTTCGAAGATATTCGATGAATTGAAAGTGGGTGCTTCGTGATCTTCATCATCCATGTCATAGCGATCTTGTTCGATGACACTTGTATACGCTGGTTTTGGTCCAATTAGCCAGTAAGTATCCACGGAACCTTTACCCTAATATGAGAAAATCCCTACAATGCTGAATTCAACGAATAATGATACTCATTTACTTTCAGCTCAGTTCTGCCTTTGTATTCAATATCGAAATACAGCGAGTCTTTCAATAATGCATAGGATGTGTCACTGAGATGAATTCGACCGGGCTACAATGATGTCAGGCAAGGATTAGACTTCAAATTCAAGAATAAAATCATACTTCTCCGGTTGTGGTTATCCGACTAGCCTGAAAAAGAAATCATTGGAGAAGTTTTCCCATTGAAGTTTATTTTTACCGTGTTTATTGTATCGCCGAATAGACAGTATTGAAAATTTTTCGCTCCAACAATTCCACCGACAGCTGGACCAGAATGAAAGCCTAATGAGATAAAATGTTTTGAGAAAAGCAAAACAGCAAACAGGAAGAAATAGTTCACCTACCGAATTTTACACGAAATGGTTGTTTTGTCACAGGATTAATCACTCGTTTCGAACTTTTCACTAATTCAAGGGCTAAACCGGCAACGAGTTCAGCATGATTAAGTCCTAATGGATTTTTCATATCAGTGGCTAACTCGTCCGTTAACGAAAAACTATATGTCGTTGATTGACTCTATTGACGGGGAAAAAATGCAACAGACGCAAATTTGTTAATTGATTTCTGATAAATGAACTTTACCGCTATCGATTCGCGTCGTTGTGATTGAACAGGCCGATCTTGTATTCCAGCGACGACCATATAGGATGAATCGGCCTTCGTTTCAACTTTGAATACATCGAAATGTTCAGCACATTGATCAAACGCATTCACTGTGGCATTGATCGACTCGACAATTTGTTGAGGATCTAATTTCTGTACAACATCTTTGAAATCAATCGAATATGCAAACAGAACTGTTAATAATTTATGCGACTAGAACAATCGAAATCGTACAGAAGATCAATCATCATTTAGACTTACTTCACAAATCGAATTCGCTAGGACACCTTCTTGTAGCATTTGTGCAATGTGCCGTGGCATCATTGAGTATAATAAACGTCGACCTTTGCGACGCCATTCTTGCAATTCTAATTTTGAACTCTGCAATTTAGTTATCCAAGCGTGTTGTTTATCAATAGCGGCTTGTAAGGATCGTGCATGCTGCATGCCGGCAATGAGAATTTCACTGCTTCCATCATAAAAATTTAAATCATGGAGAAACAAGCCGACCGAGAGCATTTCTTCGGTTGTCGTTAATCTACATTAATAAAAAATAAAATACTTTTTTCTTCTCCTAAACAAAGACATACACTGGATGACAGAGAAAAACAATCATATTCCAGGCAGCTATCAATTTCATTTGACCTTTCAAACGAATTTGAGAATTATTTGAACCGAACTTCTTGGTACTTGTGGAAGGACTTGGACGGAGTGGTGTTTTACTTTCAATGACAAAGACTATATGTCGTCCATAAGAGAGCACCTAAGAAGAACGAATAAACAATAGCTCGAATGAAACAAAACCTACTCGACTCCATTCAAGCAGTATATCCGGTCGAACAAGACGAAAAACATCTTCCAAATAGCGACCAATCAAAACTGTATCAGCTGGAAAGATGTTCTTTATCGAATGTCCCAGATGATAAATTCGCATTTGCGGATCGAGTAGAATAGCAAATGGAAATACCTAGGAAAAAAATATTAACATACATTCTCCTTAATAGGTCACGGTTGTCTTCATAACATGCACTGATAATATGTCTCCTGGAGATAGTTCAGTGCAAAAAGAAAACAGTTTTCCTTTTACCTTAAAAAACGTTGCACTTGTCACATCAGGCAATATAGGACCTTGCATAAGACGTCGTTCTATTGAACGTGCCATGAAGTTATTGAAGTCCACGCGGAAGATAATATGAGTGTCTAAAAAGCATTCTATGCATAAGGATTTGTTCGAAATTGGAGTTTTACATTCATTTGAGGAGATATCATCTTGAATCCGAACGAAGATATCTTCTTTAAAGAATCTTAATGCGCACTCTTTCAATTGACCAACAATGTATCGTTGAAAACCGCGTCGTTTCGACCTGAATATAGAAAAAAACACATAAGTTTTTACTAATCCGAAGATTACATTGACTCACTTATAATGTAAAATAGCACCGTTATCATCTTCTTCAGTGACATGAAATAATGGTGATTTCATTTTCGGAAAACTAAATCGTGTTGAATCGTGCAATTGATCGATCGAATGGAGAAAATCACGAAAATGCCGACCAGCCACACGAAGAATTTTATCATAACCGTAGTTTGTAAAAAACTTTACAAAACATTCACCAAAAAACTGCATATATAAATCAGGTCCACCCTCATGTAAAAGTTCCGATAAACCTAAACGAAACAATTCATTATCTATGGAAATCGTCCTACTCGCACTCGAAGACTTTACATTCGGCAACTTTTTCAATCAACGTTTCATCGTACCGGTCTAGTGTGGTAAACGATTCATGTTCAAAGTTTAACTCCTGTACGACACGTTTCCAGATTGTTTGTCCATACACTTCACAGACGCCATCTCGGCAACTCTCAAGTAACATACCGTATATCATCACAAACTTTTCTCACACTTCTGATTTATTTTTATTTTATTTTATTCGCATCTGTTTTCACCATTTATATAGTCGAATGATGATAGATGTATGCATGACTTCCCTAAATTTATTTCCCTTCCTATTAATACATATCTCGCTAAGCGATGATTTTCCATGTGAACTACTCGAAAACTCTTTTAGCATAAGTGAAAAGAAAGACAAGTGCATACCTTCTGCTATTCTGATCATTAGATCATCGTCATAGAGATCGAACAGATTTAAATGGGATAAGGAGAATTGAACGTATTCTTCGACTTGTTCCAGCAGGATCTTATCGTGTTTTTCCAAAATAAAACATTGAACAATACTTTCTAATAAAATGCCATAGACCATGATGTTCGGTTAATGTTGATACTGCTCTTCTGTCTTACACTCCCCGTTTTCTTTTTATAGGCACGGAACGGTGTGTGGAGAGAAAGCGGAAAACTTAATTAATTTTTCTTTCTGCCATAAAGCGGATTGATCCTTAGAGACAGCTACTCATCTTTCTTTAGCAGTGTCATATGGAGAAAGTCAGATGACATGACGTCGATGGTTTTTCGAAAAGAATCTTTTTATTTATATGATAGAGAGAATAGAATCTAAGGAATCTATCGATATAATCATATTAAAAGAACACAAGAAGATGAAGAAAAAGAGAAGATGTTTTACGAAGTTCTTTTAAATTAGTTGTTTATTCTCTCTAGTCTTGATGAATGTAGATCTTCAAATAAATTTCCATTCAATATTTGTTCGGCCAGTGCCGAGTTCACCATTCACAGCGAGAAAAGCTTCTTCCGTCAAAGCAATATCACCTGAAACGAAAGAAAGATTAGTCAACAGTTGTAATTGAAAGTGAAAAAATATTACCCTCAAGGCATTGAGGACATCGATCAACAAATCGAACAACGATTTCACCTTGTGGACCTTTGACTAAAGCTTTCTTTTCGCAAATTGGATTCTTGCTAGCAATACCATCGACAGTGTAAGGATCGAACTGAATTTGATTGAGAGCGGCTGTGTAGATCTTCTGATCTTCTTCATCCAACGAACGTGATCGTTCAGTACCACAAGAAGAATAGTCAGAGCCAACTTGAGTTTCGTTATAATAGGTAGCTTGTCCTTGAAATTCACCTTCGATCGATGCTGGTTCACTGACACTCGACGATTTTTGTACAGCACAATAAGTACCATAAGCACCACAACTATGTTTTAGGAAGAAAATGGTATTCTAATCAAAGAATCATATATATCTATATATTCATACTAGCCGTATCGTGTACAACAGAGGCCAGTACCACAGGCTGTATAACCACAGTTACCATAGGCGACAGCACCACAGTGAGCAGCTGTAGTTCCGCAACTGTAAAAATGAGGAAATTTCTTTTTTCTCTTTCATCATACGAAAAATTGTATCGTACTATCCATATTGCGAACAGCAAGTACCAGCTGGACACCCAGTTACTCGGCAGTTACCAGTAGCTGGAGCAGGTGCAACAGCACCACCGCAATAGGGAGCGGTTGTTCCACAACTAGTAGGCAAATGAAATAATGTTCATTAATTATACAGAGCACCGGTTTCACTTACTAGCCATAAGGTGAGCAACAATAGCCAGCAGCGCAGCCTACAACTCGGCAATCACGAGTGGGATAGACGGCAGCAACACCACCACCACAGTATCCAGCACCTGCGCCACAAAAACCAAACGCTGAACAGCACAGACCAGTGCCACATCGAGCACCAACCAAACAATTACCGGCTAGATTACAGTAGGATATTCTTCCAGTAAAAAATGCCTCGTTCTTTTACTTACCAACGCTGCTAACAAGTGAGATTAATAATAAACTAATAGCAATCATGATCTTGTTGCTGAAGAGGTATGTCTTGTCGTCAAATGTCAAATGTAAATGTAGTTTAATAATATGAAGATGCACGAGTTTTTAACCATGTTTTATGCTCGTATCGAAGGATGTAATCTGTAGACAAATATTCGTGCATTGACACGTCGAAAATGTGGGAAGAAATCAGTGTCCTTGACGTCTACTTAATGTCTAACATTTGTGATTTCGTTAGACAAGAATTCCGTGTAATCTTTGAGAAGGTTAACATGTACTGTATACAAGTTCGAACCTGACTTTTCAATATTTAAATCAGAAGCTAACTACTTAAAATAATAGACAGAAAAAACAACGAGACGTGAAGAGATTATTTCGGTCGATGTGTCTAAGCCAAATCATCGTAAAATTTTCAGTATTTTGTTGATGACATATATTACAATCATTGCATGGCTGTTTAATCAGAAATTCAACGAGTAAAAATATCACGTGTACCTCCTGCCGCATCCGAGAGATGCTGTTTTAGAGTAAAAATTCTCTTATTCAGTATCACATAAACAATCTTCAATGTCATCTAACGAAAACGAGGAATCTTTCATAGATGCATAAAGCGCCTGAAGTAATTGTTCACTTTTTGGACCAGCGAGGAAAACGCCGCGTCGGATACCGGCAGCATCATAGCATTTCAATGGTGCCCATTGGAGAAGACGACTATGAAGCAAAGAAGAGAAAGCATCATGTGGTTTGTTACATAGGTAAGAATGATCAGATCAATAACACTTACGTAATAGCACGACATTCCGGACAATTTTCTGATCGCGATGTTAGCAAACTGTCCGCAGTTGCTGACGGTTCAGCGATCTGCTGTTGTTGTTGCTGCTGCTGCGAGTTTATTGAATTATTGACAGGCACTTGTTGGTATTCTGGTAGCAATGGAGGATTATGACTGCCGTGCATCGGTATCTGTGGCGACATATGAGAATGATGAAGAGAAGATGTGATCGGCGGCGGTGGAAGAGGTATTGTTGGAGCAAAGGATGAATTTGGTTGAACAGAACTAGAGCTAGTCGTCGGATTCGGCGCAGATGATGGTACGGATCGCATGTAAGGTTGTGGTTGTAACGAGGATGGTTGATTTGCCGTTGATGCTGAATTAATTTGATTAGAAGGGTACGAAGACGATGTTGCAATGGAAGGTGACGGTATTTGCCGATCACTACAAGAAAACACGCATGAAAGGTTATCTAGAACATAGATAAGAGAACATAAAGAAAAGACTTAATGATAATTCTTACTAATATTTTCGATCAGGTGATTGCTGTTCTGTAAGTAAACAATATATAATCATTTTATACAAATGTACGGTTCATTTACTCCGTGAAGAACGTCGACGACTTCGACTCCGACCTAAAAATCCGGTTGAAGAAGTAGAATTTACACGTCTTATTCTTTGTTTCATACGTTGGCTACTTCTTCGACTCGATCGACTTCCTACATCACGCAACGTTTCTTAGCGGGAGTCTCCATGTAAACAACACGCACTCACTTCGTTTGTTACTATGAGATCGTCGTCGATATCTACTTTTCGAGTTCCGAAACGATCGATGACTCGGCCTTGAACTTCGACCATGTATCTGACTTGCTAAACAAACAAATAAAAACAACTCGAAGGAAAATCTGTCTTTCATATCAAATTCTCGTTACTCCAATTACTAGTCGACCGTCGACTGCGTCGAGATGACGCACGAGATCCTCTCGAACTGCTTCGATTATCTAGAATAATTATTAACAGAGAATTCAGCGAAAAAATCTAAAGTAAATACTTCGAGTACTATTTTTCTTTGAGTGCTGATCATGACTTCGTGACATTCTCCTTATATTTGCCTTCGTATACCTGCCATATGAAAAACCTGTGAATCATAATAAAATTTAATTTTAAATCAATCAAAATTTGAAGTAAACACATATGGAACCATTAACTCGATCTACACTTCTGAATGACAGCTTACGTTTGAAACGATCGTATTTCACAGAATCTTTTCCCCGTATTACTATTGGTTGATCAGCACTCGTTGTTATAATACGTATCGGATGATACAATATACATTCACCGTAATCTGATTCATTTGGTACTGAATTCATGTAGACTTTATCCTCATAATGTCTTAGATGAGGATCGAACAACGTTTGATTTCTCCTCTCCGGAGAGATTCGATTACAATCGAGACTTGTAGGATGACCACACATGCCTGTTTCATTAATGCGTCGAATCAAATGGGAAAGATTACAAAGAGCTTGAACAAGATTTTCACTATCATCGATTGGCATTGGACTTGGCTGGTGAGCTGCCGAATCAATGGCTCTGTAGAGTTCTTCCAGTGAATGCAAAGCCGATTCAGCTGTATGTTGAATCGACATAACTCGGAAATGAATTAAAAGAGTATGAAAAAAAAATTACACTAATCGTAAAAATTCTTTTCTTCTCATTGAAAATCTTCTCTACAAGGCGCCAATTACGTGCAGCATCCATTTTCTCTTTCGGCAAAACTAACGCGTTCGAACCTGATAATAAGACTGCTATGACCTCAGAGATATTTTGGCTAATGTCAGTGCTTTGATTTATGTTCTGTCATGAATTCAATGGCAGGAAGATTTAACCGGAATAGTACCAGAGATAAATGGTATAATTAACAACTTTCGCATGTCAAGGAAAGTTGATGGTTGCTTGAAAAATAACTGATAACCAATATTAAATACAGGATAGTTATTATGCTGGTTGATTCTAATGAGAAAAACAATATGTTACTTTTTTTCACCAGTAAATATTATTCAACAGTAGGAATTTTGTTGACACAGGATAGTTCTTTATCTGCAAATCACAGAACATATGTATTCATTCTTTTGCCTTTTCTTTTCTTTTCTCTTCTCTTTCTTGTTGATAATCTCCTGTATCCTCATTCCCTTGATTCTATCGATGACTGATTGACATCGGTTCGAGACGAAAATATGGTTTATTCAGCAGACTCTACCGCATCAGATAATTTGCCTTGAAAACAAACAAAAGCAATTATCGATTGATTTCAATGATGAAGAAACCTTCGTTTTTACCAACTTCAGCATCGTTTCAGTATTCCTATCAATCGATGGGTACTTCACCCAGCGTCTATGCCGTTACGATCATCATTTGTTTTGCAACGTGGATCTTTAAGAAAGCAATGTATGTAAACAACGTCTGCCTACGTTTTCCTTAACTATAGACGTATACCTATTTGGATTTCTAACCGGAGAAAGAAAAACTAATAAGAAAACTATTTTAATCGATTCTTTTTCCTCGTCTGAACAAAAACGAGGAAAATACATCGAGCTTCTATGTTGATCTTTCATTAATTTTTTATTCACTGCGCTCGAACTCTTCACTTTCAAGTACGCTTAAGTACTAGTCCGAAAATAGCTCTCCCTAAACGTATTAATTGCAATCATATCTATTAATCAGGACACATTACATGACTAATAGTGTGTCAGTGACGTAGGCTTTTATGGTCGATTGATTCGCTAGTTGATGTATAAATTTCTCCGTGGTGCATGAAACAGTTGACAGTCTTATTGAAGAGAAAAATAGATGAAGAGCTCAACGGAAAGGAGATCTGCTGAAACAAAGATGAGGCAAGTGGATAAATCGACTTCGTTTTGTTCTTCGTTGTTATTCTATCGTCACGTGTAGATTAGTTTCTTTTCTTCTCTATCTTGTGAAATTTCATCGAATGGAAACAGTAGAATAGCTATATGAATTTCTTCATTCTTTTTGACACATATGTCTTTGTCTACACGAACATCGTCCGAAGTAAATCGTACTTCGATTCGATGAAAGACAAGTTTTGAAATCAGTCAATTCATTCATACGTGTAATGAATTGTCCGCTGAGGTAGAAATCGTAGACTGGTACTTGATTATCTCAATTACTTTCTCCTTCTTTTTTTTGTTAATGGATGAATAACTCGAAGTAGTGACGTGTCTCATTCATTCTTCAGTATTTTTCACTTATGAGATGTGAAATAGCGACAGTTTACAAGAATATCTTTCTGTCTTTTTTCTCGCTTCTCGTGGCGTACGTCATGATTTGCATTGCCGAACGAATCACATGAGCATCGATCTCCGAACATGTACCTTGTTATTTTCTTTCAATTTCATCGATTTTGTTTGGATCGACACAGCACTTTTCCCATTCTTTTCTGTTTGAGTACGAGAAAAATCGCATTGTGACATAATAAATCATAGAAATTCATTACAAAAACACACATCAAAGCCGAGCAAGTTTTCTTGACAACTAATGCGTTGTGTAGGCAAGCATTAGACTGAGGAATAAAAAAAGAGGAAAGAAGACGCATGCTAGAAGATGTTCAGATAAGATTAAGAACATTCTTTTTTTCCTGATATATATAGATAGACATAATTGATGTCGATCTTCGTATTTAAAGGATAAATGTAGCAAGAGAAGAAAGACGCCATTTTACTAGTTCCGAGAAGAAATGACAATTTTCCGACGATTTCAAGTTCTTACTGATGATTATATTAATATGATCACGTGCTGTTTTATTCTAGTGTAACTCATTTGGTTGAAAAAGTTCTCAACATGGCATCTGTTCGTTCCATGGGCGCAACGAAACCGACAGAGAATTTGTTATCGCGCCGCTTCAATCGAACGTCAACATCGACAACGATTCTTCCCGAAAGAAAATTAGCCGTGAGCAAAACGACATCATTTCCAGTAGCAACGACAATTCCATCAGTTCGACAGAAATCATCGCGACTGTCGTTAAAAAAGAGTTCAATTGAACCGAACCTACCTTCACCGAGATTAAAATCAAGTAGTCTGACGTTATCAGTGGATAATACGGAAATGACGAATGACAGAATGCCATCAACAACGTTTTATGATTTACCTTTGATTAAATCAACTGCGAAAAACATTCGACCAACTTCGAATCTTAAACCGAATAAAAATCTTGAACAATCAACTGATACCACAGTCGTACCATCTGCTCAAGTAGATAACACTCATTTCACACTACAATCCTTCGACACAATCCGAACTGTTGGCACTGGTAAGAGTTAATATTGGAAGAAAACCTAACATACACTCTTCTAACTTTTTCCAGGAACATTCGGACGTGTACATGTTGTCTATCATCGTGATACGGATAAATACTATGCTTTGAAAACTATGTCGATAAAACGTATTATCGAAGCGAAACAAGTCGAACATGTTCAAAGTGAAAAGAAGATTCTATCGAAAATATCCCATCCGTTTCTCATACGTTTATATTGGACTACGCATACGAACAATTTACTATATCTTCTGTTGGAATATGTTCCCGGTGGAGAACTTTTCCAAATGATGCGTAAACGAGAGAAATTCGATTCTAAAACAGCCATTTTCTATGCCAGCGAAGTTCTACTCGCGTTAGATTATTTACATCATCTCGATATACTCTATCGAGATTTGAAACCGGTAAGACAAGCTTGAAGAGGGAAAGACAATGAGTGCATGTGCATATTCGATTTCCATTCATAGGAAAATATTCTATTAGATAAAGAAGGACACATACGTTTGGTGGATTTTGGCTTCGCCAAGGAAACTAAAGAACGAACGTTTACACTCTGTGGTACTGTAGATTACCTTGCACCAGGTTCGATTCAGTATTTACTTTGTGAACACTTATGAATTCATTGTTGATTATGTTTTTAGAAGTTGTTCAAAGCCGTGGTCACCATAAAGCATCTGATTGGTGGGCATTCGGCATCCTGATTTACGAAATGCTTGCTGGTAAGGGCAAAGCCTGGATAATCGGTTTTTGAAATTTTTTATGTTTCTTTTCTCTTTAGGCTATCCGCCATTCTATGATATGGATCAATTTGTATCTTATCGCAAAATTCTCTCCGGTAAAATCGATTTTCCGCGCCATTTCGACCATGCCGCGAAACAATTACTTCGCAAATTACTTCATACTGATCAAGCCCAACGACTCGGCTCAGCCAAAAACGGAGGCGATGAGATCAAACTTGATCCATGGTTTGTCAGTGTTCGTTGGACAGATGTTTATGGACGGCAAGTCAAAGCACCGATTATTCCAAACGTACGATCACCTGGTGATACCGAAAACTTCGATTCATATGATGAATTTGATATCAACTTGACTCCTCAAGCAAACAAATTTGAAGTGCAAATCTTCAAAGACTTTTAGAAACATCGCATATGTTTCGTTATCTGTTGTGAATTTCTTTCTTGTACACTCAATTTTATTTTTCTGTTATAGTCAATATTTATGTTGAGCAATTTCGAAAAATATACTTTCGACTTCTTATCCTTTTTCTTATTATCGATAATGGAACATATGTAGACTAATTGGTATTCGCATTTGCTTGAATCATAATCATCATCAGATGACGGAGGAATTCTTCTAGAAATTGGAACTTCCTTCCGATCGTTATTCAGTATAATTGCTATTTATCTTTGGAATGTCAGGCATGATTGATAAGTCTCAATACGAATAAAAATAGATTGTTTGTTGTCGCAAGAAAGGTCTAGTGAAATATGCTTATTAATGAAGTGGTAAAATCGGTGATTATGAGAGAGGAGCAAGTCGTCTGTTACTCCTTGATTATCTGAGAAAACAACAGATTAAAAGTAGCTTAGTCATGGATTACAGAGAATATGTTTTTGATTTTACGCCCAAAAGAGGCCATGACATTCACGGATAATGGACCTACTATTTTGGGAAATATCAGTATTGCGATAACTCATGTAGGAACGTTGATAAGTGTTCTTACGTTCAAGTAGACTTTTCCATTATTATAGAACAATCTGATTATATATAGAACAGTCGATGGAGGTTTAACAAATAGCTATCTGAATTCTAGCCTGTTTTTTTTTGTTTCTATAACTTTGTTCGACCGGAATTACATCTGAAATCGGATCAATTTGTTATATCCGTCTTCGCGGTTTATTTTTAGTTCTGAATAGGATGACGTACCGACTCTACCAAGCACTTGTTTTTAAAATGATATAATAAGATCCAGTTGCTGATATGGTTGCGCTCGAAGATACAAAATTCATTCCTTCAACTCGAATACTTCTTGGATATAATGTCATAGATAATTTTTAATTTGCCAACCCCTCGAATAAATGTGTTGTGGCGACAGGAACTTTGGTTGTACTCTCGATAATCTATATATTAAGTTGTTATTTTAGTAAAGATTTACTTGAATTGCTAAATGCCGTCAATGAAACCTCATACATCAGCATTTCACTTGAGATTTCTTGTTTTTCGGACTATTGTCAAGCATTTAGATAGAAGCATTGAAAATTCGAAAATATATTATTCATTTTCATCCGACGATCATTTCAATATGTCGTTTTACGTGATCAACAAACAAATCAAGTCAAGTGAAAACATACGAAATGAGTATTTTTCTGAAGGAAAACATTATTTTCATTTTTTTGCTGCATTGACAAAACAAAAAGAAAAGAAAAGAAAACTTTTAGATAAGAAGACATACGTATTCTGTTGATTTTTGAAGACAAATATCCTTCTAGGGACTGTCTTTACCCTGCAGAAATGCATTGGAAGCTGGCTTTTTCTTTGTGAACCTTTTTCGCTTCTCCCATTCTATCGTTTCTAGTTGAAGTTTAGTCAGATGTGATAGTTTGTTCAACAACTCCGGCGGACAATTAGTATATGGATCAGCATATTCGTAATTATCTGCAAAGACAGTGTTATTTGTTGTTAAAAATTCATTCTTAAACTACAACTTACCTTGAGACGTTTTCAATTTGTCTAATAAAACCCGCGAACGATTTGTCTGAGGTAGATTTCTGTGTATCTGCTGAGATGGTACATACGATGTTGTTGTTGTTATTGGTAATGACTGTTGTCTTGTCGAGCGCATGGTCGATGTCATGGTGGTTTTGAATCGTTCAGCTGTGATTAGCAAACTATTCGATGGTGGATCTGCTATGGCTCGTTGACGAACTGTATTTCCGCCAGCTGCAGCACTTCGGTAGGTGAACACGGAGGGATGTGACTGATGGTGGTTCGTAGTGCTCGTTGTCATTTGATTTGATGAACCAGATAGAATCGTTGGAGGTGGAATTGCTAATGAAGACTCATGATGATTTACCCGGCGTTCTATTTTATAACAAACAATGGACATGTACGTACAATTTACGATCGATGCTGTAATAGGAAAGCGAAGAGAAAGAACAAGATAGAGAGAACGAGTTCTTTTATATTTTTTTTTATTGCTCTTTGACTAACTTGTCGACAGTCTTTCTGTGTGTTTTATTTCTTAACATTAAACGTTGTCAGTTTTTCTTCTCATTCACTTTCATTCGGCCTGCCTCGTCAAATCGTTCTTTTCTTCTATTATTGCAAGTCAAACTACCCATACTTTCTCCGCGTTTTTCTCTTCTTTACACTTGATTACATATGTGAAAGAAAATAATCAAAAATAGAAAAACAAGTTCTCGAATCGAATTTAGTTCGCAAATTCATACTTACTTTGTCCTTCGATCTTCAGCACTGGACTCAAGCGGATTGGCGAAGGAGCTGGGGGAATTTTCACTGATGCTGTCGGCGATAAGGATGCGGGTTTACTTGTGACTTGAGAATTCACTATCGAACTGTTGTTTGATTCTGCTTATTCAATCAAAGAATCGAAATCGATTGTAAACTTTTCTTTCTTTTTCTTACGTTCTTTTGATAGTTTGAAAATCACGACGCTATCATTGATATAATTCAATCGCTGAGTCTGTTTCGTAGTTGTTGGATGAACGAGTGTTCTGAATGAAGAAGTGTAACGTTTTGGCGGAACGAAAGCATCGGGTACGTCTAAATCTAAGCAGCATTGATTTCGTTTGGCATCTAGATTCGCGTTTAATATACCTTGCCGAGAAATGTGAACTGCTGACGACGAGGATGAAACAAGAAAGGAATTTATAACCGCATCGCCATAAAGTTGACTTTGAGCTGGCACTTGTCGACTCTGCTTTTTGATCAAAGGTTTCGGTCGATGTTGCGCATTAGTTGATGTCGACGTTGAGAGTCTATTGAAATATAAAGAGAATGAATAGATACAATGATTAACATAGATAAACAAAATAATTCAATCACTTCATTGCTTCTTTGCTTGTTAATTTCGCAAGGATCGATTTCAGTTCAGTTAACGAGATGGGAGCTCGATCAACCCATCGAAAACGCTCGTCATTAGCTGAACAAATCATTTCGAAATTCTGAAGAGCGTCATTTCGTGTTTAAATAGTTAGTTCAGTGAAAACAACGCAATGTCTCTTGTTGTTATGCACTTTAATCAAGTAGAACAATGCTTCTTCGTTCAAGGCAAAGAAGTATTTTGAACACTTTGTTCGATATGAATGACGTATCAATGAGAGAGAACGAGGTACGTATATATACGCTCGGTGACAATCAAGTATCAACAAAGAATTGTGTAAAAAGAAATGCGTCCGATGGAAGAGAACTTGAGTGTTTTCTCTTTCTGATTAAGTTTAATTATAAAAAATATGATATAGGTGAAAATTTGAAATTGATACTTGAACGTGAAGAGGTGACAAAGAGAAACTCGGTGATTTTCCTTGCGCGACGATGCTTCCGAATGTTACATTTCGTAAAAAGAATGATCGCGAGTGTATTCAAATGTAAGTGAAACTTTCGTGTTAATTGTTGTGGCGCATTAAGTGGTAAATCAACCTTTCGAACTGCGAGCTCCTTCATCTACAGATGTCGGTAATGTTCGATAGAATTCAGTAAAAGATTTAAGAATTTTGTCTATTCATTCAATAATTATCAGGCATCTACCTTATTTGTGATGCTTCGGAACTTTGTTTAATTCAAATTTACAAAGTCGTTTCCTGTTTGGATGGGAGCAAGTCCAATCAAATACGTCCTGCGTTACATTTCTGTAAAGAGCTGTGTTGTTTTAATCATAATTCAAAACGATGACCTCGGATAGTTCTTCACCGACTGCAACAGAAGAAATTCGATTACTCCTTATCGGACCTCCTAAAACAGGCAAATCTTCTATTGCTAACATCCTAGCCGGTCTAAATGTATTTCCAGTTGGTATATCAAGTTCTGTTAATTCTGCAACACCAACAACACAATCGAGACATTTTACTAACAAAAAAATCCTTGTCGGCAAACATCTACTCGTCGTCGATGCGCCCGTATGTCTTCGGCTATCTTTCTATTGTGGAACTACAGTTTCCTGATTATGTTCCGTGTATTTTTAGCCTTTATTTATTCTAAAAGATTCGACATCTAACGATCAAGACATGAGACGACTCGCTAAATGCGTGGCATTAGTCAGTCCAGGTCCACATGCAATCTTCCTTATTCTTAGCTGTGATGATGCCAAAAACGAACGATTCGACATGAAACAAATTGTCACTACTGTCTTCGGTAAGAAAACAGACTAATTATAATGCGTGTACTTCCACTGAATATTATATGAGGGAGACAAATCTAATTAATTAATTATACATGTTCTATTTTAGGTGCTGAAGCCTTAGACCAATCTATCGTTGTTTTTTCATTTATTGATCGTCTTCAACAGAAAGGCATGTCGGTCGATGATTGGATAAATAAAGAATGCAAACAACAAGCACTACTTGAAGCGTGCGGTCATCGATATTTAGTCATTGATTCGTCTCACAATGATCAAAGTAGACATATAGATTTTCTCAATCGTTCGCTGACCATGTTAAATGAATTATGGAAACGCGAACGAATTTTCAAATCAAAGATGTTCGACGATATTGAACAAGAAATTCAACGACAAGAGAAGAATCGATGGGATCTATTCCAAAAGAAATACGTGCCGAATTTTCAAGGCTCAGAAAAAGCATTTCGTCTTCTCTTACGCGAACATATGCGCGATGAATTAGAACGCGAGCCGATTGTTGCTGAAGCGGATTATCTCGTCGTTGAAAAATATCTACAACCGATCGTCAAATCATTGTTACAAGAAGTCGAACGTTATCTCGAAGAAGAAATCGTCAGTACTTAGACAAAAGCTTCAGTTCCGGGGAAAAAAGTACTTTCTATTTTTATCCATGCAATTCTTCTAGTTTTCTTTTGATTTCGTTCGTGTATAACAGTAAATCTCAATCACTGGTTGTATTTCATTTGATTTTTCGATAATGAGTGAGATTAGGAACAAGAAAACAAGTGACACTTACCCAGCTGATGAACTAAAGAATATATTTGTTGCAGTTGCCGTCATTGGAAAGTGTTTCTTTTTTATTCTTTTTTTCTGAGCTAGTCAAAACATATCTACTTAATTAAAAAACAACACTATGTCATCGCCCTCGTCGTGATTGTAATAATAGTAGATGAAAAGATGATGGAATTTTGAAAGTCGAAAAGAAAAGAGAAAAGAAACGAAACGAAGGCTATAGTGTTGATGATGAAACAGGATCGAACAGTATTTTCGTTTTTGTTGACAAGCAGTCAAAGTATTTCGTGTCATTGACAAGGCTTCTTTTCTAATCGATATTTTTAGATTATCTATTAGTATGAGTCGATTGTGGAAGGTTGGTTCAATATTTTCTCGTCTATCGGGAATGATCGAAGGTGGACATTTGAAAAACTCCGAAATACCCATCTGGTACTCGATCTATAAACGTTTTCCACCAGTACGCGAACCACGCTATATGTCGTTGACCGAAGGCGAACTGCCCAAACCTTATGAACCACCGAAGATTCTCTACGATGAAGATATTGTCCGGCAAGCGTATTATGAGTATGTGGAAGATGGTGAAATCATTAAATTGAAAAATACGGATCGAAAATCTCGTTCTCAAGTATTCATCGATGAATATTTTAAAATGAAATCTAAACAAAAAACACCTATTCCACATTCAAAACTATTTCGATTAACATTAGATTATTTACAACAACATGGACATCCAATTATGTTTAAAATAGGTATGCGAACTTAGTTGGATTCTACTGAATGAAAATAGTTCCTATTGTACTTAAATTTTCACGTGCATTTTAGGTGCAGAAGAAAAATTTCCCGAAATAACTCCATCACCAACTGAAGAAAAGAACTCATCAATCCTAGCTACATCGGTGGATACGTTTGAAACTGAGTGGGAACGAGATAACAAAGAAGGTCACTTTCCGTTAAGTAAAAACACGTATCAATATCATCGCCTTCAACCACATCGAATTCAAACAACGTTCGGCGAAAAAGCAGTCACCGATTCGAATGTCACTCACCGTCGTACGGACGGTTATGTACATTCCACTGTACTTGGAGATGAAGTGAAACAGATCGAGAATTCATACATGCCTGGTCAGAATCTTCAACCATTGATACCACCGACATTCATACAACAGAATATGCTTCGACATGGCAAAGTTCATAATGTGTTCACTAGAGAACAGTATGAAACCGATCCGTTCCTACGATTGCAAGATCGAGTGAAGAAACTCGAAGCTTATCGACGACCGCCAACACATACCAAAGTGTTCAAAAGAAAATTCAAGGCGAAGAAGTTTTTGGTTGACATACCGGGAATTTATGATAAAAAATAGATTCAAGATCGTTTTTCTCTTTTGTTGTTTTCTATTAAAAAAATACAGTCTCTAGGCCAAAGAAAATAATTCTAAACATTATCCATCAAGTTCATGACAAAACAAGATGAGGTCACACAATTTGTGTTGTTTTTCATTTGACTCGATATTTAAGTTATACAGACCTCATCGTTTTTGTTAATGGCGATCTGCATATCTCACAATGTTCTATTCATGTCTTGAATATTCAACAGACTGTCTGATTTAGATATGAATTCACTTCTATCGGTATTTGGATCCAATTCATCAACGGATACATCTGCCATAGATACGTGCCCAACGTCAGCCAATTCAGCTCAGTTTGTTCGTGACACTCAAGCATTCCTCCTTCTACTTTCTCATTGTGAAGAAATCGGTTGGTCATCGATTCGTTTAATTCCATCTGATGGTTCAATTTTGACCATTCATCATACATACATTGATCTTGGAGATCGCACACATGATTTATATATCGATATACCACAACGTTGGCCTAATGAACGGCCATGTTGCCGTACATATATTCCTGTTGAATTTACTATTGAAACATGGTGTCCGAAAACAAGCCGTCTAATAGAAATTTTAATGAACTTCCATTCAACTATCGATAGTCTACAAATATTTTGGACACAATTAAATGAATTGGAACGTGATGCAATTGTCTTAGATGAAAAACCAATACCATATTCTTCGACTAGCAGACGATTGAAGATCAACGACAATGTTCACGTACAAGTTCAGGTTGGACATATCGAATTTAATAATAACTAGTTGAAAAATTTATTCCAGATCGATCCATACAACCCGTCGGCGTTTCCTTCACTGATCTTTTACGGTCCATCAATGCTCATTCGTTCGTTTGATGAACGTCTCGAACAGAATCGTCATCATTGGAACGAAGCACATTCGAATATCATATTGAATCTTGAACACATATTAGATATCACTTTTCCGACGAATCTTTTCCTTCGGTCAAAGTCTCAATCAAACGAAGATCAACAACAAGAATGTGGCATATGTTATGAGTCCACAGTTGATCAACAGAATAGTTCAATTATCTATTGCGAAACAGCCAATTGTTATAAGCAATATCACGAAAAATGTTGGAAAAGCTGGTTACGAAAAAAAGTTCCCCAACGTAATACTTGCAATGTCTTAGATATCGTCGTTGACGAACGAATCAATACCACAGCAACGGCGAGCGGACCTTGTCTTTTCTGTAAACGTAATATCATTGTAAATTGATTGATTTCGAAAGCTAATACTAGACCTCAAGATAAAAATGGACGTTCCGTCACGATTGCTTCTGGTGATATATCATATGAATGTAAATTGAAAGCATTACTCTAAGACCCGTAGGATAGTCATTGACGTGAATCGAGAAAAAACTTGATGAGTTTGTCTTCTAATCTGATCCATCAAATGAACTGTTGAAAGGATGATCTACAGGAAGTAGATGTCGCACAAAGTGATGATAGATTTAATAATCAATTATTCTAATATTTCAAGTTTCAATCCGTCCAGTCGATAAAATTCAGTCGGAAAATTTTATCAAGAAAGTTTTTTCTTGGAAAAAAGTCTTCGAATGAATCAGATGTTGATTTGGAAAACAAACCAATCTTCTTCTTCTTCTTCTTCTCGTTCCTTTCCTTGAAGGAAAAAAAACGAGAGGCAAACACAATGAATAATAACTATAATCATATATAAGAACGACGTCAATGTCATTGTCGCGTTGTTATTATTAAGTGTTGCGCGAGGAAAAGAAACAAATATGTTACTCAAGTATTTCTTATTAATTTTTGTTAATATAGTCCAAATCGATGGGTAATACACCAGCAGCAATACCAAGTATGGTTTCACTACCCATATTTGGGGTTGGCCTAACAACACTTTGTTTAAGTTTATGTTTCTGTTGTTATTTATGGCGGTGAGTACATTCGTTGTTGTTGTTGTTGTTTTTTTTTTTCGAGAAATAATTCAACATTCATTTTTCTTCTTGTTTAGATTACGACGAGATACTTTGAAAGAGAAAGGCTACCGAAAAGATCAATACATGCGATGTAAAGTTAAAAATTCAGTATGTTAAGTCATCTACTTCTTTCGGAATAAAGTGTATGGTGCTTTTCTCGGTTTAGAATTGTGTTATTTGTCTCGAGGATTTCTGTGAAGATGAAGAAATAGCTGTGTGTCCATGTGAACATGCATTTCATAAACGTTGTCTATCGCCATGGCTACAGAATAATTGTACTTGTCCCATGTGTAATATGTGTATTAAACCGGAAACATCTGGTTCATGTCAGTTGCCTGATATACTTTAAAATAGATCAATTCAATTAATTTCGTTGATTTTCTCACATAGAGAAGCGAACGTTGCTTTGTTTTTCTTTCTTTCTTTTCTCTTTCTCTTTACAGTGTGTACATCTATCTTTTGATTCCGGTTGATTCTATTCAATGTTTGTATATTGACAAATACAGTGCTCAAATGGTTTCGAACGATGAAGAAGTATAAGACGAAGAACAACAGGCCTTGAAAATAAAGACGATTAGCATTGCATGTTATTAATATTCCTATCAAACATGGAGACAGTTTCTCGATTAGTGACAATGAACGGCATTAGTGTTTTTGATTAGTTTCTAATCGGATTTGCAAAGAACAAAAGAAGGCCTTAATCGCAGGACTAGGTTTGTGTACTTTTTACCATCAACATGTAAAACGATTAGGTTTTTTTGTCTCTCCATTTGTTAGTTAAGTTGTTGGAGGAAGTTTACCATGTCTCCCTGAATTAATCATCGACATGAACTATAGAATTAGCAAAATAATCTTTTGACGTTTTCCCTGACTTTTATTCACGTTTTGAGTACCCCGTCGACTTTTAGAGTTCATATGAGTACATTCATTAAATTTTACAGACACCGCTCATGTAGTTTGCAAAAAGATTAGCAATCATTTTAATGTCTGGAAAGAATTAGTGAATGAAAATGCATCAAGGTGCGCTTGACGAGAAAGACACTTTGCATGAAAATGGATCTAAACGAAGTGCCATTGAATAACATTCTTCTCTTTCGTTTTATTGGGACTGTCGAGATTAGAATGACTGTTTACGTTTCCTTTTCTTGATAGACATCTAACTAGATATTTATCCTTCGTTTCTTTCCTGATACAAACATTTGTCTATCGGGAAGAACTTTTTCTACTGGAATATCAATGTTTTCGATGATGTGCCAATCCGTACACGATAACCAATTTGATTGATTGGCTGATTGATAGGCATGTTTGACTCCAACGATAGTTAAGCTGGGGATTTATCTTACTATGCTTCTTCTCATGGACCTTTCAATTTCATAAAGTAATTATGAGTCATCTTTCTATTTCATTGACCTTTGTTTCGGTGAAATCGGGACATTAATGTTTTAATTTGACCCGATTCAACTAACTACTGTCGTTCATGACATTCACAACACGCGTAATGCTGATAAGTGGTCTCTTTCGTAGTTATGAATGGATTTCTTTCAATTATTATATGCATCTATTTTCTTTTGTGTTCTGCTCATGAAGAAATTCATCCTTTAATAAATCTAAAGTGTTTCTAAACATTTCCCATGCTTTACGATCCATAATTGAAATTTTAAAGCATTGTATCAAATTGAAAAGATGGGAGAGTTTTTAAAAAAAACAATCTCTGTTGCTTGACCGAGATGACAGGATGACTGTTGTGTTAATGTGGCTATACTAGGAAAAATAAGATGATATATGTGTTTGCTTCTCGTCGTGGACGAAACACTGTGGCTCCATTTGCGTTAATAGATGTCAGTTTCCCCACTTTCCATTTTCATTTCAATTTTCATTGGAATGAAAAAAAATATTTCGGCCATGTAAGAAATTACTTTGAGGAAAATTCATGATCAGATTGACAATGAATTGATTTCTTTCGGATTATGTTGACATGGCAACGAAATTGCACATGGAGAAAGAAAGAATGGCGGGCGAACGAGAAACATACGGCATATTCTGATTCCTTTGACCGCAAAATGAAGTATCAAGTGAGATACCGACATGATTACATCTTCCTCGTTAGTTAACGGCTTTCTTGAATAAATTTAGACGGAATATCAACGAAATTTTCAAAGACGAACACCACTACCAGTCGATGACTACACAAAACAAGAACGAAAACTAGTTGATGGTTTGCGTCATTCATCCATTCTTGTTGTTTGTATTTGTTTTGGCGTTTTCTAGTTCCACCTAAACGTTCATCGTCATTATCACCAGCTCGTCGTCGTGCCAATTCCTCGCCGAGTCGAAATAATCATTTAGCAGTTATTGGTCCGAATGACAAATTTTCTCATTCATATCTCTACCGAATGCGACAACCCGTTCAAGACAATGCTCGAGTGACTAAACCACGCGAATATGCACTTCTTGGAAGAAATGAAAAATTTCAAGATAATGCAGTTTATCCATTGAGAAAACCTGTTGCGGAGAAATCACCTCGTGTAATGCATCGTTTAGATCATCGAGTATCTTCTCTTAAACGCCTAACTATTTTAGATTCCAGTAGATCGACATAAAAGTGCAAATCATACATGTGGCAGTCAAACTGTAAGCACTAATAAATGTACTCTCTACATGACAGTTTTTCCATTGAAATATAGGATTTAAAACAAGCGCCGTTTGTCTCATTTGATCCGCAGTATGGACGTGAATCAGTTCCTGTTCGAGTGAGCTTAATTGATTTTCGATATAGAGAGGTTCTCTAAGAATATGAACTGTATGTAGAATCGCATTGGTGCACAAAGTGAATATCAGCAACAGTATCTCTGGAGACAACCACTAGGAGATTTGATTAGTGATCAAATGCTCGTAGAAGATGCCAAAGTGGTTCGTTAATAGAATCACATTGGAGAAGATGGTATTGATAAAACGAATCTTTCTCTTTAGCGTGATCGTCGGTCTGATCCCGTGCTGCCACTGACTGTTATTGATCCATCGGAGAAGATTCTGATAGAGAAAACTTCTGTTCCTGCTAATCCATCGCCACCTCCACGTGTTAATTTTGAAATTGATCGAGCTCGCCAACAGCTAAACAATCGTCCTATTCCTTCCGGTCCAGCTCCTGCAAGTCAAGCCAATAAAATCCCCATAAGTGAATATCAAGCTCGTTATAAACTCATCAATGCGGAAAAGAAACCACGTACTCGTAAAGCTTTCGAAGCGGAGCAAGCTGAGGAAAGGGTAACTAGTCTTCTTACGAATGGATATTTTTCCTTTTCTAATATGTCGTATTTCGATTTAACAGAAACGAAAAGAAATCACTCAAGCCGAACGTGCGCACACAGATGATGAAGGTGCGGGTGGTGATGTTCAATTCGGAAAAGAATTTCGACAGAAACATCCGCATGGAAGTTTAAGGTTTGACTCAAATAGTCCGCAATGGCAATAATGCATCAGTAATCTTTTCAGACGTTGGAAATCAGAATATCAAGCGACATACAAACCTTTCTGGCGATTCGATTATAAGAATGGCAAATGGTACAAAGATGCTGAAACGGTTCGTATACAAATAAATCCTAAAATAGAATCGTAATAACTATGGAATATGAAATATTTTGCTGATATCTATTTAGGAAGAAACAGGATTTAATCCGAATCTATTTTGGTACAAAGAGTTGAAATCCAGTCGAAAACGGGCTGATGAATACCGTACCAATGCGGAAACCGATCATTTCAATCGTAATCATACCCTTCAATTGCAAACAGGTCAGGGTGGAAATAAGAACTATTTGGCCTGGGATGCTAACAATGATGATGATGCTGACAGTGTGATTTCTATCGATCGGTAAGAGGAGAAGTTTCAAATGTTAGACAACTTCCAATGAGTGTCGTTGTTATTTTAGCGATTTAGAACGTGAGCGTCAACGCGACCAAGAAGCGAAACGAAGAGTTGATGAACAAATTCAATCGAAAATTCATTATCAACAGAGTCAAAGCGAAAAACCTATTGAAACAAAGCCTAGCCAAGTGGCTCAAACCGATCATCAAGTCGATCGAGTTGTTTACATCGATGACCCAATACCAAAAGCACCAAGCCTTGCAACGAAAGCTTTTGTTCGTAACCTAAATTCCTCCTCTGTTCAACAACATATGTTATGGGATTCCGAAAGTTTATATAGTCAACGTACTGATTCGGATCTGTACGTCATTGTACTTGTTAATCAATCTTTTGACTGATTCTTTTTCTTTCCAGAGAGTTCAAGTCCAATACAGCTCGCGAACTGCATCGAAAGCATTATATGAATGATGATTCGAATATGATTCGAAAAGCGTCTTCATCAAAAGCGCAAGAAAATCGGAGTACAAATACTCACCCATCATTGACTGATGATTATTTAAGCTCTCAGACAAATGAACGAGCTGCTCAGGAGGAGAGATACATTCGTCCCTCGACCAGTTCTCAAGAACATCGCCATGCAGCTGGTCAATCAAGTTACGATACACATATCTTGGACAGACGCCCACCATCTCGACCACATACCAGCGTGAACAACTGTATGTGTAACTAGACTAAGCTCAGTTTCCTTAACTTCTCTCTTCTAGATCGTTCATACAAATCCGAAGCGGCTGATTATAATAATAATGATACTTATAATCATGATTCGACACCTCAATCCAACTGTTCCTTTCAAAATCATTTGAATCGCATGGATGAACGTTTCGGACAAACTTATAATGCACGTACCAAAGGTAAAAGCCCGCTAAACACGCAAACGATGCATTTGTATTGTTTTAATTAGACGACGACGTTCTTTCGGTTCATTCGGCACGTTCATTATCATCAAGCTGTAGTTTAGCATCTCAAACTCTAGAGCGTGCGCAACAAAATATGAATAAATACTGGGGTGGACATTCATCCGCGTCTGTTGACCTCTCTAAGAAACCTTGAAGTGCTAAACAATAGGATAAAATCTGACTCTTTCTGAATCAATTGTGAGTTTTCATCAGGTCATTTTCATCACTGTCCTTTGGCTTCTTGTTTTGTATACATTTGCTCCGAATTGGTATTTCTCTTCTTCTTCTTCTTCTTTTTATTATTATCATTGCTATTATTCCTACTACTCATTGATTTGTATTTGTTCTCAGTGTGTTTGTTTTTCTATATTCTTTTACAGTAGATTTGTGATATACGTAACTATACACAAAATAAAACTAAATGGAGATTTTTCTTAGAAGAGGGGCAAACCATAACGTCGAATTTCTTCAGCATTGCATTGACTGCTACTTAGATTTCATTGCTCTTGCCACTTGTGTGCGAATGCAACAGATGTCGTACTTGTTTGTTTAAGCAAACAGAACGCCGATGAAAAAGGAGGATGGTTTCTTGGCAATCGATATTTTAAATGGCTGTCGTCAACAAACAAAAGAATATGGCACTTATGTGAGATTAAAACATTTTCAAGAAATCGACAGCAAATTATGTCTGTGGTCACCAATCAAAATCGTCAAACGAACGCTCGTGCGCGACAAGCTGGACCATTGGAGACTGAGGGCTTCACCGTTAAATCCCTTCTAAAAAATGCCAAAGTAATACGCAATTGCTCGTGAGATCGGAAGAAGGAAACAGTTTATTTTTTAAGGTCAGTGGGCCAGCACGCGCCGAAGCCACGCGTATTCGAAACAGCAAACCAACTGCTTTTCGTAAATTTTATGAACGTGGTGATTTTCCAATTGCTCTGGAACATGACACCAAAGGCAATAAAATCGCTTGGAAGGTACGGGATTCGAACCAAATGAGATTCAGGTTAGAAAGATTAGTTTTGATGTAGGTCGAAATCGAAAAACTTGATTATCATCATTATTTGCCATTGTTCTTCGATGGTCTCTGTGAAATCGAACATCCATGGGATTTCTTTGCTCGCCAAGGCATTCACGATATGCTCGAACATGGTGGAAACAAAATTCTACCCGTCATTCCCCAACTTATCGTTCCTATTAAAAGTAAATTTGCTTGATAAACATCTGAATACTTCCTATGCACGTATTTTTCATACAGATGCATTGAACACACGAAATCATAAAGTTATCTGCACGACATTGAAAATTCTCCAACAATTAGTCACCTCCGCAGACATGATTGGCGAGGCACTCGTACCTTACTATCGACAGATTTTACCGATCTTTAACCTATTCAAAAACTGGAATTGTAAGCCGAGATGTTTGTTCGTTCAATCGAGTAATTTCGTTGTTTTCAGCAAACTTGGGTGATCACATTGAATACGGTCAACAACGACGAGAAAATTTAGGAGATCTCATCAATGAAACACTGGAAGCCTTCGAACGACATGGTGGAGAAGATGCATTCATCAACATCAAGTAAGTTAAACTGCCAAATTCGTCGCCGATTCGAAATTTTTCATCGATATTTTTAGATATATGATACCAACCTATGAATCATGTATGCTCAATTAAACTCAAAACCATGTGAAAACAAATATTCACTTTCATACGTTTTTTTTTCTCACCATCCCAAACAATCTTTTGTATTGTAATATATGAAAATTATTTTTTCTTTGCCACTACATACCAAAGAAGAAATAAATCGACTCTAACATCAGTATCATCCTCATAACTGTCTTATTATTCTTTATCGAGATAAAAATCACAACCGCTAACAGATCGCATTATAACACCAACTGACATTTGCAATTACGGACACACGCGAATCTCTATTAGACAACGATAAAAGCTTTTTTTTGTTAGTAGTTTTCATATTGAATTACATTTCCTTCGATCTTTTGTTCAATAAATAGAACTTCATTAACAACCATTTAGGTTATGTGTACCGATGGCTTACATCAGGAATAGATGAATTTATTGTGCAATCCGTTGACTTTTCTAAATCTCGTTACCCGCATTCTCCTAATCCGTACAGCTCACTAATAAATGTTAATTCTCGGTCAGTCACAACTAATTATCTTCAAAAGCAAACGAAAAACGTATAAACAATTCAGTCTATTGAGAATATCTATCGAATAGCATTAGTAAACTATATGTTGTTGTTGTCGTTGTCGTCATTCTGCCAAATCGAATCATGCTCGTTTTCCGAGAATTTCGGATAAAATTTAAAATCAGAAACATTCGTCTGTATAAGTACATAAATTATATAACAAATAGTATAATCTTTAGAAAAACAACGGCAATAAAAGCTTAGATTGGTGTGTATAAAAGGTAGTCTTGCAGTTTTGCTGTTAAAACAATTGACTGTAATGTCGATGGTTTGAAATTCTTTAAGTTTTGTCGAATTAACAATCGACACAAATGTCGTAATTCCGGCGTTTGTTTGATCAATTCATGAATCCGGTTGGTGTACGGCTGTAGATCAGCATTTGTGACCGAGATTAAACCAGATGGATATGTTTGTACACATAGCAATTTTTGTTCGAGTTTCAATGCATGTTTAACACCGAGTGCTCGAATGAACAGATGAATATAATCGTAATTAAAATGGTTTAATGTCGTTTTCGTGCACGAACTCAGACCGTAGTGTTCATCGTTTTTACAAAGCAAAATGTTTGTTTTAACTAAATAAGTGACGAGGTTCAGAACATCATTTAGAACCATTCGACGTAGATGATATTTCAATATTAATAATAAATGCGCATTTAGCAGAAGGAAATCTTGAGAATTGATGTAAATGATTTGTTGAGGAGATGATAGTGACACAATGTCCATCAAACGTAAACAGGAACAATTCGATTCAAGCAGAAGACGAATAATTGGCAAGGACTTATTCGTTGTTGTTTCGATCGCCACATACAAATACGAATGACCACTTGAATCACCTAGAAAAACAAACGAACAAAGCTAGTTCTATCGAAAGACATGGAATATCTTTTTGTTAACCTTGATATAAATCACAGCCATATCTGACAAGCAGATCTACCATATCAAAACTTCCCATGAGAATTGCATGTTCTAAGTAACTCATTCCGTACTGATCGCGATGGTTAATATCGATCTCAAAATTATTCAATAGACGTTTCATCGATTCGACATTACAACGTGATGTGGCTATTTGCATGGCATTAATCAAACGCCTCTGTTTCGGCTTCTCATGAGAACGCGTGTAATGACAGTTCGACTTCGTTTTTGTCGTCATTGTGGAATTGGTCGGACTTTCATTGATTTGTCTTTCGTATTTGCCTTTGTTTTTCGTTGCCGAACCGTTCGACCATTCATCATCGGTATCACTCAGTCCATCATCGTTGTCGATATCATTTGCTGAATTTTCAATGTCATCGTCGTCGACAATATTGTCATTGTCATTGTCATCACTTGCATCGTCGTCGATATCATCGAAGGCATCATCGAGTCGAGTTTGCGACGAAGGCGTATCCAGTGAAAAAACACGTGAAAACAACGATCGAGCACGGGTCAACATCTAAAACGACAAACAAAGAAAAAAAGAAGAACATTTACTACACCGAATGAACATTTGATGAAAGAAAAGGAATGAATGCGCGAAGAATATGCCGTGCTTCGTATGTACTCCCATGTCTTTCTTTTCTCCTTCAATCAATATAATGTTGCCGATATGTCTGCGCACGAGTTTAATTTAGGACATACATCCGATTGCAAGGGCAGTATACACAAGGGAAATGAATGGATATATACACACGCTGTTCCTTTTAACTCAAGAAAGAGCAAAAGAATCTAATTGTACAACATCGGGTAGATCTGATATTTCGAACAGGGTAATTGATCAAAAACTAGAAGAAAGATTAATGGCAAATATGAATCGATCTACTGAAATATGTTCCACTCACCTTGCCTTCGTTTAATATTCAATTTATGTTAAATAAATGACAAAAATTCCTGTCACATATATACATAGTAAAGAAAAACACATGCGTGCAGCGAGGCGAGAATAGATGAATCTTCTTTCTTCTTTTTACCCGACATCACTTTGTGCTATTTCGTTCTCTTCTTCTTCTTCCCTCTTTTTTTTCTTCGCGGGTTCTCTTTTTTTCCCGTTAGTAAGATTAACTTTCCATCAGCAACGACAGACGGGCCAGTTGCTGTTAGTTCTCAGTTTTTTTTTTGTTCTCTTTCACATTTTTTGCCACACAGGCTTGTCTGAACGCTCTGGAGCTGGCAGGTCAGAAAGGAGAGAAGAGAAAAATGAAAAGAATACTATCCCCCTTCTCAATCAACAAATATTTTTGTTGTAATAACTGTCTATTAGATTTATTTCTCAAAGAAAACGAACAGAACGCAATCCACTTACAATTAGATCTAGTTGTTTGACACCAAGACACAAAAATTTCGCTGAGATCTATCTTATTTCACTTTGAATGTGCTTGTCGGCTTCTAGCGATGATAACAGCCCATTTATTGTCCTCGGTTTGCGCACCGTATCAATCAATCATTATTATCCTCGTGTCATCGTTCTGATTAATTCAGTTTATTCTCGATTTTAATTCAATATTATCAAGAGATATCAACGGTACGTTCTGTTGTTTTCAGGCACTTTCCCACAGTGAACTATTTCATCTTTCAACTCATCTTGTCCAGAGCTGATTTTCTTTGAAAATGATATACATAGTTAAATAATTTTATTGCTTTCAATGATTCCATGTTATTAACGTTTAAAATAAAATCAACGTTGCTGCAGCGGATAGTCATTCATTTGTTTGAAAACAATGCTTATAAATCTGCTGCATGTAATGAAAGACTGACTCCTGGGCGATCTTTTATATTTCCTATATTAAATCCAGATTTTGCTGAAATTCTAGCCTAAATACTCGCGGTTTGTATACGATCATATGGAGCATCAGTCTGATGCGTAAAGGACATTTACTCTTGAATGCCTTTTTCAAAAATGACGCTCGTTTGTACAATAACGAAGGAAAATTCACGTCCGATATGATTTCATACATATTTATGGTTAATATTTTCATAATAGTTATAACAAGATCATAAACTATCAGTAATAAAGTGACACGTTGGTAATTTAATACAAACTAGAAATAAAATTTCCTTTTCGTTTCACATTTAATCATCTCTATTAAACGTTTAACTATTATGAATATGTTGTTTCTTTCTCATTGCGATTTGCAATATCAAAGTTGCTTTTTCATATTACTCGGGAAGAGATTGTGACGTGTTAAAATTGCAGTATATTGATTCCATAATGTACATCATGGTAAATCGGATTCGTACTTATCGAAAATCGACAGAAAATAATCATATTTTGTTAGTCATCGATTTACCAGTAGCCCATCAGTCAACAGAATACTTTAAATATCATTTCGTTGACAACGATTCATTCGCGTATACATGTTCTTTTCAATAATTTTCTTCTCATATACAAATTTATTGAAGTATCTCCTGTTAAATTCATCACCTCGACAGGTAAATGTTAACAGAGGTAGCAAACAAAGAAGATCTGAATCATTACAGCTTTTTTCTATAATAAAAAAACCAACAGAAAATCATTTGCTGTGCGTTCAACAATAAGAAGAAAAAATCGAGTAGAGAGATCTTCAGACAAGACTGATCAAATTAAGATACCTGCAATTTCAAAACATGATCAAGCTACTAGTACGTAAAACTGTCTTTCACATCGGAGACTGTATGTCAGTTTTCCCCGTAGAAAAAGCGTACAGGCTGTACAAACCGATCGAATCCGAGTGCCAGATTGGATGACTTGGAAACTAATAATTTGTGAAATTTACATTTGTTGGGTTTCATTTCCATTTCAATCAATAATGAAAACTAATGTCGATATTCTTCTGCATACAAATCAATTACTTAATGGAAATCTCTTTGATGAAGAAATAACAACGAATTTCAAATTTCTCAATGTTCGCTTACAAAAAGTTCATGCGTTACCAAGAATTTATTTAATTGATCAAAGATATGAAAGTATTTTAAGATTATTTCAGTGTTCAACAACGACAAAACAATTTTCAAAATGATTTGGAAATGTTCTGCCAAATTAGAATTGAATGCCGAATGTGAATCATCAATTATCGACATTAACTTTTTATTTCATCGATTTTTCTATACAATCTCAATGTTCTTTTCTATATGAAAAAACCATTCTCGATTGGTTGATACAAGTCAGTTTGTGTACCCTTGCCCAGGCAGACAAAGCTTCTAAAAAACGCGTTGAAATTTCATTAAAACAATGATTTACCAGTTCACAATCACGAATATACCGTTTAAACGAATCTTTAATGCGTTCAAATTTTCTTCCTCATGATGCGTTATTTTGTAAAATTTAACGTGATATTACTTGCAAAGTTGCAAAGATTAACGGACTTTAACAAGTATTAAGTCTTGCAAATGTGCGCTTTTCCAAATTGAGAAAGTGCATACAAGAAAGAAAACTTTCAATACGTTTGCTCTGTTACACTTCATATGGTTGTTTGTGTGCTGGTTTTTCTTCATGGCAAAACAATAACAGCAGATCGAACACATATACTGCATAGGATTAAGACTAGCGTAACCATCGGGTGAAATTCATAAAACATTTAAATACTTCTCCTGAAGCAAACGAGTGTAGAAGGACTGGGGAAGCATATTTGATAGCAACAGCACCAGAGGAGAGGGAAAAGTCTACAAATCATTAGAAATAAGAAAGAACAACTTTTTTATTAATAGATTTGTACAAAACGCATACCATACTAATTCAAATCTATTCTCTTTTCTATGTATGGTACAAGCTACATAAAGAACACTTCATAAAAGCATCAGAGGATTCGAACGCCTTCCCAGGTCAACAAATCCGATGCTGGATCCGATCGGATTCCTGGAAACGGAATTGCATTGGAATCCGACTAGAAAAATCCCGTCGGTTGTTGCAAATTTCATGAGCGATCTTTTTAGCTATGTTCTATGATGACCCTTAGAAAATCCAGGAAATCCATGTTTCGGATCCGACGAGATCCGACATGGGATCTGATCGGATCCGAGACCGTCGGAATCCAATGCGATTCCGTCACCAGGATTTCATCGGATCCGTCGAATTCCTGTAGGATCTGATAAAATCCTATATTGGATCCGATGGGATCCGAGTATGGGATTGTTCGACCTGGGTTTCTTGTAAAACATGTATTCTATGAGTAAAGTCTTAAACGGAAACATTCAAACATTTTCGTTTCTACTTTTGTCGTTTTTCTTCGAACTATTGAAAGTAAAGATAACGTAAAGTTCGCTAAACACCGGTGTCTTTCCCTTCTTTTTCTTCTACAGTACCATTTTTTCTTTCTCTTTAAACAGATGTAAACAAATATGAAGTTCAGAAGGAGTGACTAAATGTGTCTGTAATCGTACCACATGAGTCAATATATGAAATGTTAAATTGGTAACCTTACGAAGATCAATAAGCTTGTATATTAAAAAAAATATATCGAGGTGAGGGTAAATTTTCTATCAGCCCATGACGAAATATCGGTGTGAAGCTAGCACCACGAAACTAAGATTTTTGTGAAAACGAATTCCCGCCCTTAAAAACTAGTCCATTCGATTTAGAATTCTATTGTGCGTCGAGCGACTCTTTTCCATGAACAAGAATTCATTCTGGGCAGAGAAGTTGCGTGCCGACTGTGGTATAATGACGCATATTCATGTATAGAGGGCAAATAAAGATCAAAGAAAACTTTTTTCTCAACGTTCTCCCGTAAATAAAAATATCACCATTCCACTCAAAATTAAATTCTGAATCGAATGAGCTAGTTTTTAAGAGCGGGAAATTGTTTTCACAAAATTCTTAGGTTCGTGGTGCTAGCTTCACACCGATTGCAAAATATAGATTGTAGCGCTTTATGTCGTTATTCGTGCTTCCTACTGCAAGTTTACTCCAAATCAACTGACCTTCTCTTTTTTAGAGAAGGTATATATTCATAACACAAGAAGAAAGGTACACTGTGTCTAATTGGTGACCTGTCCAGAGATAGATGCATTATGATTGGTTACATAGATTAAGAAATATCAGGAAAGGAAATGTAAGTAAAGTTGATTCATATGATTTGTTTTTCAGTGCACCCTCATTTTCGATGCATAAATATTTGAGAAAAGGAAAACCTTGAGAAACATTGAAGTCATTCATATTTGAAAGAAGACCTGTCGAACTTTTATAAATCTACCGCTTTGAAAAGAATTATCGACATGAAAATTACGTTCAAAAGCATGTGGAAGTAAGTAAATGCGGCACCCAGGTCAACAAATCCTATGCTGGACCCGATCAGATTTCTGGAAACGGACTTGCATTGAAATCTGACTGAAAAAATTCAGTCTGTTACTGCAAATTTTATGAGCGATCTTTTTGGCTATATTCTATGATGACCCTTCGAAAATTTGTGTTTTAGATCTGTCGAATTCCTGTAGGATCCGATAAAATCCTATATTGGATCCTAGTATGGGATTGATCGACCT